TAACCTTTTTATGCAGAAAATTTGAATAACATTTTTTTATACAGAATTTTTATTTTTTCTTCACCTTAAAATTTGAATTTTTAGCTTACTATACCATGACAATTTTTTCATACATAAATAATAAAAAGAATTCCCCCAAGATTTGATATTTTTAACATACTTTACTGTAACATTTTTTAAACTTAAAGATTTTTTTCACTATAAAATTTGGATTTTTGACCCACTAAACTTTTTAATCAAACTAAATTTTAACCTTTTTTATGAAATAAAAATTAAAATATCTTTTCCATACAGAAATGCAATTTTTTTCACCTAAAAATTTCAAACTTTTAACATGCTATACTTTGACATTTCTTAACACTAAAACATAGATTTTTTAATGATAAAATTTCAAATTTTTGACATACTATGCTATGATATTTTCCATACTAAAATGAAAAAATTCTGTAATTAATTTTTAATTTTAATTTAATTTTAATTTTTTTTAAAACTAAATTATGACATTTTTATCAAATTATACTATAACCTTTTAATGAAAAAAATTTAAAAGAAATTTTCATATTACATTTTTTTTCATAGAGAATTTTAATAATTATTTCACATTAAAATTTGAATTTTTAGCATACTATACTATGACATTTTTTTAACTAAAATAAAAAAAATGTTCACAATTTTTTTAATTTTTTGACAAACTAATTTATGACATTTTTTTCATACTTAAACATTAAAAACATTTTTATAAAACATTTGAAATTTAATACTATGACATTTTTTTGACTAAAATATAGATTGTTTTCACAATTTTTTATTTTTGACATACTAAACTATGAGATTTTTATCAAACTGAACTAAAACCTTTTCTTGAAAAAAGAAAACCATATTAATTTTTTTTCATACAGAATTGTAAATTTTTTCACCTTAAAATTTGAAATTTTTAACATACTATACCATGACATTTTTCGGACTAACTAAAAGATTTTTTTCACGATAATTTTTTTATTTTTTGACATACTAAACTATAAAATTTATATACATACTATAACCTTTTTTTATGAAAATTTGAAAAAAAAATCTTTTTTTTTTTGTGCAGAATTGTAAAATTTTTTTCACCTTAAATTTTGCAATTTTTAACATACTATACTATGACATTTTTTTAAACTCGAATATAGATTTTTTTCACAATAAAAATTAAAATCTTAAAAAATATTATGACATTTTTTTCAAACCTTTTTTATGCAAAAAATTGAAAAATCATTTCATATAAATTTTTTTCATAAAGAAATTAAATTTTTTTTCACCTTAAAATTTGAAATTTTTGACGTACTATACTATGACATTTTTTCGACTAAAATAAAGATGTTTTTCACAATAAATGTTTTAATTTTTGACAAACTACTATAAGGTTTTTATGCAAAAAATTAGAAAAACCTTTTCATATTAATTTTTTCTTCATACAGAAATTTTTTTTTTCACCTTAAATTTTAAAAATACTATACTATGACATTTTTAAAACGAACTTTTATTTTTTTTTTCACAATAAAACTTTGAATTTTTGACATACAAAACTATGACATTTTTTTTTATCAAACTATACTATAACCTTTTTAAGCAAAAAAATTGAATTTCATTCAGAATTTTAATATTTTTTCACTTTCAAATTTGAATTTTTTGCATACTATACTATAACATTTTTTTCATACTTAAATAATAAAAATTCTAGGAAATATTTGACATTTTTAACATACTATACTATGACATTTTTTAACACTAACTTATTAATTTCTTTATAATAAAAATTTTAATTTTGACGTACTAAACTATGACATTATTATCAAACTCAACTATAACCTTTTTTACAAAAATTTGAAAAAAAAAGTATTCTATATATTAAATTTTTTTATACGGAATTGTAAATGATTTTTACCGTAAAATGTGAAATTTTTAACATACTACAATATGACATTTTTTCACTTAAATATAATTTTTTTTCACAATAACATTTTAAAATTTTTAAAAGATAAAATATGACATTTTTATCGTACAATGCTAGAACTTTTTTTATACCAAAATTTGACAATTTTTTTTCGTGTTAATTTTTTAAACAGTATATTCTTTTTTTTTTACCTTAAAATTTGATGTTTTATTGTACTATACTATGACATTTTTTTCCGTACTAAAATGAAAAAAATTCTTTAAAAAATTAAATTTTTAACATACTGTACTATGACATTTTTTACAATAAAATATTTTTTTCAAGATGAAATTTAAATTTTTTACATACCAAACTATGACATTTTTATCAAACTAAACTATAACCTTTTTTTTTACGAAAATTCAAATTGAATTTTTTTTTATACAGAATTGTAATTTTTTTCTCCTTAAAATTTGAATTTTTAACATACTATACTATGACATACTAAACTATGCCATTTTTCATTGTGAAGAAGAATTTTTACTTTAAATCAATATTTCATTTTAGTCTTTCCAATCGACAATAACTGCAGAAACTTTGCACACGTTCATTCAATGAAGTTGGTGTAACTGTTTTCTGTATGCCACTACAAGTTCAGTCTTCTGGGGGCACATTGAGCATCTTTCTCTCCATCCTTTTTATGTGTTCTCAAAATCCCTCATGTCCCATTGTCGTACAGGCGTTTCTATAAAACTTTCTTCTGGATCACCGCCACAGACGTTTTGCTGCCGTGAACCTGCCTGCTTTCCAGCTGCTCCAACTGCAGTATGTGCATCAGTCTCACCTCTGTCCATTCCTCTTTCTAGATCTCCTTTATAAAAATGAAGATTGATTGATTGTATGTGAAGCCCACTTCACAACAAGATTTAACAGATTTACAAAAATCCCACCACAATATGAAAAATAGTCTTATTCTTATTTGGTTGTATTTCTTGTTGACCCTGATTATTTACAGTTTGTGCAAGGCGTCATAACTGTGTGACTTTTAGAACTTGCTGAGTTGAGCACAGCAGCTCTGTGACTTCCTCTGTGGTTAGTTGATGTGGCTGTAGGTGTCACCACCCTAGATCTATGTAGTCATTTATTGAAAACACAATCACAACATAGAGTCATTTTAATTAAACTCATGTTCATACATAAAAGTCAAACTTCTTTGTTCCTTAAAAACACAGTAAAACGTGGATCATCACCTTCCAAACAAGCGTGAGAAAACAAACTTTTACAAATGAACAATGAAAGAACAAAAATAAAAGTATTTCCAAAGGGAAACAAATAGATTTTAAAGCATATGCTGCAAATACATTCTTTTTCCAGCAGAGTCAAACAAACAAACAAACAAACGGTAAAATAAGCACTTTGGTCTTCCTCCTCAAACCCACTGAAGATGATTATGCTAGCATTTTAATGAGTGAAGTTAGTAACATGCTAACTCTTTAACAGCTCGTGTCACACTGAAGATGTTGACTGTGAGCATGAAGACTTCATGTACCATGGATTATTATTTACTTCAGGGAGGGATGTGGATCCTAAGAAACACTATTTCTAAATTCTGCTTGAACAGCAGACACACTGTCAGGCAGAAGAGGAACAAAATATCTCTGACACTTTTTTTTCCACATAAAATCCGTTTTTAAAGTGCATTTCTTCACTCGTGTTCAAACTTGTATCACCTGCAGTCTTTAGGTCCAGAGTTTCAGTTTCAATTTCAGGTGATATCAACTTTACTTCATAAGTTTTGAATGATTGAACGTCACAAACTCACAAGAACATTATGAGGATCTAAAGTCTTCATACTAGATGGAGTAATGACGCCTGGCTTCAAGTGAGACTAATTACATAACATGAAACTGTTCAAACAAACAGATACAGCTGAAGATGTTCAGACGATATTTTAATTTTACTCTGAAGGGTTCCAGAAAGCCAAACTCACTAGAGTGGAGACTTCCTGAGTTATCCTCCTGTTTGAGTGGAAAACTAATATTTTGGACACTACAAAACTTTCATTTTAAGATTGTTTTGCTGTATAATTGTTGAAATTTTCGACTTTTTAACAAGAAATGTAACATAAAGAGAAGTCCTAATCAGCACTTAAAATCTGATTTGGAGCAGATTCCGTTAATGCCTGCATGTTTGAGGTGGAGTTGAAGAGCAAAGGGAAAATATTACTGCTGAAAATACTGTCATGAAAGTCAACCTCAGGAAAAATGGGTTTATTTCACATTGCCTGAGCATTTTCCCCGTGAAAAGTTATGAAAATGTACAGATGTGCGGCTGTGTAGGTTTAATCACACTCTCCCATTTTCTGCTTTGTGTCTGTGAATTGTGTGGTTGTTGCTTGAAGAACTCCTCTGTCTTTAACTGTTGATAAAAACTGTTTACACTGAGGAGTAATGGGTTGTGTAGATTCTGATTTTGCAGGTTGAGATGCTTGGAGCTCGAAAAATACCTTCAAATATGATCTGATCTTTATGTACAACATCCTTTAAAGCATTCAAATCAAATCCTTAATTTCAAAAACTCTTTGCCCAAAGAAAAGCACTACATTGACATAGGAGTTTTTCAGTTTTTGAAGGTGTAACATGGTTCAAGGTTTTGTTTTGAAACTCACTCAACATATAAATAATAATAACTTGACGGTGAGGCCTCAACCAATGACAATAAAATGATTTGTGCCCCTTCTATACTTTGCCTTCAGATTTCTGAAACCTTGCAAATGAAGATGAGAACTTAAACCATGACATTAAACATAATAACTTATGTTTGGAGAAATAATACTAACACTTTTTGCAGCCAGATAAAACAAACATCTGTTTGTGTCAAAGGACACAAAAATGAAACAAACTACAATTCAAAAAAGCCTAAGTAAAAAACACTGAGTGGGTAAATAAATAGTTTGTGAATTGCACAAAGTGGGAACGTTGAGAGCACTCTGATATGTCGAGGCAGACGTTCTTTTTTTTTCAGTCAGACGAGCGTTCAGTGAGTCAGTCAGTGAGAGCAAAGGTCAGCACCGATTCTCCGGTTAATGTCACGATTTGATCTTCCACAGCTGTGAATGCAAAAACAAAGAACACAACACTCCTCAGTAAGGTGGAGAGTCAGTTCATCATCAGATACCAGCTCTCTAAATCACAATATGTAAAAATATATTCAATTAAAAGTAGGACTCTCTAGATTCATCGTCTGGGTTCAGTTAACTGCTTTATGCCTACTGCCACATTAAAGCTCCAGTGAGGAGTTTCTGATGGTCATGAAATTGACCCAAATTCATACTTATGGATATTTATGATCTGCAAAAGCAAACAAGACCATCAAGGCTAAGACAGACTACTTTTCATACTGTAGTTTTAAAGCCTGAAACCCAAGTCTGCAAACTTTTATGTTCATTTAGTTTTGATGAACTTTGCTTGCATATATCATCTGATGATTTCTGTCAGCAGCTTCTCATTCATTAATGCCAGTATAGTTAAAGCAATGACATGATAACATAAACCTCTAAGTGTGTGTCTCCCTCACCTTGAGGTTAAATCCTAACAGGTCAGATATGACTCCCGACACGGCGGACAGAATGACCACCTGCGTGATGTTGTAGAGCAGAGGGTTCATAGTCAAACCGTACAGCCTGAAAGGAGTGTCCAACTCCTGCAAAGACAGAGAGACAAACTTGTGAAGAACTGTCATATTGAAGCAAAGATTTTACTTTTCTGCCTGAGCGGACGGTCCTCACCTTGAGTAATTTAGTCGCCAGTTTTAAAACATTGTTCACCAGCGTCAGCTCCTCTTTCTTGTTCGGCTTCTTCTCCATCTTCAGATACAAGTTAATCTGTGAAATGAACAGAAGGCTTTGTTGAAAACATGTCTGCTCCAATAATTCATGTAGTTTACGTTTCTGTGACGGTGTTTTTACCTGTTCGGTGAGCAGTATGGAGGTGTTGCTGTACTTCTTGCTGGTCTCGGAGCCCAGAGTGACGAACCTGAGCAGGAACAGAGACAGACTGGAGCACCAGATCACGAGCTCCCAGTTATAGTGACACTCCAGGAACGTCTCATGGACGTGGAGCAGCTGCAAGAGGAGAGATGAGCGCATCAACGATATTAGATCCAATTTTGCATAAACAAGCTTTTTTTTCTAGAGTGAAAATTTAATTTAATTTAGGGTATACAGTTTTGATTCCTCCATGTAGAAATGTAAATAGATGTTGTTTTCTGCCCATTTACATGCATGAACTGCAGAAAGGTTGAATTAATTTGAGGTAAAGTTTGACTCAAATCTGCGCAGTCACACTTTAACTACCTGGGCACAGCAGATGAAGACGACGGACAAAGTGAGCAGGAAGGCAGACGACACGATTACATCCACTGAACGCTGAGGACCCCGCCTCTGCAAAAAACAACCTTTGAGTTAAATTCCTCCTCGATCTGCACTTTTGACTCATTACAGCTGTTAAAATCTATTCTGATGTTACCTTGAGGTAAGAGCGTAGCGACAGCCACATCTTAATGTTCTGAACTTTCTTCAGTCTAAAATGTGGGACTTCAGACTTTCTCGCTCTGCGGGCTGAAGTCAGGTGACCAAACAGCTTGGCAAACAGTAGCCTCTGAAACACACACGGGACATTTAGCTAAAAACAACCTCCATGCTTCAGATAGATAGAAAACAAGTCACTCTAGAGCACATTTTCAGCGAAAGCTACCGCTGCCTCACCTGTTTGTAGGTCCTCTCTGCTACACTGAGCAGGAAGAAGAAAAGCCATATAAGGCATACACGCACCAGGAAGCTGAGGGTTACCATGGTGATGACCAAGGCATCTGATCCAGACCCACCTCCCAGCGCCACAGACAGCAGCTCATTGGCCGAGAGTGTGGTCAGCTGATCCACATCTCTGTACTGAGCCAGCCTGCAAGAGAGGAGAGCTATTAAAAACAGACGATACTGAACATTTGTATATTTAGATATTCAAGCAGGTCTGTTAAATCTTTACTCCTTTAGGTGTGATGATAGATCAAAATTACCTGTACGCAAAAGGAGTGAGGCCCAACGTGACTGAAACCAGATTCCCAAAGACCTGATATCCAATCCCAGGAGTGTAGAGATTCACCTGTGCAGGAGGGCGGAGAGACACAACAGAGCAGTGTGGTCACATCACTCAGCTCTCAGACACACACACACCTGGATAAAACACGACCGGTGGCTTATCTTACTCTGTTCATGATCATGCCGCTGATCTCCAGGACGGACATGTCGGCCTTCTTGCACTCGTTCCCCTCCCACACGATGGCGCTCACTCTCTCTAGACCGGGGTTGGAGCTGTGCAGCCAGGGAATGTGACCCTGAGGGGGGGGATAAACATAACAAGAACCTTTAACCCAGCTGTGTTTTTACTGCAGGAACACTGAACTTGGAAAAAGAAAACAACATGCTGAGTGATAAATATTTAGGTTGTTATTTTAACGGCATTTAAATGAGTCCCAACAAGTTTACAATCAAAAAGACTACAACTGAATCCTGGTCTCTATCTAAAGTGTCATGTTTTGATTTGTCCACATTAAAACTGATGACAGAACAATGAAATAGGTCGTTAATGACATTTAAACACTGTTAGAATAAATCACACAGATTAAAGGGATATTCCGGCATAAACACACCGTAACACCGAGTTAGAAACCCCCGAATGTTGCTGACTGCTCGCTTCTCTAGTTTTTAGGTTTACAATGTACCCCCAGAAAAACCACATTTCTCATGTTAGCATGTTCCCGGACCTGGTGAAAGGGGTCGTCTCTGTATTCCTTCTTAGCAGGAGGACAGACGGGCGTCCCTCCTCCTTCACCCTCTGTGAAGAAAAACAGTCACAGTTTTAGTTTTGAAGCAGAAAAAAATCTACAAAAGACACAACAAACTTTTTTTAATCTATTCTGTTTTATTTTTTCTTCTGACCCGTCTCTGAAGTGCAGGAGGATCTGCACTCAGCACAGTGCAGGAAGTCCTCCCACATCAAGTCCTCTGTCTCAGACTCATGTCGCGTACTCTCTGAGTCCTGAGTCCTCAGACTGGAGCATCTGGAGCTGCAGCTGGTCCCCGACTTTGGAACATCCTAAGACGCACAAAAGAGGAATATTAGATATTGTAAATAAAAGATCACTCTACCTGTTTATTTTTTTATTTCTTGCATAGTAACCTCAGAAGCCTCAGTGTGCAATAAATTATATGATTATGTATATTCTGTACACATGTAAATATAACTTATGTACATATCTTTTTCTTAAATTAACTTTAAGTTTCTTTATCCTTAATTTCTCTTTTTGTGTCTGTACCATGCTGCTGTAAAGTTGGAATTTCCCCCTGTAGGACTATTAAAGGAACATCTTATCTTATCTCTGATCTTCGTAAAGGTCCCATATATGCTATTTTGGGTTCTCACAACAGGTTTGAGTTAACTTGTCACCATAAGTGAATTCTGTGGAGTCTCTGCAGTGATTTGAGCAGACAGGGATGCTGTGACAATGAGGCGATGAACTGATCGGCTGCTTTAATGTTGTGTGAGGATGCAGACAACATGCAGAGGTGGAAAAACACTACAGCAAACGCAGTATATGCTGCATGTCTCTGACTGCTATGTTAAAATGTGAGTGTTATCCATCCAGATGAAGTGGTGAGCACAAACAAATAAATCTGCATCATTATGTCGCCGCAGCTGTTTATTCAAATCAGAGAGAGCTTTATTTTCCCAGGAGGTGGACCACAGAAACATGCAGAGTTTTCAGTCTTCACACTCTTGAGTTTCTGGGCTGGTGGATGATGAAATGATCATGTACAGACATGGGAGTTGTGTTTTTCATTATACTGGAGCTGAGTGGATTTGTGTGTTTACCTCCACAGCGTAGTGTTTCTTGTAATGATGCGTATTCTTGCGGTTTCTGAGTATACAGTCGCTATTCATTCTTTCAACTCCCCTGCGGAGGGCGCTGTAGGACGCTTCAGGGTCCTCCTCACTGGACGCCTCGTCTGATACAGGCTCCTAAAACACAAACATTAATCATAACTCTGTCAAGCGCCACATGATTGATCGAAAATGAATCTAAAGCTCCCTGATAAAAGAGTCGATAAAGTCAAAGTCAGCCCTGTGATTGATCACCTTAGTGCCGCCTGCCAGCATCAGGCCTGTGCTGTGGGGTGTGTGTGTGTGTGCGGGCTGGATGTGGGAGTTCCAGCACACCTCGTCAGCTCTGTTCAGCGAATCGCAGCGCTGCTCGTGCAGCTGGAGACCCTCCTCGCTGCTGCGATTGGTCACCCGGCCGTCTAGAGACACGTAGCCGTTGTCTGTCTCTGTGGACTTGTCTATGGACAGCTTGGACTTCTTAGATCTGACGGAGGACAGGAGAGGGGAAAGATGGGGGGAGTGAGCAGATCTTTGGACGAAAACTCAGCAGTAATGAAGTTCAGGGTTAGAAGCAGACATGCAGACAGATAAATCACACGTGTAGGATGCATTCAGCGCAACACTGTGGAACACTTTAGAAAGAACATCTACTTTGGAGGGTTGGAGGGTTACTTTGAACAACTGTAAACACACATGAATGAATGAATGAGGGGGATCTAGTTTTGTTAAGTGTAGCACCTGCAGCCTGATGGTTTTATTCTGTAACCTACTTGAATGCACAAATTCATCACAAATAGGAATTATGGGTAAATTTAAGGGGTGTACACAGTCTAGTAAGTTATGACCGGATCGAAGAGAACGATGAAGTGTCAGAGGTGGACATGTCTCGCACCGACTGCGATTCATCGTAATTGTGATACTGAATCAGTATATGAGTTACAAAGAGCTCAGAAATGTTCCACACTGTTGCTGTCTGCTGAAAGCTGCTCAGAGAACAAGCTTAGGGAGAAGTTTTCTGACGTGATCATCAGGATTTTGACTTTTTAATGTCTTTATAAAAGAGTCCCACCTTCAGATCTACTCAGAGTTTCTATCCAGTGGAAAACCTCTCCCCGTGCTTTCCTCTGAACCCAGCTTGACTGAGTTGTGCACATTAGAATCAGCTTCAAAATCACCTCTTCCTCACCAAATACTGCCAATGTTATTTTGGAACGAGGGACCAGGAAGTGTTCAGCTAATGAAGAGCCCTCTGAGATGTAGATTGAGACGTCGAGTTAAATAGAAGTGAGATGAGGAGAGGAAGTGATGTTGCAGCTGAAGAAGCCCAGGTTAGGTCTGAGAGAGGCTGGGATTCAGTTTCTGACTAACTTCAAAAATAGACAGTGACAAAATATCGAAGTCAAAGTGACATAACACTTAAAAGATCCTGATCCTGTCCTGAACTGAACCCCAGCCTGTCTCTTCACATACTGTCGTCTTTAAGAGATCAGGAAACGTAAATACACACCCAGCTTTACAGATATCATGCCAGAAATCTTGGAAGAAAGCGCCCAGGCTGTATGTGGTGCTGGCTGAATGGGAGTGTGGCGCCCCCTCCTGTGTGTTATCGGTAGTGCTAGACCCGTCGCCTTCCCTATGCACCTCCATCTGAGATGCCTTCCTCAACTTCCTTCAGTTTGGAAAGAATAGAGGGTGGAGAAAGACTTAGAGAGAGGACCTGCAGACTAACAAGGTTTGAAACTGCAGCAGAGTCTAACCTGGATGTGTTTGCTATTTTTCTATCGTTTAGAAAAGAAGAAAAAAGACTGCGCTAAAAAAAAATCAGGCTGGATCGTGAGGCTGCCGTCATCCACTAATTCTGCTAAAATCAGTATTGTATGAAATGTCAGTTCAAAAGAAAAGACAAGAAGAGTCGTGTGAATTAACAGATTGTGATTTAGGAGAACTGAGGTAGACTCGGTTAGTACCCGCTACCCAGCGCTCTGAATTCAGCTCTCCCCCCTGTAAAGTCCTTTCTGCAGCTGTGCCCTTTCTGTCCAGAGTCTGAAAAGTGTCTCAGCAACTTTTTAGAAACCACAAACAGCAGCCACACACTAAAAGCTTTAATACGGCAAACAAAAAAACACAAACTGCAGGTCTAAAGACTACACAACACTCTCATAAACTTGCTGTCTGCTTTCATATACATGTTTGTCTTTAACAGATAACACTTCATTCATCACGGAGATGTTTGCTGTCTACTCAGAAGGGGAAAGTCATAAATCAAATAACTTCAGCTGGATATAAAAAAAAGCCTCTATTAGAGACTAATATTCTGGTTAAAACCTGTGACTCGATGTTACATGCAGTTTTAAAAGTGTAACTAGTTCCAGCTGAAGTCACAAAGCTGAGATTAAACTTGTGGGAAAATATCTCCACGATAATTAAGCTTCATTTATCTCTTCCTGTTTGTATCTATTCGTTTCATGTCTGTTTTCATTTTCTTTCATCTCTCGTTTGATCTATCAACCCCTGTTTCACTCACTATTTCTCTCTTTTTCTTTTATTCACTCCTTCTCATACAAATACTCCTCTTTTTGATGTCCCTCATGGTTACCTGCGTCTCTTTCCTCCACTGCTGGACACAGGTTTTGGTGTCCTAGTGGAGACGATCTGACAGTGGACGGTGCCCAGCAGCAGCATGAGCCAGATGGCTCCAAACACCTCAGTGGCTGGAATCCCATGAGGCTGAGGGATGCTGACATACAGGACTGCTGCTGCAACTGAGGGAGAGGGAATAAGCCGTGTCATAAAAGTCAGGCTACAGAGAAAGAAATGACAGAATCAGAGCTTCAAAATGATCAAGATATTTATCTCAGCGAGGCCCAAAGTGAAAGATAAACACAATGACTAAAATTTAACAAACACAGGAAAGTATCTCTGATGAATTTGTCACTGAAGTGACTGCTCCCATGTCGGCAACAACAAATGAGTAATTTTCACCTGAATTTATATATCAGGACAAACAAAAAGCTTTGACAGCACTGAATGAGTCCTTGCACTAATGCTCACCTTGGGTTCAGGATTTGTCTGGGCAAATTCCTGAAATTTTGGGGGGAACTCTTGAGAAACATGCCAGGAAATGTTCAGTTATTTTCCTGAATTACCTAAATTTTCTTGGAAATTTTTAATAATATTTCAGGAAATGTTGGGAGACTGCCAACTTTAAAAAGACTTTCCTACAAGCTCTTTCAGGAATTTTGCTGATGATTTGTCTTGGAAATTTTCAGGACTTTGGGAATTTTTCACTTTTCCTGTGAATTTTCTGTAATTTTACAGAATATTGAATATAATATGCTGAATATTCTCTGTCTTAGAAATTTCTTTCCTCTTTCCTGGCTGTGTATTCACCTTAAAAGGCAGGATGTAGCCTCCCTACATCCCAGTACCAGTGTTGTTTTCATCAACGTCAACGTCATCGTCAACGAAAAAAACACTGCAGAATATATGTGTAACGTTTGACTGACGAAATGCTCATTATTTTTTGCAACTCTCGTCTCGTCACATTTTAGTCATCTAAGACTTATGTTTAGCTCGTCAACGTCACGTCTTTGTTGTGGAAAAAAAGGGGAAAACAACAACACTGTCCAGTACCCGTTTCTCTATAAACTTAAGATCAATTCAGCCTCGATCAGTCGGTAAATGTTGGGATGACTCTGCAGAGTAAAGGAGAAACATCATCTCACACTTACCCTGCAGCAGATAGAGAGCCAGGAGTAAGAGAAAAATGGCTCTGGACGTGACCTGGATCCACCATCTGTAAAAGAATGGGAAGAAGACAACCCTGACGATGCCCTTCCTGGTGAGGGACGTCCACGGACTCTCTGGTTTGGCTTTGGCAAAGGCCGAACCTGCAGGGGCAGGGAGAGGAAATACACATTACATAAGAACAACTTTGTCCTTCTCTTTTTCACCTCTTCTCCTCCTTCTGTTTCTCTTCTTCTATTTCTTCCTTGGTTATCTCTTAGTCTTGCAGCAACGTAAATTAACAATGAAGAAAAATTTGACTAATCTGATAAATAATTAAAACCCTGATGAATGTGAGACAGAGGTGGTGAAATAAGAGTGCCTGGTTGAGAGATGAGGAGAAGAAGAGCGGGGACAGGTGGCGACAGGTCAGAGGCTGGCACAGCAGCATTGGCATCTCAGGTACACCTCAGCGTGAATGGTGGCGTGTGTCTGATGGTCTAGGTCTTAGCAGGAAGTGTGTTGGGTAATCTAATAAGCTTGATGGACACAGACAAACAATTCTCTTACCTCTAACCAGGTCCACGTCTATCAGGTCCGGTTTGACATGTCCCGTCTTCTTTGGCTTGTTCCTCAAGCCCTGCAGAGGGAGGCAGAGAGCGAAGAGTCAACGCAGGAAATAACACAAATTCACACACACACTTACTCAAAATCAGCTACTGGAGGCTTCTCGTGCACTTAAGGTCTTCATAAACACACACACTCAGTGTTTGAGGAGGAACACCGTGCATTCAGGCTCACACAGCTAATGACTCAGTCTTGTAGTTCACAGCAAAAGCATCTACTTACATCTGCTATATTAAGCTTGTATGAGTTCATTATCTTTGAAACAGATTTCTGTCTATGAAAGGACAGCAGCCTTTCAGGACAAAAAGCCCTAAGAGCTGCATGATAAGTTTGATCCTCCATTTGTAAAGTTTTTAACATTGAATACATCTATCAATACAAATTCTTTCATGCACAACAACCACTCCCTTCTTCTGTCTTTCAACCTAAATACAAAAACGCAAATAGTACTAGTTTGTTTATTTTGAGCTACTGTAGAAACATGTCCGTGCAGGTTAACAGCCCCTGTAAAAGAGGACCAGCTTCTATGTAGATTTGAGTTAACAAAAACAAAAGCCATGAATTATATTTAGGTGATTTTATACTAATTTAATCATACTTCAATATTTCACTCTATTTCTACCAGGTCTCTTCAGCCAAAAGCCACTGAAATACCACACACTGTACCTTTAATTTAAAGAGTAAAAAAGCATCCCTCAAAACCCTGCAGGTCTTTACCAGCAGCTTTACAAAACAGTGTATCACAACCTTTCGGTTCCTCCCTCCTCTTTGTAATATGAAAGTTTTAAGACACCAGGCTTTCTGCAGGTTTCTGCAGTTTTCCACTCTGAGATTAAAGCTCTACCGTGGCACGCTCACTTCCTTTACTTGCCACTCACTTCCTCCTGTGACGCACACTTTTCAAGTGAGTGCACGTTTGTGAGTGTGTGTGTGAGAGAGCGAGTGAGTCAGCTGTGACTGGAAACTGCAGAAATATTAAGATGAACTATAAAAACTCAGAGCTCCCATGCATGTATTCAAAAATAACATTCAATGTAAATGACCGCAGATAAATAAAACACATATGAACCAATAAAGGCTGTTGACTCTGTGTGTGTGTGCGCACGTGCGTGTGTGTGTGTGGGGTTTGGTACAATAATGTCTCACAGACAATGGGAGCTGCTGGACAATAGCTTGGTTTTAGAGGCTTCATTTAATGACTGTGGGTAAACATGGTTGTTACCGCAGTGTGTACATGTGAGCTGCCACACACACACACACACACACACACACACACACACACACACACACACACACACACACACACACACACACACAGTCTATTAACAATGGCTCATTTAAATCATGTGTCTGTGCAGTTTGGTCACGAGCTAAGAGGCTGTTTAATTGAGTACCATGAGTATATTTCAAACAGATAGTTAAAGTGAGGATTTGGAGATTGAACTTGAACTCTGCATTTGGATATAAATATTTTGTTTGTACCTTTTTGGTAGATGTTTTAAAATTTGAACTTTATTCTTCAACAAATGATGTCTGTCTATATCTCAATTTGTCTATTTTGAGAAAATTATCTCTAGTTGCAATCATATTGTCAAATCTAAGTCCTCAAAGTATTTCAGTAGGAGCGCTTAGAGGCAGGTATCAGTGAAACACACAAAGCTCTCAGCAGACCTAATAAGCTCCTCCAAACCTTGAAACACTTCCACATTTTATCTGTGTGAGTCACAACAAGCAGTGACACACATAGCCGTCCACTTGAACGAGGCTGGCTCAGGCTAATATTTACACACAGGCCAATCAGGTCCTGTGTTATCAGTCAGTGGTTTGATAGGGGGACACTTGATGGAGACTCTTATCTCTAAATGTCACATCCAATAAGCCAATACGCTGAGAAAGCGAGAGCATGCACAAGAGAGAGTGAGAGAGAGAGAGACAGTGAAACCATGAGAGTAAACTGGGTGGACCTGGGTGTGTGTTTGTGTTTGTGTGAGTGTGTGTGTGTGTGTGTGCTCCTGCAGGGCTGGGAGAAACTGATCGATAGCTTCCTCTTAGCAGTAGATTTACTGCTGGAGTTGAGTCCTTCACAGACCTCTTGTCTGGCCACAGCTCTCTCTCTTTTTTTTATCACGGTGCTATTCATAGCTCTACATCTTTCTGTGATTGCATTTCACCTCATTAAGGCTACAGTTTTGTTTCCAGTCACATATGCCAGTCATTGATTTAAATACTCTGTTGGAGAAATAAACTCCTGTAACTGTTATTTTCCTGATTTCTGCTGCTCTCAATAATGCTTTTAACTCCAGTTTAGCTCCTGCTACACTATTGGTGACACACTTGAAATGTCATGTGTTCAAATTCAAAATTAAACTCATAATGCACCAGTACAGGTTGTAGTTTTAATTTAAACCAGCAGGTGGCAACAAGTAGCCCTTTATAGTGTTTGCTCTGTTATGACAGGCTGAAATGTGATGTTAAGTTTACTTTAAAATAAAAAATTTACGCCATCTTAGAAAATTACAGCAGTTAAAAAAAAAAAAAAAAAAAAAAAAGGAAAAATATTTTTTTATTTTATTTCAAAAAGTCGCCACAGACAAACGAGCTTTGAGGTTTATCTTTTCATAAACAAAGAAAAGGTGCTAAAAAAGCAGCTCAAGTAGAAAAAGCATCTGACGTTTCAAAGCAGGAGCTCGTTTCATTTTAGAGAGAGCTGAGCTCTTGTTTTACGAAGATTTATTTAAAGTGCCTATCTGGGTTTTACGAGGTTGTGAACACTGTAATTGACTCTGGGAGGGTTGAGAGTGGGACACACCTTCTATCTATACCCGCGTATAATAAACTCAGCTCAGTCTGCAGCAGCGACAAACTCTGGGAAACCAATTATGTGTGACAGATGAGGAGCCAAGGTCACAGCACTGTTTATTTGTGTGTGTGTGTGAGAGAGAGAGAGACAGAGACAGACAGAGAGAGAGAGTGGACTTTGAGCTCATTAAAGAGAGTGACTCTCACCTCTGTTTACAGGATTAGAGGTGGGGTAAGAGGGGAGGAGGGACATTAGAGGCTAATTAAACATCAGCGTGTACAATTCAGTTAGTTAGAATTAAATCTACTACTGCAGTAAGAACAATGTAAGAGTTTTTACTCCGAGAGAGCCAGGTTTAAAAGAAATCTGTCATTAAATCTGAGTAGAGAGAGAGTGGAGCTGTTCTCTTTAAAGGGTCAAAGGTGAGAGGCTGCAGGAGACAGGTGGAGAGGCTCTGATTACCACGACTCTCACACAAGCAGTACTGACCTCCTGTCAGGACCCACAAAGTGACCCAAAGCAGTTTAGTACAAATTAAAGCTCCTGTGAGGTGTTAAAGGTGGACAACTTGATTTTTTTTGTAAACATGTGCAGCCAATTTTTCAAAAGTTAAAAACAACAAATCTTTCAGTTCCCTGAAAAGTCATCAGTGTAACAATCGGAGATACTGAAGAAGCTGCAAACAGCATTAGTACTAAAAGTTCAACAGGGTGCAATATGTGTGCATCAAAAGTTGGTAATCACAAAGGTATCAACCTTCAGGACCAATATTGTTGGTGAAACTGGCGCCGCTCGTACATTTTTATACATAACCACCACTAAATAAGAAATAGTCTGTTACAGGCAGAGTGAAGTGTGATCATGTGGGACTAAACAGACTTTTATTTCTGAATCACAGGGTGAAAAGGCTCTTGACTTGGTTAAGTGTTACAGCAGAACAGCCTTGAACTCACACATTCCTGTAGTGACGGAAGCGTGACCTGAATTTTTTCACCTATTCCCAGACTAACACAGAGAACAGACTGGTCTCATATATAGACTGTATATACTATGGACAACTTGGTTCCGCCTACTGCCTGTATACGGATTTGAAGCCAAAAAGCTCTCGGTATTTCTGGGATTTTTCTTCATTTCCTGAAACCAGCACTGCGCAGTAGCGATGCACGCATTTGGGCGCGAAGTCGTTGAGAGTTGCTGTGATGACGCTCGGCTCAAACAGCGCATCCCCCAGTAGAGCTACGCAATCCCTGAACGCCCATAGGCTGTATCAGGTGTCAATCATGGAAAACATGAACCCCCTAATAACTTTTAAAAACGAAGCTTCACAGAAATAAGAGAGCTTGAGCACAAACCAGTCTTACAGTAACTACATGTCAACATCACAAGCAGGGGGGAGAAAAAATTATGTTCTGTGTAATAAATTTCTAAAGTTTGTCCACAGCTCCATAAGCTTTGCTGGCGGAGGTGGGATTTATGACCTATACTGCAGCCCGTCAACAGAGGGTGCTGTTCTCGGAGTGGCTTCACCCACCGAGGAGGCAGATGGCGTCCATTCTGTATACAGTCTATAGTCTCAAATATTCTGCTTTGACCCTGACATGGTTTGTGTTCTGTCTCTTTTGACTCTTTGTTCTGAGTACACCCTAAAGCACTTTCTCTCTGTTTGGTGTTCAAAACTACATCTACTACAACAACACTGTCTTACTGCCACACTGATAACACGACTCATGTTAATCCAGCTGTGTGTTCACACTACAGCAGCCAATGAGGACACGACTGCCCAGGGTCCTAATTTTTCTATCAGGAAATCTCAGGAAACAACGTTTGCGTCTTACAGTCAATCACAGAGAGGTGATGCTACAGCGTGAACACAGAGTGGGGTTAATAGACACACCAGAAACTGACTCTGCCAACCCAACCAATCACAATCTAGCAGTCTACAAGGTGGGTGAGCAGACGTGCACTGTGGGACAACATGAGGGTGGTCCTCCCCTCACTGTGTACTCACCAGAGAAATAAACTGTAGAGGAGGAGGAGGAGGAAAAAGATGGATGAAGATGGAGAGGAGGAGTTGGAAGAATGGTGGGTAGGTGACACCCAGCCAGAGAGGCAGAGAGGAAAGGGTTAAAAAGAAAAACACTGGCAAAGAGCTGACAGCATGGTGAGAGACAAAACTGAAGGTGCTTGGCAACAAGAAGAAGAAGAGGAGAGTGATGATGAGGAGAAGCAGAACAAAAAAAAAGTGACAAAGAGGAATTTCAGCAGAGAAAGAAACCACGAGAGGAAAAGAGAGAAAGAGAAACAGAGGGACATGTGGAGTAAACAAACGAAAACAAACATACCTTTATTTCTCTCTGCTCCACTGATTTCTCCCATATCTGCTGGTCATAGGCGCCAATCTGAAAACAAAGGAGACACAGAGAGAGGATTAATGATGAAATACGCTGAAAAGAGCGGCACAAGACAAGAACCGGGTTTGGAGTTTTACTTTATGATACAATGAATTTGTCATCTTTCAACACAAAGTGGGATTATTATTAACAATAAAAGCCTTTAAACAAATTTAAAAGCTTTTCCAAGAATATGAATATTTCCCTGGAAGGATTTATGGCGTTCAAAAAGGTGAAATTTGGCACCATTAAAACAAAGTGTCCTGCCAGCTCTCCTCTGAGTTCTCAGCTGCATCATTATCATCACATAAATCAAATCAGGATTGTGATGAGTCTGCATTACGGTTCATATTTTTGTTTGGGGTTTTGAGGCTGTTGCAGCACAATTGGAGCCGCCATGGCCTCATAAAACATGTTGAATTATAATAACTGTGAGTCATTAAAGGTTCACTGCCAATGAATTCAGATTTTGAAAGACTGAGGGCACCCTGGGACCTGCAGGGAGAAAAAGATGTTTGCAAACTTTGTCATCAGAGATGTTCAATCACTCGTTAAAAAACCTCTAAAATTAATGAAATCATTGTGAAGGTAGAAAGTGTTGAATTGTTGATCTGAGTTAGTTAATTGGTAATTCTGGTGCCCATTAGGCGAAGTATTTTAAAACAATATGGAGCATGCATTTTAAAGCTTAATTATCTATGATCATGGGATGGTCAAAACTGCGATCCCCTTTAAAATGAAGTATGAGTGTTGTAAACAGGAGTGCTTTCACACCAGTCCACTGGAGGAGTTGAAAAGGTTACCATACTCAGCATTCTTCTTACACTCGCCAAACCCTCAAGAAAAACAAGAAGTAATAGTCTTTTTCTTATGCTCAGGGTTAAAAAGCTCGATAAGCCACAAGAAGTAACTTTTTGTTTCTTGACGACAGGCCCCTTTTTCACTGTCGCCCTCTTTTCTTATTTACTCTTCATATCTCCGTCTTTGCCGTCTCTCTTCTGGAGAAACAGGTCCAATAAGTGCAGAATCAACTCCCTAAGAAGTCTCTTTTAAGAGTATTATCTGGTACAAAGACCAGTGTCAATCACTGTCACTCACACACAGGTGTAGAGGCGGTGACTCAGGGGAAATGTACACATGTAGATTGAAAAACTAAGCACAGATGGAGCTGATCGTACAGTACAAAAGAGAGATGGACAAACAGTTTTGTAACATGGTCAGCCTTGAAACATGCATCCTAACTAAACAAACACTCCCTACCGGACCAAACTGGACCAGTTTCACCTTGAAACACTCCTCTGCCTCCAGATAAAGCTGTGTACTCTCTGCTCTCCATGAGGGAGGAAAAATGGACCTGGAGAACTTCAAAGTCACACAGTTCTCAAACAACAAATGTGTTTCATGAATCAGCTGATAATCCAATGTGAGCAGATCTGCATAGTCATGTGTGTCTGTGTGAGTCTTAAAGGCCCTAAGCCTGGGTCACCCCACGAGCTTGCCAGTGGAAACTGCATCTTTAATGAGACTCCATGAAAGATAGATGGAAAGAGAGGAAGAGGGAGGTCAAAGATGAGGAGAGAAGGATTCAAGGAGAGGAGACAAGTTTTTGAGCTGCTAACAGATAAATATGTTTTTCTTTTCTTCACTTCTGAGTCTGAGATTCAAACTCCTGAATTCAGACTTTCTGACAGTAGACCGGACATTAGAGAGAAATGATCAGTTTGGCGCTCATATTTTACAGCCATGGTGATGATCAAGAGACAAGGCTGAGATGTGGATCATCATGTCTGCACACTATACTTGCCAACAGCACATGCAAAGACTGACCCTGATCTGAGGATGGGCTACACGAAATTTATATATTATTATCTATATATTGAGTTTTCCTTCAAGGATAAATAAAGTTCTTCTTACACAACTTTCAGCCTTTAATTTCCACTGAAATAGTCTGTCTATGCTTTGCTTTAATTTGTAAATACAGACTTTACGACTCCTTCGCCCTGATTTTTTCAGGCTGTTATGTGCCGCTTCCCACAAGATCATGTACTTGTGTTCGACTAGTGAATTAGGTTAGACCTTTTATCTCTGCTTATTTTTTTGTCTTAACATGTTCAAGAAGTGATTGCTAACAAAAAAATTCTAAACCTGTTTTATCATAACTAGGGCTGAGAAAGAAAAGCGGATTCATTCCCATAGATTTTTACCCAATTTAAAATCCAGTCTACACTACATGACTGAAGTCACTGTAAAAATACACACAGACTGGAGAGAAAGTAGCTTTAAATTATTCAACAATGTTAGAGAGCACTGTGATGAACGATCTAGGTATTTCTGACATCTATGCATATCATTGAACAGTCTATATTCATGATGACAGTCTTGTTTGCTTTTGTTGGTCACAGGGATGCCGTAAACCTTATTTCTGTCTGTTTCATAACCGACTTAAAACCCCTGACAGGAGCTTCAAATCCCCTGAAACACGCATTTGAAAGCTGCTGTGAAGAGATTTCTGTTTTATTTTAACAATCTAATGAATCACTCATCGTAACTCTTACTGTCGCAAATGTAAAGAAAGGTTTTGTCCGTCAATCATTTGATCCAACACTGACCCCTTCACAGATATTAAAGGTTTGAGCTTTAATTAAAAATATCAGTCATGGTTTTGTTTGCTTCTACAGGTCATAAAGAGTGATCAATATTCATTTCTATCTGATTCACAACCAGTGTAATCTTACAGCTCAACAATTTAAAGACCACTGGGCAAAAGAAGCCTTGAAGATGCTTGAATAAACATGGGAGGAACATACTTCTTCTATGCTTTGCAGAAGATATTTTTCCCTTCAAGCTCTAATAATGCATTTAAATAACTCCTCTCCTTATTCAAATCAAAATAAATCAAAATCCAGTTTGTTTAACTTCCTGATTTGACTGTGACTTACTAACAAAATGCAGCCGAGGCTCCACCAGTCAAGAACAAACACTTTAATCTAGGCGATGAATGGCATTAAATCTGACGTCTGGTTTGCTGTGACATTGGGGCTGACAGCTAATTTTCCACATCACTCTACCTATTAAAATACACGCGCCCACTTTCACAGATAGGAGAGGATGATGGGAATGTATGCGAAGGACAGCCAGAGGGCGAACATGACCAGACTGTAGAGCAGACAGATAAAGCAGGAAAGAGAGGAGATAAAGGGGAGGAACAGGTATGGAGAGAGGGATGTTTCTCACACACATACTCGCACATCGACACGCAACCCTCGTTACATCATGAAGTAACAAGGTGACAGAGTGGATTTAACAGCTTTGGAAATCCTCTTATCTGCACATAAACACAGACTCATCATCTAATATGATCCCCTCTTTTCAAAGTAAACGAGTAATCAGGCAATAAACACTTTTTGTTTATCCAAATGATACTGTGAATGATAAAAACGTTCATACATATATTGAAAGTTTGCATTTGTAATAGACAGGTTTTTAGAGTCTTGGGTTATGTCTGCGTTGATATCACTCAGAGGAGTCAGACTTAAGTGATTTGAAAAGCAAATCAAGCAGTAAGAGAGCACCATGAGGAAAGACGATGATGCCAAGTGTGCCGCTGCGGCAGTGCTGGGGTCACCATGACGACGGATGGAGAGAGAGTGAGAGGGAGGGAGGGATAAGGGATTATGTGGTGAAGCTAAAGACTTATGTAACAACCTCCTCTGCAGTGGTAAAGGAGTTTCTACACATAGACGCACACACACAGAGATAAAGAGATGCTGGACTAAAGTGATATGGAGGGGGATTAAGTGTCTAGAGCGCACAGATACCCACAGAGTTTAATTCATTGACATACATGTGGTGGATAATCTATACTAGTATTCGTTTGAGGCTGTTTCTCTGCTATCTGTAAAGACCCTGAGTGTGCTCGAGTTTCAACAAAAGGCTTCAAGTGATCAAATAATTGAGCAGAATGATTTCTTTCTAAACTCGTATGCCATGGCTCAACATGCTACAGTAGAAGCTCTACAGGGTCTGTGTTCCTCACATACTGGTGCACTTTGGATACTTCAGGCTTTCTGTGCTTCAATTATTTTCAGAGGGGAAGCTGCATGGATGAAACATAAACTCAGTTTAAACAGGGTGAAAACAATGGACCCGCTCCAGTCCAACAAAGTGTTCATTTCTACCTTGTATGCATAATTTGTGCAAATGCAGCAGCTGCTTAATTCCCTTTTTCATCATTTGTCATTCGTAATAACTTTTGTGCACAAGATCATTTTCTGTACAAGCTAACTTTTGCACACAGAGGAATTTGCAATTGTGCATTCAAGATAAGTTTCTTGTGCACAAGTGCGCAAGATGAACATAATCAGCCTTTTAGGATTACAGAGGTTATACTGAAAAGGGAAACTTTTCTTCAACAGTTTTTCAGGTGTTCTGTGGAATTAAAACACCTTCATTTTGTTCATTTTGCTGTCCAAAATATATATAAAAATGTCCACGCCATTTCCACCTACTCAGGTCTTTATCAGGTCTTCTGTCAACAGTCCTACTCGAATTGTTATTTTCATATCTACAGTTTTTAGTAACTGTGTGATTTGAGGGATGCACTCTGAAAGCACTACAGGGAACCTTCAGTTTGGCAAATTTGGACAAAGCAGTGTGTCTGCAGTGTCATCTTTGTGGAGAGAAATGTTTAAAACCTTCACAGTGGGTTTCAATAACAAACAGGCAGAAAGTTTTTGCCAATCTCTTCAGCTCCTCTCAGCACTGTGGGGTGTTTTAGCCTCTTTCAGCTAAAATGACTCACAACTTACACTGACCACACACAGGCTCAGGAGCTTTGCCCTGAAACTGCTGAATGTTTGGACAGACTTGCTTTAAAAATCTTTCTGTGTAAACCATTTGAAGGAGATTGTATAATGTGTAAACAGCTTATTTCTGCTGCCTCAAACACAAACGCACCTTTAAGAAGAGTCTTTGATGTATCAACCTGAGTAAGAGACTCTTCACCAACACAGATTCCTGATTTTTCGCTTTTTCCTGCTTCAAAAATGAAAAATTTGCGGCTACTCTATTTTGTATAACACACACTAACACTTCAGTTCATTCATCTGCATTAACGGCTTCTCTCCAGAGCCTCGGTCGTCTCCACTGTGAACTGTCTGTGTTTAAAACCATCTCACCTGTTTGAGGAAAGTGACTATTTACATACGTCTGCAGGTGTGGTCAGCTTTGACAAACACTGATTAACCAGCAGCAGAGCAAACTGACACATGGTCTGCAGAGTGTGTTAAAATAGGTTAGTCTCAGTATCATGTGCAATGAAAGAAAATTTCAGACTAAACCCAAAATTAAAACACATGAACAACTTTGTTAATCCATAAAAACTTGAAATTATCATCATTTCTATTGTCCATAAACTTGATTCTTCAATCAAAGCCCCAAACCCTAACCTTTATTTTAAACATTTAAATTAATTTTATTGTTATTTATCATTTAATAATTTAACCAAAAAGCACAAAACAGATGATGATAGTTTGTGTAAATCTTATTAGAAGTTCTTTATACATATCTGACCATTGAAAATATCATCTCCTCATTCAAACTGCAGCTATATCAGAAGAAGAGTCTGTGTTGGACAGCTGGTTGTAGCGTTTGGATTAACCCCTCGACTATGTTTTCAGGTGTCACCATGGAAACAAACAGAGGTGTTCCTGTAGAGTGTGTATGTGTATGTGTATGTGTGTGTGTTTGCACAACAGATGGGAGAATCTGTGCTTGGCAGCCAGAAACACACACAAGCTATTCATCAAGTGTGTGCAGAGATTTTGCACTCCCTGCCTGCTAAAGTTCAAAGAGAACTAAAGGGCAGTTCCGTGAAATTTCGCACAGGTGAAGGTGTTTTAACATTAAGTTTAGGGGTCTAACTAATGATTATTTTAAAACACCAATGTATTTTCATCTTGCTCTAGTTCCAGTCTTGGAAAGTAGGATTTGGAAAAATCTTATTTTTGAGAACTCATGGGGACATGTTGAAATATCTTCTGTTTGAACGTAATGCAAAACTTACACATCAAATCTTATACCAGCTGAAACAAAGAAAAATACTTTTTTTTACCCATAACACTGTAACAGGATGATTACCTTTTGTTGCTTAAAAATGACAACAAAGGTATTAGTATTATCAAGTATGTTACTGACGCATTAAAGACTCAAAAATATTTGATGTAAAATCAAATTTAAATAGAAAAATGATCAACTCTGGTATTTTAATTTGTGTTACTGTTGCCGAAAAAGTGCCAGAAATAAGGGGATCTTAACTTAGCTGATCTTTTTGCTATATAACTGTGGAAAATTGTGATTTAAAATGAATAAATAAGACATAAATATTAGTTATTATTTGTTGCGCTCTACTTCAAAAATAGCCATGTCTTTTGTATGGAACCTTGCTGAAACTGTAAAGACGTGAAAATCCACAAATCTCACCCACATACCGAGGACAAGAAGTGTGTTACTGGTCTTAAAATAGACCTTGAAGCCAGCAAACACATAAGCAATAAGCTGATTTACAACCGTACACCTTTCTAAGTTCAAATATTTCACTGACATGCCAAAAGTAGCTGGCAGCTTGCTTCCAACTGGGCAAAAGTGAGCTCAAAGTGTCAGACTTTACAGAAAATAGAACCAGGAAGTTGAGTCTGACAGACATAGACTCCACAGCTACATGTGCTTTGGCATGACACTGTGCTGAGACTGAAAAAGCAGCTTGCATACAAACATAACTGAGAGTCTATTTGCAGAGTGTCTGCAGACATGGCACAGACGGAAATAAGTATGCGTCATGCCTGCTGCCTGCCGGGGGAAAGAGCCCAGGGTGGCAATGTGAGCTTCAGGGACATGTTGGAAAATCTGGACCTCTTTTCAGCAGTTTTTTTCTCTTTTTAAGGAAGGTTATTACAGATATTTTTATGTACTCTGCTGTCTTTCTGGTAAAATGCTGGGGAAAAAAACTCTTTTGTCTCACTTACATTGTACATGCCAACACTTAAGATTTTTGTAGTTATGAACATTAAAAGTGGACACATAACTTCATAAGTGTCAGCCCTATTATGTAAAATCACCCAAACTTCATCAAAAATAAAAAAGTTTCCTCGTCCACTGATGTGGTCTGTAGACGCACGGAAAGTTACCCTTTACCATCATGGTTTTTGAGACACCTGGCACCAATCTAGGACTGTGGTGGTAAGCTTGTGTATGTTATTGCAGCGTCAACAAAAAAGGGGCTTTTTTTAGAAAGCTGGTCACTTTGGAAAATACCTAAAATACTCTTTTACGTTCTAGACTATAACGGGCTATGAACACAATTCAGGAAAAACAGACTTATAAGCTGCTCTGTTTCACTGTAACACTTGACTTAGAGTACAACAAAAACATAAATGGTGATAGTCTTGCACTTATACAAGACAAAGCTCCACACACAGCAGGGTTTCTCTCCTGATCGGCTCCTAAGCAGCGATGAGCTTGCTTAAAAATACACACATCATGCACACATACCTGAAGAGTGTCCTGAGGGCAGTGCTTGTTTGTTTGATTGGCTAGATTTCAAAGCACTTACTAAAAATACAAGAGGGCTTGAGATAGTCTGTTGTTTGGTATTACGCTAAGCTGAGGCTAAATTTAATGGGATGTAATCGCTGCACTGAACCTACGTTTGGCCTCCAGTGCTTGCACGTGCACCCTGATATTGGCTGTCCTCTGAACCCGGATGAAGATAATATTTGAATCATTGGAGGCAAAAGAAATCGCCCTTTTGACCAACAAAGCCCTGTTTGTCGGGAACATATCTGTGACTGAATAGGTGCTTTTTCTCTTGACATTCAGCCAAATGAGAGAGGAAAACGCTTAAGTCGTGGAAAGGTAACGTCAGAGATTAAGGGGCCCGGAGGGCAGTCAGACAGGTGTGATCTGCTCCTTGAAAATGGCTATATTCATTCATGACTCAATGCTTGTCGTCACTGGTGTGTGTCTGCCCAGACAAGCCCGGCTGGAGACACACACACACACACTTATGTAAATCTACAGACAACAATAGAGCTATAAAGTTTAAATTACGGAAAGAACAAATGATTTGGCTGCTGCTAATCCACTTTTTGTCCAAACTTTTGGATCTCTAGACCAAAAAAGAAAAGCTAACTTAGGATCAGATATCATTTTGATGTTGTCTTTCATTAATTTCAGGATTAGTTTAACGGCTACAAGATAGAACAAAGTTAGGAAGATGCTCATTAGACAGAAGTTGTTTGTGTAAGTCAGCCTGCAGCTCTCAGACCTTTCATTAAGTTTCTAACTTGTCATATGAGTCATCTTCAGAGTGATGTGATTCCAGTGAAAGCTCACGCTGATGATACATCTGCCAGGTGCAAGCAGAAGATCAGAGAGACAGAAACAGAGACTGAGACAGGTTGTAATGACATGAAAGACAGATGGAAGACAAAAAAAGACAGATACTGAGGGAGACAGGTTGCAGTAAAGACAGGCAGAGGTGGTCAAAGACGAGACAAACACACAGCCCTGAGAGGCAGACGAGTGTGTAAGCTGAGAGCTGCAGGGGGGGAGTGGAGCTGGAGTCCAGCAGAGGATCTGATATCTGAGACTATGGAACAAGAAGACACACAACACCAGGCTGTGAACAGAGCCAAAACAGTGTGTATCAAAAACAGTCTGCACGCTCAGATACCTGAACATCTCCTAATTCGAACAGCTTAGTTCTCACAGCTGAGATGATTTTAGTTTAAGAGCTGCAGCGCTAAGCTGACGCTTGTTTGATGCAAATATTTCAGGACTTGAACGCTGAGCTTTTTATGCTGACATCTTAGCCTCATATAAGAGATTTTATATCTTAATGGGAACTTTTCCTGGTAAAATAAATAATATCATCAAACATCCTGATCAGAAAACCTTTGTCTGGTGACTGTAATCATTATCAGATCCTATAGAGCAACAACCTGCTGAAGCTGCGGCTTCATTTGTCCTGCTTATGAATGTTTGGTTGCGGACTTCTCAGTACAAAACAAAGTTGATTATTGAGCAACACCTCCAAATTACTGGATACATTCAGTAAGAATAATAATTTGTTTATCTGTGGTTTACCTGGGAAAACATCCAAGATCCTGTCAGGAGTTTTGAGCTGGTTATGAAACAGACTGTAATGAAGAATGCTGGCCGGCAAAACTTATCTCCACAAGGCTGAGAAGTTATTTTTTTAACCCTTTCGATGCCTGTAACCATTGTGGGTTGGTCAGTGTTAGAAGAGGTGATTACCAGCTAAAGAAAGATGATTTTTCTCTGTTTCTCCGCAGCAAACATTCACAGTAACAAAAGGGTGAGATTTTTTTGTTTTGTCAGAAAACACAGAACATACATGTACAGGACATTATCAACATAGAGATACGAGGCAGCAGTACCACTCTGTAAAGAGGGGCCACCAAAATCAATGCAAAGTTTCTGACAGTCAAGTGTTTCAAACTGAAGGACACTTTGCAGTCAAGTGATTCACATATTCAAAGTGTGAGGGTGATGTTTTTAAAGCAACTTTTGAGGACAAACATGACCTCTTAGCTTTTTTCTGATCTTGCATGTAACTCCATGTGGTTGTTAAGATAAAAACATTTCATCTGCAGCTTTACAAACAGGAACCAATAAAGAAATTGTCACAGATGTGTTGGTTTGCTTTGTGGGTAGTACAGAGACACCAGTATTGAGGTCAGTATGTTCTAAAATAACCAGATATAAACTCTTCACAAGCGATGATCACATATTTACAGATATTATAGTGAAAAATCATATGAAATAACAACCGGGCAAATGTTTCTCACATCTAGACTCAATTCTACATCAAAGCATCTTTATCTTCAGGTATCATTATGTTGTGTTTTCGATTTTTATCTCCACAGAGTTCACAGGGTGATGATCATCCACAGGGTACAGACTGTTTAATAGATTAAAAACCACAGAGTGTGTGGCAGCACTCTGCTGTCCTCAAACTCATACAATGCTGAGCTGAAATATTGTTGAGCAAATGCAGCCGTGTCAAGTCAGCCTTTTAGATTTGTCAAATAAAAACCTTCATCCAGCAAAGACATTTAAATTAAGTTTATGACTTTCCTCCCTCTGTGACACTCAGAAAACCAGCAGCATGCAAATGTAAGAAAAAGAGCCAAATCTTACCTTTTTCTGGTACCACACCACAGCATCTTTTACTTTGGAAGCCATTTACATTTCTCTGCTCCCGGCCTAGGGCATCTTAGACTGAAAACACACAGTGAGAGAGAGAGGGAGAGGGAGAAAGAGAGGAGGGTGAGTGACGGACTAATGAAGAGAGAAAGGGCGACTGAGGTCTTTATACCTGACAGGAGGTGTGTCATGACCACTGACGAAGCAGAGAGGGAGGAGAGGACACTCACACCAAAACACACTGACACACGCCTGATTATGATAAGCTGGGTTGGCTTTGCTTCACACATGCACACGCACACGCGCACACACACACACACACACACACACACACACACACACACACACACACACACACACACACACACACACACACACACACACACACACACACACACACACACACACACACACAAATATCAATAATAAGATAATGAAAACAAGTCATAACTTAATTTCTTCATCTAAGAAGATGAACAGAGTGTTACTATCTGCCTGTCAAAGCGGTAAAGTAGCTCTGGTGAGAGCTGGATGTTCCTACTAAATCATTTTCTGCCAAACACACACACACACACACACATTACCGGAAATATTTGGCAATGACTGTTGAGTCCCTCGCTGTGTTTGGGCATGTGAGCGATTGGCAAGGACAGACAGGCTCAAAACACACATGCAACCACACACACACACAAGGAATGGTGTTGCTGCTGTAGCAATAAGTGTATTCACTGTGTCTCAAGGTGAGGGTTTGTATTTGGTACCAGTAGCACCAAGCTAGCAGCTGGTTTTACAGAAAAGATACATAAATTCACGATGAGGACACATGCTCCCAACCCTAAATCACGTGTTATTATCTTTGCTAGCTTCTACTGAGCAGGTTGATAGCTTTCACTGTAGTATATTTCAGTGTTTGAAAGAATTAAAAGGACCTATTCTGCAATTCATGTTTTAATCCGTACATTTATATAATGTTTACAATGTTTTGCCCATATTGTCTAAGCATTGTTCAAATAGTCAGAGACACACAGCTGGCAGCCTGATCCTCACACGTTTCTGGCTTCTAGCCCACAACCTGACATCGGTCTGGTTTGTCAATAAAAGATGAGTGACACCTGCACTCAGTTAGTCCTGGAAAGTTGCTCACAAGTTCTCCTTTGTTACAGCTTTTCTCTCTTTTAAAGATGGAGGCACCAGTAAACAGCGGTAAGTTTCTTTTAAGTTTACAGGGCAAAACAGCCACATCGTAGCAGTCTGTGTATGCCACTTCAAAGATGGCTTCTTTGTAAACAAAGGCAGAGCTGGCCAGCTTCAAACATTATCTGTAAAGACATGACATTCAGGTCGTCTCAAACTGTGTGAGAAGTAACACTCACAAGCTGTGTCTGCCTTCATATCAGAGAAAACGCAGCCAAAACAACTGTTTCAGGAAGAGGCTCAAAACTGCTGAAACTAAGGTTTTTGTAGATGCTTGTATAAGATAAACAAGGAGCTTTTTGAGCTCATTTATAGGTATCCAAGACTGACATGATAAGAGGAGAAATAAGTATCAAAGATCTCTTTTAATGTGACATGTATTAAAGAGAGCTTTGAGTGATCAGAGGATTAGAAAAGTGTATTTAGAGAGAACTCTGTTTACTGCTCACGATCAGGAAATCCTTTTATTACTGATCTCTGCAGGATAATCTATTAGTTATGAACAAGTTGATTGTTATTGCATTGGTGGGAAGTTGACATGACACCATGTCAGTGCTCGTCAGTGACGGTCGTCAGTATATATGTTAAGGTTGCAGTTTCAGTGTCGCTGTTACAGTCAGTGTGTTATTACAGTAAGTTGTGTTTGAAACAGGATCTTCTGGTGATGGAGGTGATGTGAGCTGGTCAGGTTGTAGAGAGCTGAGTTGCACCAGAACTATTTACCCAAACTAGGCTTCAGAGAAGTAGTAAAATGTGCTTTAAATCAGCCAGTTCAAAAGGTTTCCTGGCTGTGATACTTTTTAGTACATATTTTGGTTGTTTGAGGAAGAGGAGAAGATGTGGTTGATAAGAAGAATAAGAAGATGTGAAAGCTCTCTTCTTCTTTTTCCTTCCTCTCCCTGTCTTTCACTGTTTAATTTTCAATCTCTTTTCTACAGTATTTCTCTGTTACATAAGCGCCATGTTCTCCTGCTGTGTGGGTGGGAGTGATGAAGCAGAGGAGAGATGGAGAGTCATGGGAGGTGGTGGCGGCTGCAGGCCAGGCTGACTCAGGAAGGGGCAGCGGCTATTCTCTTTCATCTGTCTGTCAAAAAATATAAGTCAGTTTACAGTAATATTCCAAAAACACGTTAGTGAAACTTTGAGGAACGTTTTTAAACTTCTCCTGAATTCTTTTTTGTCTGCTCTTCCTCAGAAGATTCTCACCCGTCTTTGAACCTTTACTTTGACGTAGAAAAGAGGAGACACCCTGTTTTGCATGTGAAAGCCTGTCTGTCTGCAGGGTGCTGGCATCTCTGCTGCTTTCTGTGTCATCCTTTTCTGTGAAGTTGCCTTATCAGCATTCTTGCACTTACATGAAATGCAGCTACTTGTGAATTGTTCTCATAAATGTGATGAGTCAGTCTTGGTGCCAAATGCAGTCCGTGACAGAACAGAAAGAAACGAGTGCAAGATCTTCCCACAGCTAGATACCACAGCTCTGGTGTGACAGCAGCTCTGCAGCTTATCTGCCAACAACCAAACCACAACTGTTAGTGTTTATATGTGTGATAAAGCCTCACCTCAAACAAACAGAGTAGTAGTGGCATTTCTGTGTGTATGTGTGTGAAAGGAAATGGAGCGAGTCCAAACTCTGGGTGTTTAAACCTTTGAGAATTTAAGGTTTGAATTAAAGCAGGGAGAAAAAAATGCCATATTCGGGCAGAATATGAACCGCTTCTGCACCAAGTATTTCAGTCTGCTGGCTATTCTCACACACACACACACACACACACACACACACACACACACACACACACACACACACACACACACACACACACACACACACACACGGCAAACCACAAGCTGACATACGCACAATACTGCAAAGATCCCAGCTCCTCTAACCATAAATGCAGCCTTCATGATGCTTGCAAAGCTTGAGAGATATGTGCATATGCATTACTGTGTGCTGCTGTGTGCGAGTGTGTGTGTGTGTGTGCACTTTGCCCCAAAAGGCCACAGACAATTTTTAGAAACAGGAAGAAAGTCTCTCGCTTGCTGTTGCCTCCGATTTTAATCCTTCCATTCAGAGTGTCACACACGCCTTAGCTTTGACACTAACAGGAATTCAACTGTAACCTAAAAAATAGACGGATTTGTCCTTTTAATGTGTGTTGTTCACACACATTAATGTGCTTACAGTGTCAATAGAGGCCTTCATATTAAGACCTGAATGGTGAAATAGATAAAGAGGTGATAAAAGCAGAGGAAGGAAGAAAAAAATGTACACAGAGAGGGACAGGAAGGAGGTGTTTGCATGTAGAGTCCATATAGAGGGTGAGGGAGCTGGTTACACTCTGACAAACCTAAAACTACACTGAAGTATCAACGGGTGAAAACTGCATCATTTTAAAGAAGTCATTTGTTCTAGTTCTGCAGCTCCTCCTTTCCATCACAGATAATGTGTTCAGTAGGTTTCAGATCTCACTCTCTGTATAACGAAATAACAGGAACGTCTTTTCTCTTTTTGTGTGCATGAGCAATACTAAAAAAATCTCTTCCTGCTTCCTTTTAAATGACTCAAGTAACACTCGCAGGGAAACTTTGGCAGAAAAATGAAAACAAAGACTCTTTAGCAGTGCATGCTAGCTCTGATTCTAACTTAGTCCATCAAGTCAATGTTAAACTTGCATTCAAACAACTGAACAAAAACACACTGATGATTTGATTATTTTTGACCCAAACTTATCACATGACTTACAGCTTCAAATGCAAACTGTGCTGCAGACTCAGAGCACAGAAATGGGACTGGAGATCATGCTGCCAAATGGCAAAAAGCGGCTGAGATGGTATATTGAAAACCCTAAAAAAGAAAGGGTAAAGCTTGATGGTCTTGAACCGTCCACAGAATGATCAGCGAAGTTTATGAACTCTGCTGCAGATCAGCATTATCACCTCTGAGGATAAATATGAAACGTCTCTCTCCTCACCACGCTGCATCATTAAAAACTTCCAGGCCCCAACTCCCCATTGAATCATGCATGGCACATTTAGAGGTGCCACACTTAGTTGACTTGATAATCGGCATTAATTGGGGAGTGGGTCTATGCCCAAAGTGAGGGTGTTTAAGACTCATGAGTGAGGATTAAATGGATCGTGTCACTGACAGGCAGTTTGGTGCAGCACCTGCAGTCAGGAGGGTGTTGCAACAGGCTGTCATGCTGAACAGGAAGCTGATCCGGAAGGCAAACTTTCGATTTACCCGTCCATCTACATTCCAACTGTCACCTTTGGTCATGAGCTGTGGGTTGTGACCAGTGAGATGGTGGATACAAGCCACTGAAATGAGTCTGGGCTCAGCCTCAGAGACAGGGTCAGGACATCAGGGAGAGCTTGGAGAAGAGCCGCTGCTCCTTCACAGTGAAAGGAGTCGGCTGAGTCTGTTCGGGCATTTGATAAGGATGACTCCTTTTGGAGATGTTCTGAGCATGTCCAACTGGGAGGAGTCCTCAGGACAGACCTAGAACCTGCTGGAGGGATGATATATCCCACCTGGCCTGGGAATGCCTTTGGATCAAAGAAGAAGGGCAGGATAGTGGAGGCATGCCTGGACTGACTCAACCCCGGATAGACAGAAGAAAATGGATGGATGGAATAATCACTCGTAAATCATCTTGTGTGCACATATGTTACTATTATCATCATCTACAGAAGATGATTAACTTTTGCACACAACATGATGAAGACAGTTTCTGTGTGCCACTAAGATAATAACAGGGCTTGACAGTGCAACCATTTCACTAGCATTTGCGACTAAAACAGATGTGTGCAAATTGTAAAATGTATTAAGGGGCACATGTGCACATAAAAAAAATCAGCCAAGGCAACAAATGTTTTTTCATGTAAATACCATGGTGAAGTTAGTTTAAGCCTGGATATCCGACGGACATTCACTGCGGATCTACTGGTGTCTTCTCACTTCCCATAACCGGGAACAGCAACAGCAGCGCGGTTAAATCTACTCGGCATCCTCGCTGTCAACGTCGGGTGTTGAATAAGGGACCATCAATAAATTACCGGTAAAGGCTGTTTTTCTTCAATAGCTTCCATGTCATGTGACCAAAAGACCTAAAATTGATTTGAAATAATAGTACTGATGTCAACCTTTAAGACAAATAGTTGACCAATTTTCTTTGTGCCCCTAAAGTTCTTTGTGTGCTCCTTACTTTTTCAACACAGGAGCACATGTGCCCCTTGTGAAAAAAGTTAGTGTCAAGCCCTGAATAACTCACATACAAAAGGTAGAAATGATCACATTTGCCGGACTTCAGGGGCTCCATAGAAACCTTTTGGTTGGACTATTAAAAACAACTTGGTGTTCTATTACAGCAGAGCAACAAACGCTACCAACTCCTGCAGTGAACAGATGAACATCTGAGCAACCACCAAACAACGATAATGACGAAAGCGTCTAAAAACAGACAGAGAAACCCAGAGAATGACACCCTGTTATTAGTGGGCAGCAGTGACTCTGTTTTTAACTCTCTGACAGCTTGAAGACTCAAAATCCTCTCCGTCCTGAGACAGAGGATAAGAAAAAACAGACAGATCCTCCCTGTTCAAAGCCTCGAAATCCCTCCATGACATCCCAGTGTGATGCCAGCAGTGATTCACACACATTATCAGACACAAACACACACAGACACTGACTATTGCCTCACACTGCTTCATAATTAGGATTAGCTTCTAACTGTTGTGTTATTATTTATTGCTGAAAAACATCGGAGGAGGAATAAACTGAGAGTGATTTCCTAACTTACAGTTTCCATAATCACATATTTAAAGGTTCCAAATTACCGTGGCCTGCCTAAGGGTATTTCAGCAACAGAGCCTAGACAACAGACACACAAAAACACATAATGTGTCATGTCTAGTGACAGGACTCAGAGAAAACAACAACATATTACAGATTATCATGTGAGCATCCTGTTTTCTCTGTATTTCTCCAGTTCACTTTCACAGAAGAAAACTCGCTCTGAATGAATGTCAACAAGAAGCTTCATTCACAAACGCACCCTATTATAAAGCTCTCAAAGAATTTCACATTTATAACTCACGCCACTGCACAAACACACACACTAATACACACAGAAACCCTTCGCCAAGTCTGTCTGACCGGTGGTCTGACAGAACTGACCCATTTACAGGCCAGAAAAAGAGAGCGGTCAAGTACGACTGAGTGTATTATGTAGGGCACAGTTTATATGAGGGCAGTCTGAGAATAAGCAGGAAATGGTTGAGTGTAATTAGCCATATGTCTTACTTTAGCAACTATTGACGTGAATTTCATCAGTGAAATAAGACATTTTAGTTTGGAAGGCCGTGTGTGTGAACACGTGACATCCATGCGACTCCCTGACTTTGTTTGAGTCTGACATAGTGAAAAAAAAAATGGAGCCACAGAGTTTAATCCTGGATCTTTTTTATGTGGTTAAGACCAAAAATGTTTTACATAATACAGATATGCAGCTGAGCTCCGATTTAAACTCTCAGTGAAGTGATGCGCTGTGCATCCCTGCACACAGAGCCTCTTTTATCAGGAAGACATGCTCGTGGATTTCTGCTCCACAGGATCACTGCGGGTGTCTAATAAACCAAAAGTACCTGCAACCCACCCATGTATACATCCTGGACCCAGGGGTCGAGTCAGTTCAGAGGGTTTTACTGTTACTGTGGTTTTATGAGTAGCTTGCTTGCAGAGATGTTATCAACAATCAAAGAAAGTTACACATGCTGCTTAATTTCATGGACACATGTTCAGTATGTTATCTAAATGCAGAGTATAACTCCAAGTATGAGTCATGAGTCTTGAAGTCAAATCTAGGACACTATTCTGAGATCTGTTTCTTTCAGCTCTAGGTGTGGAGGGTTGGGGCTTGTGCGGCTTCGTACATGTTCCTGTGAGTTTGGCTGTTGTGGTTTTCTTGCATACCGTCAGTCTCTTTATGCTGTTTATCATGAGTATAGACGCTGAAATCATGAATCCCCTAGAGGCTAAATAAGCAGACTGTGGAGTATGTTTCAGCTTTGTAAAAAAATGTCGGAATCAAGGCAGCAATGCAAGATCAACCTACTTATGACGTACTGTGGTGTGATATATTCAGAGATGCTTCATGGAGGAATCCAGTAAGTCCACCACACTTCAATATGACTGTGCATCTTTGTTTGTGTGAGTGTTGTCATTGTGTACACCAGCAACCACACACACACACACACACACACACACACACACACACACACACACACACACACACACACACACACACACACACACACACACACACACACACACACAGAGCAGAACTTCTGGGTGCTGAATGAGAGCTGAGAGTGAGGGTGTGGCGAAACCCATGTGTTTGTTAGTGTGTCTAATGGAAAGTGGGTGTGTATGTGGAGTTGTGTGTGTGTGTGTGTGTGTGTGTGTATGTGGAGTTGTGTGTGTGTGTGTGTGTGTGTGTGTGCTTGTGCGATGAGTAGGAATATTTTTAATAGCTCTCATAACATTTAATGATTTGGTTATGCAACAACCCACCAGCCTCTATCTCTTTAATCTGGCTCTGTGCTGCCGAGCACACGAACCCTTACTTTCTATTTATAATGTGTGACATATATGCAAATCAGTCAGCGCGGTGACTTTTATTCACTCTGAGGTCCTTTGAAAGTTACAAGAAGTGAGACGGAATTACATTTTTATTTTCAGCTTATCAACCCTGAGAGACAAGCTCTCAAAAGACTTTCTGTTTCAAGACTGAAGAGACCGTGTAAACATATAACTACAAAATAAGGTGCATCAGGATCTATCATGTGATACATCATGCACTTAGTTAACTGAAATGTATCAGGGTGGGGTGTCCTACTGTATGAAAAAGAAAATATTAACTGATACATAATAAAAACATGCACCAGGTAATTCCCTGCTATAACCTTGGTGCAGCTTTAAATTATTAAAAGATAATCTTTCGATCAGAAACCCAGGAGCAGATAAGAGGATTTGCTGCTGGATCAGGATCTGATCAAATCAACCCTCAGCCCTGCTCATGACTTTGTGTCACATGCTTTGACTTCTACAACTTCAGGATGCCTGGTGATACTGTTTTCAACGCCTAGCCTGCTCTGTCCTAATTCTACCTTAAAAGGTGAGACTGTCTCGATCTCAAGCTTAGCTGGGCAGTGAGGAAACTCATGAAGGTCAGCCGGTGCAGCGTGTGATTCCTAAACTTTGCGCTCCTTTATACTCCAACATCGAGGGTTTCACAAGCTGGATATGCATTGACATGTGTCAAGCAGTGATTTTAAGGGGGGTTCATGTGACTTCAGCCAAATCTGGCGAATGAATAGAAGCTTTTTTTTAACAAACTAACATGTGGAAAACTGATTATTTTTGCTTGTTCATGCAACACTCTTTATAACTAAGCAGACTACTTTGGTTAGAAAGAAAGAAAAAATTACATTTAGTCACATATAGGTGGAAAATGAGCATGAATGAACTCTGCTGACATGTCCTCCTTCAATGATCTCCATCTGATCTACCCCAAAAATAGCTCATATGTCACAAATATGGAGCAGAATACAGACGATTATGGAGAAAAAGCATCTCAGTAGTGGTCTACTGTCAGTGTTGAGTTTCTGCTGAAAACATGAGCGCATCAGGAGACCTTCTTCATGAGTTAGTAACTCGTGATGTGTAACTCTATCTGCTCTCTCTCTCTCTCGGTGATCTATATTTCATAAAGACGGGTGCAGGTTACATCTCTGAGCAGGGCCGAGGGGTGTGTGTGAGTGTGTGTATATGCGTATGTGTGTGTGTGTGTGTTTTAAGAAAGCATGTACGCCTACAGGAAATGTGACGCCGCTCAAACCACGATAGAGGGCCAGAGGTGTTAGAGGGGACTCTGAGAGAGTGTGTGTGTGTGTATGACAGAGGGGTGGTGGGAGATGCAGATCATGTTTTTCCATCATGTACGGTGAATCCCTGTCAGTCTCAGGTGACACAAAGTGACACTACACTTGACCTATACATGGCTTTATTTGTATTGCACTGCACAACACACACAAACTCAAAGACTCCACAGTGAGTTCATGATTTATTAAAACAGGCTCAGTCCTGTTGGAAGAAGGTTCATGAAATATAGCTAGGACTGAAAACTTTGAGCCAACCTCACAATATACTGATACTAACAATAACTGTCTTTATTAAAATACTGAATACTGACATTGTGCCAAAAATAAGCCAACAATAATAGGATGAGTTCATAGGTGGTTGCCTCGTGTCATGAAAAGGAGGAGAGATGTTAGTTTGTTTGCTTGATTGTGGCGCACTAATAATATCTTCATTCCTGATATCCATGTACTTTTTCTGTTTATCTAGCGCAAATGTTAGAGGATCAAACACCCTCCTCAACCTTGGAAGCTTCCTGCTGGTCTCCTGCATACAGTGGCTAGCATCAATATTGGTCTGGATCACATCACATGGGTGAATATTTGATGCATGCTGGAAGGACAGTAAGAATCTGTCACCACATGATGCAACTCAAGTGCAAGACACAACAAAACAACTGGACATGCTGCTATATCTGACGCTTGGATGTTGTTAGGATAGTTACAAATTAAGCTGCAGATTTCTCAAAATTGCAACACAGCTCTTTAGACTTTTCGATGAAGTTATGAGTCTCCATTGTTGAAAGCATTAAGTTAGTTGGGACTTTGTTATTCCAGCCTTACTGAGCATAAAACAATAATCAAATAAGCTTCAAAATCTGACCTGATTCTTGAGTAAGTCAGGGTCTAACACAGTGGGGTTTAATGTGTCTGCCTGGCACAAGTTTCCTGCCTGAGGAATAACTGAAACATATCAAAGAAAAGAGCATTTTGCTAAACTTTCATGAACTACAACCATGATAAGGATGATGTTTACCCTTGAAAAGAACTCTACAACTTACAAAAAAGGCTGTAAATCAGAACTGAATATAGGACAATCTCAGGAGGACTGCATGTTCACACAGCACTCATCCACAAGCTCTAAAAGATGGAGAGAATATTGCTGGAAAAATTGTGTTTCCTTTGCTTTATCACCACACATCGAAAAGCAACATCCTCTGTCACATCAGCCAAGATGGAGATGGTGTGGGCACATGGACGCCAAGCACTCCAACATTCTTTGGATGTGTCCAAAAGTAAAGATGTTTTGGAAAAATGTGTCTAATTTTGAGCAGGACTTTGGGTCAATGGTGTCCATAATAACATAAAGGAGCTACAGTTTGGTTTAAGTTTTAAAAAAGGACAAGTACTCATGTAAAATACTATTTGGTACTTGTAAAAAAGCAATAAGAAGGAAATGAGTGCAAAACATGTCATGCATAAGTTTGTGCCATTATCGGTATCGGCCAATACTGAAGGCTAAAATATCGGTATCGTATTAGAAGTATAAAGTTGTATCGGGACAGCCTAAAGGGTGATATCATAATTAGCTTTCTCATATATTTTTAGGTAACAGTGTTCCTAACGCTTTGTTCTTTTTATCTGCACTGTGTCTATGCTCTTTGTTTTTGTATATAAATTCAAAAACAACTAAATAAACACAGAGAAATGGCTGTAAATCAGGTTCAAGGTTGTAAAAAAAGTAACTAAACACACAGGTCTATGACTTTTGATGACATAAAAAGTACACTATAAATGATGTGATGAAATGTTTGTCCAGATTTTGGTTTGTATGAAATTGTAGTTGACCTTCTCTGCTTTTGTTTTTTTCCAGTTAACCTCAACATGATCCTGCATTAGGTTTTGAAACCCCCTTATCTCGGGATATCTTCACAAACCATCTCAGGTGGCACCTCCTATTTTGTTCCATCTGCCTCTCTCTCTCTCTCTCTCTCTCCCCCTGTCTCTCTCTCGGATGAACACTGATGAACTAATGTTGCTGTCTGACAGAGTGTGTCTGTGTGGGGGGGACAGCTGACACCCTCACAGCCACAGAGGAGGGGTTGTTGAAGCATGTGGCTCTCACACAAAACAGGGGTGGGGGTGGACACTAGTAAACACACACTGGCACACACACACACACATACATACATACACACAGGCACACACACACAGGACTTACCTCTAGTGTGGCTGGGCAGCTGACTGGTGTTTGGTCCTCACAGCCAAATTAGGGCAGGAGCGGCTGGACATTTGGAAAACAGAAAGAGAGAGAGGGAGGTATAGAGAGTTAGTCAAGACTGCCTGGCCTGGGATGATTTGAGATTCAAAGCAACAGCGGCAGTGTGTTTATGTGTGTGTGTGTTTGTGTCTGTGTGGTGGAAGAAACCAGTCAGTCAGGAAGGAGAGGCTTCCTTTTGGTCACTCAAATACATTACTGCAATTTTCTTACTATGTAAAAGAGCACTTTCAGGTGTGTGTAGCTGCTTTGGTTGGTGTTCCCTTGACCTGACTTGACATCAGTTTTTATTTTTTTAATACACACGTACACAAGCACACAGGACACCGGTGGACACACATACATTCTCAGAGACAGTAATGAATATCAGGTAGCAGTAGCCTTACGGCTGGTAGAGCTGTTGTGGAAAATCATGATATTTTTATTACCTTCCTTTTTCATCATCATGATCTTTCTCTAACATTTTATCGCTGTCAATTATCCTAACAGGCTCACATGACAGATAACATGTTACTCAAAGGCACACAGCATGCCACCTGCAAGTCAGTCCTCAAGGCAAAAAGCTCTGCTCAGCATGATCCCCAGCTCTGAAGTGACAGTGATTTACACTTTTACTTGATTTTAATTGGTCGAAACACCATCTCAAGGCTGTCCTCGAGAGTGGGGAAGTAATGGCGGTTACCAGACACAGATGTGGAAACAGCCTGAGAAGCTGCCAGACCCCAAATATCTCTGAAATGTGGAGCAGAATGTTGTCCTGCAATCCATGCAACGTCAGCTGGGCCAGTGAGTGCATCTCTTAGTAACTTCACCTACAGGTGCAGCTCAAACAATTAGAGATCATCAGGAAATCAAGGTCACAGAGTCTAAGGAACGATCAGAGAAGCACAGAATCCAAGTGCAGCTTGAAGTTTTTACTGTCTATGATGATTTAGGGAGCCATATCATCCACAGTCAACAGCTTAAAGTCTACCAGGAGATTTTAGAGTCCTTCACACTTCTCTCTGCCAAGAAGCTTAATGTAGATACAGATCTACTTTTCTAGCAGGACCTTACGCCTGCCCACAGCGCCAAAACTATCAAAACTGTTTTGCTAACAATGACATTACTGTGCTTGATTGGTCAGCCACCTCACCTGATCTGAACTCCATAGACGATCTCAGGGTATCATCAAGTGAGAGATGAGAGACACCCAAGCCAACAAGTACTGAAGGAGCTATCAAAGCAACCTGGATTTCATAAACTCCTCAGTAGTGCCACAGACTGATCGCCTCCATGCCACATCACACTGACGCAGTAAAAGGAGTTTTAACAAGTAGTAAGTGTGTAAATAAACATAATTTTCCATGAGGTGAAAATTTCTGTATCATCAATCCCTTTTTTTGGATTGGTGTTTTGTCATATTCTAATGTTTTGAGATAGCGCATAATAGTGTTACTGTCTGTGGAAACAGAAGGATAAATCATTTCTTAATGAACACTTTCTTTGCTAACTTGTTTATGCCTTTAGTTGACGGCCGGGTTTTCTGCAGGATCATTTAGAGCAGTGTTTCTCAAGTCCAGTCCTCAAGGCCAACTGTCCTGCATGTTTTGGATGTTTCCCTGCTCCAACACACCTGATTCAAATGATCAGCTCGTTATCAAGCTCTATCATGGCTTAAATAACGAGCTGATCATTTGAATCAGGTGTGTTGGAGCAGGGAAACATCCAAAACATGCAGGACAGTGGGCCTCGAGGACTGGACTTGAGAACCACTGATTTAGGATCACTTCATGGTGAAATAAGACCGCTCCACTTTGTAGCAGCGTCCCACTCAGCCTGTTTGAAGTCTAATCAGCATAACCACCCACTCACTACTAAACATTATCCCTTACATAAATGTACCCTGAGGTGTTACTAAACAGCCATCTCTGTGGCCAAATGATTGACTTTCCATCACACAAATCATGATAGTTGTCTTTTTCTCTTCATCAGTGTCCTGACTTTTCAAATAAATAAATAAAAAATGTCTTCAACAAAGCTGAAGACTGACAAATGTCACAATGCAATGCAATGCAATACCATGACTGCTTTTATGTATTGTGTAATGAAAAACATTGCACAACCAACAACAATAGGGCTGAGAGCCTGATTACAAATGCAAGGCTGTGGAAGTGAATCCAACACCACTCGTGACAAAAGCTACTATAATAAGGAGCACACTATCAGGCTGAATCACCAAATAATGTTGATAGTGCAGTGTACCTCAAACAGTTTGGAGTCTCTACACAGGTGAAAAATAAGACGTTCATGGGGGAAGAGATTTTGGTTACATCTACTTCAACAATGTGGAGTTTGAATGATTATTTTAATAGCTAAATTGTCAAATGTAGACTAAAATAGAGTTAATAATGTTATTTAATAGAGCCTGCACACCCAACTGGAAAGTGTCTCGGCTGTGGTGGCAGACCAGACTGTGTTTGACTGGCACCTTCGTAATGTTCCTGCAGGCTGATCAGCCAAAATAGTTACACATATCTTCTGCATGCATAAGTTGGCAAAATTAAGCAAAAAGAGTTTTTTTTTTTTTTTCATAAAAATATTTGACACAGCAGAAAAATGACATGTTTCTAGTAACACTGAGGGTGGGCGCATATATGCAATTCAAGTCCCACTGGACAGGTTAAAATATACTCTTTGGTAAGTGCTATGTATTTAGGATCATGCAAAATTTCTATTCGCCATACTGATGTAAGACGGCATTTGCAGAAAGACGGATTCTTCTAGGAATCAAATGCTGCAGGTATAGATACCTCTACTGTCTAACACACGTGATTTCAATAAAGTTAACCAAAGCAGCAATGGCTCATCCTATAACATTTTCACCTTATCATTAACACAACCTGTCACTCGACTGCAGCACACCCATGCTCAAAACAATACACTTCTCTGCAGAGCCACTTGACCGTTCCTCTGCAACCTTTCCGGCTCACTCTGATGCTGCAACGACTTAATTTCTATGAATTTTATCACCGCCACACAGGCCACTCTGCAGCTGTAATAAAGGATGATAGGACAGTCTAGTGTATGATGTAACTACATTGCAGCTGGTGATGTAACAGGCTCTGCAGGCAAGTTCATGCTGCACAATAGACAGAGCATCGTCTGAGGGAGACAGACAGAGAGAGGGAAATAGAAGGAGCGAGCACAGGATAAAGGGCTGAGAGAGCGAACAATACAAAGAAGTACAAAAGACCACACTGCTCAGACAATAAACAGCAGTCTGGGCATGTGGTTGCTGAAAATACAAACAACCACTCGGACACTCAATATGTCAACCACAACAATTCACTTTGCACAAATGCATAGCTATAAAAATCAAACACACAACACACACTGCACTGACTGACATGCTGCACTGCTGCACTGACTGACAGATACAACTGGCCTCAATCATGATCAATCAGCACATGTCAAAAGGTATAGTCACAGTTCAGTCTGATGCACATGGTGTGTAAGTGTGCAGGTGCATGCAAGGCGGAGCTCCTGTGCATCCCAGGTGTTTAAGTCAGATGGGTGTGTTAAAACGCCGTCAGTGACAGTGATTTCATTGCTCAATGACAACAAGCTGTAAACAAAATACCTGAGTGCAAACTTTTGCTGAGTGTTTCTGCAACCACTGCTTCCTGCTGTTTGCTGCTGATCTGCATTAAAGTGCCTTGCTCAAGAGCATCTAAAGGCTTCATTACCTCACTGTAAATCATCTGTTATGAACGGCTGATGTAAACTACTGTAACAGTTACTGATTCACAAAGCAGGGAGAAAAATCTGGTTTTGGCCCCAGTTGTTACATAAGAGTAGTATGAATGTTTCAAATTTTGTGAATTGCTCCTTTACAGTTCAGAGTTTACAATGCATTATTCACTTACACGTGTAGCATTGTGTACCTGAGTGCCTGCAGGTGAAACAAACATTTTCAATGATTGGCTTCAATCCAAACACAGTCATGTCTCACAGCTGCAGCAGGAGGTGATACCACGGCATTTTATAACCGGATCTACTCCTAGAAATATTCAGCCTGAAATGACCTGTTTGGATTTACAAGAAATGAATGAATGTACAGGCTACAAATTAACAGACACAACACTGAAACACATGTAACAATAAGCGCTTTGTGTGTTTGTTTGCTTGTTTGTATTGTATGGATTTTTACAGCCAATGCCGATACATGGTTCTGTGAAAGCTGTGGCTCAGCATCACAGTCTGTCTCTCAACGAGATGGTTGGAGGTTCAATTCCTTCATAGAAAAGTGTCCCTGGCCTAGACACTTCACCCCACAGCTGCCTTTGGTTGCTGTGCCAGAAGTGAGAAAATGGGAATAATTATAGCTGATGGAGGCTTTACATAGAGGCCTGTGCTAGTAGTGTGTGAGTGTAGTGTGAAAGAGTGATTGTGATACGTGAGTGGTCAGAAGAGTAAATAGGGTTTATATACCTTTCCATTTCTCTTGGTTTTATATGGCTCTGACTCAAGATTTCACTTCAGTTGGTGTTGCAAAAAGTTAAAACACAAAATATACAGAGACATGCCATCGTGGTAGCACACAACTAATACTTGATCAATGCAATTCTGATCATCATGTAAGAGTAAAAGGGTCACTAAAATAATTCAAAAGTGAAAACTACCAAGGGACTCAGAGGTAACTGACCATACAATACCTCTTACATCAGTCACAATAACAATGGTAATGTGATGCAGTGATTCTGCCATTGTAGGACACTCACATAGGGATAAATCACAAAATCTGATGAACTGAGTAAACGAAAATGCCCAAAAAATCTAAAGTGAAGGATAAATGTCATTAAAGGCACAACGAGGAGTTACAAATTGGACGAGATTAAAAGGGGCATCTGTTCAGCACCGTCTCATCACCATCAAGGAGTCAGTGGGATCAGCCTCACCGACATTAATAACATAAAACTAGAGTTAACTACTATTAGGCCTGCTGACTGTAATCACATTAAATTAATTTAACAAAGTCCATAATTACTCATATCCTAACCCTGTAAACTGAATTCATTTTGTTTCATCATTACATGAGCTGTTGTTGTTGTTGCTGTTGTTTTAATGTTGCTGCTGTCCCCTGTCTCCCCATCCATCTCCCTTACCTATTCTCTCTCTCCTTCCCTCTATCTTGTTCTCTTTCTCTCCCCCTGCCCTCTCTCCTACTCCTCTCTCTCCCCCTATCTCTCTGTATTCCTCCCCAACCCAGCAGCGGCTTGGTGGCTGTCTAGCATGAGTCTGGTCCTGCTCAAGGTTTCTGCCTGTTAAAAGGAATTTTTTCCTTGCCACTCTTTCTCATGTTAGACGAGATGGGCCAAATCTCATCTAAGGTTGGATCTTGATAATTCATCAAACAATGAGCGTGGTCTAGACCTGCTCTTGTTCTTTAAAAAGCGTCTTGGGATGACGACTGTTGTGAATTGGCGTTATATTTGGGATAATAATCTGCCATGCCAATATTTATCATACCTGTACATCTGCAAAATTCTGATTCAAAAATCCTGTATTTTACTGTATCCTTCCCATATCAACCGATTAAAGGAAAACAATCTGACACTGCACATTATCTTCAAGTCTGGCCTTGTTTTGGCTGCTTTAGATTATATTACATTTGGAAGAGACAAAAAACAGACTTGCTTCCTGATTAATTTAACTTTTCTATACAGAGCTATGATAAAGTTATCCCTGTCTTTTGGTATAACTCCACTGGCCTTTCCCTTCAGATAAATGGTTGTGCTTTTTGACCAGTTTTTATAATCTGTAGTAGGTTGGCCCACCTTCAGTACAGCAGTAGGAAAACCCTGAAAAGATGACAACAGTTCTCTGATAGAAGAAGAGTTAAAGTAAACAGAGTATGTGGTGGTTTGAAGTACAAACGTGCCATTTCAGACAGAAACATCCCAGTAAATAGAGTTTAAAGGTGAAGTGTTTTCTCTCTCAGACAGGACATGACCTGAGCAGCGCTGTAAATCATTTTAAACCGAGCTAACATTGTAGCTAGCCTGCATGAAAATGTAGCTACAGACACTCTTAGTGCTTCACTTCACACACACTGTCTTCCTCCTTCTTCTCCTCCTCCTCCTGTTTTTGCTGCTAGCCTATTTTATGCTACACGCTTAGCTAAGCCACCGGTAAGCACAAAGAGTCCACACAGCTGACCTTACTACTGAAATCCTGATCGCTGCTGTCCAAACAGAACATGCACACGCTCACTCTTACCTCCTTGACAGCAAAAGGAGCTCCGAGTTTCCACAGCAGAGCCAAATAATACCTTCTGAGCGTCTTTTTATCAACCACGGGGCTGGTTAACCTTCCGCGCTGTCTACAAGAGATGCTGAGTGTCTGTCTGCTCATCGATGTTTCAAGCAGAGGCTTTTCCCTTTCAGCGTCTCACTGTAAAAATACAACTTCAGCTCCTGCCCGTAAAACACAGAGGAGAGGCGCATACGGAATTTAAACCGATACACGTCACAGTCAACTGTTAATTATGAGCCAACGACGTCGCCCAATACTCTGAAGAAAATCGATAAAAAATTAATAGAAACATACATTTACATAAAATGTTATAATTTTGAGGAAAAGCGTGGAAATTTAAATGCCAATAAAACTACAGTATGTCGTCTAGAGGGCTCTACTCACATCTAGTGGACGTTAAACCTTCCTACAGATAAAAAAAAAACATTTTGCCGAATTCAAGTAACAGCGTTTAAAAAGCTTATTCAGTCTACTTCACCTGTCCTTTTAAGAATGTCATAATTTTCGGCTGAGTGTTGTTAATTTTCCGACATCGCAATGAGTTAGTTTCTATGTACATTAACACTTCCTTTGAAAATTGCCTCATGCGCACATCGGGACTTATGTACCTCCTCTCTTACCGTAGCTCTTATGCTCATTCCTTAACGTCGTCTTGTATCGCTAGGATAAAGTGGAGGAGGCATAACACACAGCTATAAGAGGGTAATAAATGAGTTTATTGTCTTTTACGGCAAATACAGGCTGAAAACCAGTCAACCAACCGCCCCCTTTCCATTCCCCGGTCATATCCGTTACATTTGCGCATTTGAAGACACATTACGGTTAGACGCTACGGTTGATAGACAGTAGATGAATGTGACGTAGCAGGACGAGGACCAATCGGGTTGGAGTACGGGCGGGGGCGACAGAAATAACGGACCGGGGATCCCTTCGACTGTCTCTGTTACTAATAAAGGAGGAGCTCGTCTTGGAGAGTTTGATGAAATGTGTCAAAAATGTAAGGAATTTTAGAGTGTCCTATACGAGGAGATTAGCATGATAGGCACGGATCTGGACTCACGCTGAGGTAAGCTGGACTTTGTCCTCAATAAATCAACAACCGGTTAGCTATGCTACAGCTGGAGAAGCTAGCTGTCAGTATATAACACTGTCTCTATAATAACGAATTAAAAATGCACTGAAGACCTATTTGAGCTCATGTTATCGACGTATTTTTACAGTCAACTACAACGCCAAGCTTTATATAGCTATTTTAAATGGGGCAGTTTCAAGTATTAGTCGGTTTGTTTGTATTGGACTCGTTAATTCATCCTAACAATGAGTTGATCCTCTCTGCAGGTTTTTGGTCCAGACTGCATCAGGTTTTCTGTTTCCTCCTCTGATCCACCTCCTGTCACTGGGATGTCTCTAGCACAAAGGGTTTTATTGACCTGGGTCTTCACCCTGGTCTTCCTGATCATGCTGGTACTGAAACTGGATGGAAAGGTAAAAAAAATCTCATCTTTAAATTTGTGATCATTTTTGAAATTGGTTTTTCCATTTAGTTCAAAACAAACAAAGAAACAGGTGTGGCAGGCATCAATTGGACAATAGTAGTAACAGCAACAAAGAAAACAATGGTAGTGTAGCATAACAAACAAGAAATAAATAACAATGGCAATATTACCAACCAAACATATCAACAATATTGAGTGTTGACGAATAAGACAAAAAGAAACAAGAAAATAATAATAAAAAAAAATAATAATAATGATAAAAAATAGATAGACAACCCCCCTCTCACCCCCCAGTTTTCAGGGGATCCACAGGCTTTGTCTCTATGAAGTATACTGATGTACACTGATGTACATACAAACACGCATTGAACACATGCCTGTAGGGTGCTTGAAAGGGGGTTGGACCACTTAAATAGAGTCAGTGTCATGACAAACTCAATAATCCTTATCAAAAAATAAATAAATAGAAAATAAGTTAAAAAAAACAGGAGAGAGAAAAAAAGGGGAAATAAATAAGAAAATATATACAGGGAGTGCCACATCCCCCCTCCCCCCACCCACCCATAGGACCCAGAGTAAGAAGAGGTGATGGCTACAATAAAGATTTTGGAGTGGAGATCGCATCATCCCAACATGTGATGTTTTCAGGTTTGGCTTGGTGCAAGTTAGCTGCCCAACGTTCCATAATGGCAATATCTATGAAATCTAAAAACCATTTATTTAAGGATAACAAATGAGGGGGTTTCCATCTACATGCTATCAGCCTTTTAGTGGCAGTGAGACCAGCCAGAAAAAGGCGTTTAAGTTTAGCAGGTAGGTTCAAACCAGAGGAGTCATTAGGTAATAAGATGGTAGGTGAGTGAGAAATCTGCTTAGATTATATTATGGACCGCACACTACAAACATTCTTCCAGAAAACTACAACACCTGGGCACTCCCAAACCATCTCATCTTTTAATTTGTGTCAGTCTGACCTTTCTTTAGGGAATCTCACCAGTGATATAATTATTCACTGTATAATGAAGAGCTCAATAAGCCATGTTTTCACTGCATAACCAACTCAAAAGATCCTTTCCCTCCTCCTCACAGGTGCAGTGGAACTGGTTCCTCATCTTCCTCCCCGTTTGGGTCTTTGATGGCATCCTCATCCTCATGCTGGCCATAAAGATGGCAGGCCGCTGCAAGCCTGGGTATGACCCACGCAACGGCTCACCAGACCTGCGTCTGCGTGCCTGGTACCTGACGGCCATGCTGCTCAAGCTGGGCTTTTGCCTGACACTGTGTGCCAAGCTGGAGAAGCTGGCAGATGTAAAGCTGACATTTGTGTGCATACCTCTGTGGACCATGCTGCTGGGAGCGCTGGTGGAGCTGGGGCTGAATATCTTTCCTGAAAGGAGAGAAGCCTGAGAGGGACTGAACATAAAAAGAAAACGCAGAGGAAAGATCTGTCTCACTAAGACCTGACTGTGGCTTTTGCTTTGAGAGGACCGGGGAGGAATTAAATAATCATCTCAGACGTGTGTGTCAAAATAATAATCATATTTTGTTCAGACTTTCAAAATACCCTGACAGGTGGCTCTATTTCCTTTCAAGAAAAAGTGCTGGCTGTCAAATGTATTTAAGACTACTGTGAATCCTGCACTGGAAATAATATGTCTTTTAATGATTGCTTGTCTTTTAAAGTCAAGCTGCTTAGTATTGTTTTCCGGTGTTTATCTACACTGTGTATGAGCCGGCAAAGAAGGAACAGGCAAATGAAGGCTTCTGTTATCGAAGCTTTGAAATGACTCTCACTTTCAGTAACACAGTCTGTCAGTGTAAATTTTCAGTATACTTCAGATAGTGTGTGGCTGTATTTTTACTCACAATCATGCTTCCTTTTCATTCCTGAGCTGTAGAGAGTTGCTTGCTAAGTATCATTTCACAAGTTGTACCTAAAAATGAGCTTTTGAAGTGGTTTAGGATGGGAGCAGGGTTTGGCTGCAGGGACATGAGGAGACTGTTTAGATAATCAGAGAGGTTCACATGAAAATAGCTTTGAACAACTTGTGATGCCTCTTATTTCCCTACCGGCTGCCCTCTCTGCTCGGCACAAGCTCTCTATTGTACCAACAAGATCATCATGTGCCCTGTGTTATCTGTTTTTAAGGTACAGAGGTCAAAAGTTGCAGAAAAAAACACTGACATTGTACAGCTGTTTCTTACTTGGTGACTTGTTTGATTTGAAGTCAGATAATCTTAAAAATCAGAATAAAGGGTGGTTATTACTGTGTAAATGAAGCCCGTTGGAATATGTTTTACCTTCAGCTCTGGTGTTCAATATTTAATAATCATGATACAGCTGTCACTGTGAAAATTATTTTGTGCCATTTGATTGTTTAAAGGTATTTTCCAGTTTTTTTGCACAGTGTTGAAGTGAAAAAGAGTGGGTGCTCAAGTCTGAAATGATTTGATAATTGATGCATGTTGTAAAAAATAAACACTTTCTGTACATTAAAGTGTGCTGAGTTGTCTCATAATGCTATCTTAAGATAACAGAGATCCACATTCAAATGCTCAGATTGACAGATTAGTTGTGAAATTGTGTAAAGTAAAATGAAGCTGTTGGAAAATCCTACAGGGAGATGACCTGAAGTGAACTCTGAAGCAAAAACAGCTGACATCAATGTGAGTGTGTGTGGGGTCTGACTTAGCAGTCTTTTGGGGCCACGTTTCAGGCTATAAAATGAGGACAAAAGCCTTGTCCCCAACTTAGTGGGAGTAGTGCTTGGGGTCAATGCAAATCTGCCAGATGCGAATGGAAGTTTATGCAGTGTGCCTGAGAGTAACCTAAAAAACAAGTCTTTCAAGTTAGTCTAAAGGTGTTTCCACAGCTTTCCTGTATTTGGTTGTGTTGGAAGAAGTGTTTTAAGCATAAAATCGAACGCTTGTTTTCTTGACTCTGTCTGAAATAGCAGCAGGGACGTTTGAGGAACTGAAAGAAAGAATAGAGGAGATTTGAAGCAGCACAGACACAATTACCAAAGCTGTCAACCAGCCTGAGCCAGTTCCCAAATGGGAAACACTTGAGTCAGACGCCACACCTTTACTGCTGGTCATCATCAGGAAGACACAGATGAGAATACAGTATGTGGAAAAATTGAACCAGAGTGGGTGTCAAAGGTGGAACTGGACAAGTTGCTGCAGAAAAGTAGGACAGAGAGCAGGTTTGTGGACTTAAGTGCAGCAAGAGAGAAAGAAGCTTGCCACTAAAATATGCATGCTAGAATATTAGCTGCTCTACTACACTGACAAAACAGCTGTAGTGTAATTTTATTTGATAAGGTATTTGATTTTTTTGTGGTGACTGTATCTTGTATTCTACCTTCCCTGCATTTATTCCAGTTATTTAGGAAAAGGTTTAATTATAAGTTTGCTCAAAAACATTTTGAGAATAGGGCATTGCAAAATTTAAACAAGTTTTTCAAGCTCATCATATAAGCCTGTGACTCAAATCTTAAAAGTGTTTGATGCAATGGTGCATGAATAAAAGGTATGACTGCAGCTTCCAGCCAAGAACAGTAAGCCAGGACTGATGGTTCAATGACTTTTAATTTCCTGTTTTTTTTTGCACGTAATAAACCCATTAAACCAACATAAGAGCTCAGTAGAAAATAAACAACAAAAATAGAACAAAAATGTTAATTGTATTTCCAATTCGACCAATATCAACTATCAAGTTACCAAACTCACATTCATAAGCTGTTTAATGTGTAATTGTAAAAAACATACCTTGATCCCATCTTCAATTGTCACTAAACCCTTTATTTTGTTCTCTATATTTATCTTTAATTAGTTTTTCTCCTTTTCCTCATTATCTTTACGTTGTTTTTTTTTACATATTTCCAATCAAATCCTTTCAGAATAAACATCCTCTTTCAGAGTAAGTACTCAATACAATCAAATAAAAGTGCATAATTTGTTTGGGGAGCTGTTGTGTTTGTTGTCCATTGTTTTGTACAGTTTATGGCCAGTCCCTGCTCTCCATCCAGACCTTGAACATTTAGTGTTACTATTTTACTCAGGGTCTGACTACTTCTTTCTTTCATATTAGAGCAAACAGCTACATGTTCACAGCAGTAAGAGTGCTACAGCTGGACATCATTTCCAACTGCACTCACTCTGTTTGTGGCTAATCTGCAGCATTCCACTTGACCTTTAGGAGCGAGTAGCATAACCCCACACACTGCAGCGTCTGTGTGTAAGCCACACTCATCTGGTTCATAGACGTTTTTCCAAGTATTCCCTCCAAAATCCTTTCTTTGTCTCGGCTCCAGCTTCCTGCCTTTCTCCCTCTTGGCTGCACTCACTGTAAAGGTCAGTTGAGCTCTTCTGGCATTTCTGCCGAGTCTGAGAAAGCATGACGGGATGAAAGAGGCTGTTTAGAGTTGTATTGTATTTGACCTGACATACCCTAGGAATACATATGGATACCACTAAGCTGGAATGTGCATGATATGTCTTCCTAAATCTTGCATGGTGAAAATGTTGAATTTTTTTGCGGTACATGGGCGACTTTCAGAACTCCAATGAGCAGGGAAAAAAAAAAAAAAAGACCAAATATAGAGAGATAAGACTGAGCCCCATCTTGTAAGATCACACCCACTCCCATCCTATCTTCAACTACATGAGTGTCGCACTTTGCAGGATTTAGTAAGTTACAGTGGAGAGGAAAAACTTGACTTTTGTAAGACAGTCATCTGCTGCTACTGCATTGGGTTTAGAGAGGGGATAGAGGGAGATGCAAAAAAGGAGAGGCGGACTGAAGTGAGACTGATGCACATCGTTGGACCAGCTGGAAAGCAGGTCTGCTACAGCGACCCCGAGAAACCTACAGCATGATGGAGCATCATAATTCAAAGTTAATGACACAGACAGAAAGAGGATGGAGACGAAAGGAAAGATACTCAATGTGGCAGTAACCCTCAGCAGGCTAAACCTATAGCAGCAGTGGTGTGCACAGATAGACACTGGGTGGTGCTATAGCACCTGCCCTTTGCCCCCTGGACCATGCAAACACCCTTCTGCATATTTTTTTTTACAGTTAGTTGCTGACTTTTGTCTTTCAGTGACTATTTAATGAGCAGAGACACTTCAGAAAAACTATAAAAAGTACATTTATTTTATTTTTTCTAGTGCATGAAGAATATTTGAGCAGGTTCACTGGGAGCTGTGAAGGAACTTCTTCAGGCTAACTGTTGCCCTGTAATTTGAGTAATTATGAGAGGACAGTTTACCCTAAAATGAAAGACCTTCTTACTTTTATTCTTAATGATTCATTTCTGAAGACCAGTGTTAAAGTCATGTGCAAGTATTAATCACTTAGAAGACAAAGTGTCAGATTCAAAAACCTTTTTATTAGAACAATACAGCAGATATAAAGGTCTATTGCAATCAAACACTCCCCTCCTAACGGAACGTGTGCTTCAACAGACGTATGCGCTCCCCAAGAGAAATAAATTAGATCAAATAAAAACAGAAAATGAAGAAAAGAAAAAGAAAAACCAAGATGCAAAGAGGGAGAAACACTGACCACTTCAATAGCAGATCAACTTTCTGTTCAGTCAAAGCTGCCAACGAATGGAAACTTGCAAACTTCAACTCCAAGCAATCATACACACACAGTTTATGATCAGATCTGAATAAACTGTTTCCATTGTGAAGGTGTAGAATTTTGGTATTGCCATGAAACACTTTCTTTTTTTTTTTTGCTATTTTGATGATCTGAGAGAAACCAGAGATAAATAAAAAGAAGGAAAAGAGAGTGAAATTAAAGCTTGCGATAACAATAATAAAAATACCAAAAGAAACAGCAGTGGATAAAATAAAATACAATCAAATCAAAACGCAAAACCTGTTTTCAGATCGAGTATTGTTGTTTTTATGGAGGTAAATCTAATCAAGAGTCACAAAGGAGGAAGACCGCAATGAAATACATCTGTACTGTAGTAATACTGCAGCAGTTAAGATCATTTATATCTGACTCTGAGGGCTTGATTATAAAATCACTGTTTTTAAAATGTCCTTATATGTGTAAAAGAAAAGAAATAAACTTATTATCGACACAGAAATGAACTTATTCTTTTTCTGACGGTTTCAAAAAATAAAAGGGGCTACAAATCTCGACTCTATAAAAACATGATTTTTACCTCAAATGCTTAACTTATGAAACCGGTGAAAACCCGAGAGAGGGAGAGTCTCCTTTTGAGGTTTTTAGGTCAGAGCAGTAAATAAAGGGACAGATTTCTGCAAGTCTCCATGTTGCTGTGGGTTTGATAAGATTCAGATGTTGTGCCTTTTTTATCCCTCCTCACCTGCACCTCTCATCTTTGCATAAAAAAAACGGACTACGTGAAGTTGTTTGAAGCACTTCCCTCCAAGCTCAGCTTTTAAGTATCACACTCTTTACTGCACCTCCTCCTTGAGCAAGTGTGGTTAAAACACCTCTTCATCCTCCTCTTTTACGGATTCATCTTCTAACATATTTATTTATTCTTGCCATCGTTTTATATTTTTTGTTATTTTTTTCATATATATTTCATACAAATCTATAACCCAAAATTTAGAAATCTTATTTACATGGAAAAAGTTGCTTTTTTTTACTTTTAAAAGTGACCATTACCCCCCATTTCCCGCCCAAACATCTAGCATCTCCCCCTGCTACCATCACAATCATGGAACAAATCCAAAGACTCTGTTTTCTTCTTTTTTTTTTTATAATTGAAAGCTCTAAACCTGGAAAAACAGCAAAAAAAACACCCCAAAATGTTTTTTAAAGCCACAATTATGTTTCCTTTTCAAATCAAACCATTAAACTCTTAAATATCAGAAGTCAACACAGAAGAAAGTTGGGGATTTTTGTGTGGAGGTTTTGAAAGCCTCAGCCCTCCTCTTTAACAAACGGAGAGAATTTAGGAAAGAGCAGAGTCTCAGGGACTGGTTTGTCAAATGCACCGTGTCTGAAGTGAAGCGACAGAGGAGATGGGCTCGGACAGACAGACACACAGTAAGAGACACAAAGCCCCTCTACTGTCAGTTGTAATGGCGCCCCCTGGGTGGCTGCCTGGTGTATCACACACAGACTCACATTGGTCAGGCCACCTGGGTCTTCAGTCTGGGGGGAGAGCGGCTTTGTTTGCATGTGTGTGTTTCTACTTCTGTGCATATTATCAGAACCAGTGCCTCCCCGTAAAATGTGTGTGTGACTGAATGTGAGTCAGCATGTGAGTGTGTATGTGGGTGGTGTTAAAGAGCGCCGTCCTCTGCGCAGCCCGCTCCCACCGTGTAGCGAAACTCCTGCAGGTTGGAGACCCCGTGGAAATGAACAAAGGCCCCTGCGACCACCAAGATGTGGAACAGCTGATGTGAGTGGAACTGGAGGGAGATGAAGAAGAGGACAGAACGTGTGGGTTGAATATGAGGGTGAACAGAGAGTTCAAAGTCAAACTAACCTCAACTTAAAGCTCCTATAGGGAATTTTTTTGAGAATGAAACCTCTTAATTCATGAGTGAATCTCTGATTAACACCAATTCTTTGTGGATTGCTAATCAGAGTGAAATCTCCAGGAGCTTAACTGCTGCTTTTTCCACATTAACTCACATGCACTTTATCTCAAAATGATACTGGAGGGCTAGTAGGTTAATTCTGACCTTTTAATGACCCACTTATACTTTGTCAGTAAACACCTCTTTGAACTTCTGAATATTGTGTGTGTTTCTGAGACACTCACCCAGATATCACACTTTCCAGGGAAGAACCTCTCAGGGATGCGAGCGGCGTACAAACAGGCCCCTGTGATGTAGAGTGTTGCCATGAGGAGTAGCCAGCCCATCTGACCGATGGTGGTGGCTTTGATCAGACCCTCACTGATGACAAAGTGCAGCGTGGGAACAACTCCACTCAGACCCAGACCCACAAATACTCCTGGACACAGAGGAGGAGAGGGACTGTGAGTGCAACAATTTTGTCTTGTGAAGGAAAGGTAAGACATCAATACAAGGAGATTTTATGTCCAGTATTTACACTTGTTTTAGTTTCCTCCTGAGGGAAATTACTGGCTCTCTGGCAGCCAAATGCCAAACTTGCTTCACAACGTGGTCATTTTTCTCTGCTTCTTTTATGAATTTTGCTGCTGGTTTTGGGTGGTTTTCATGAGGTTTCCTAATTGATGTACCTGCACAGGCCAACAGGGGGCACAAATGGGCCTGCATCACTTCTGGCAAAGCCCTGAAAGATTATCTGCTAAAAGCAGTCCTATCAAAATTGGTCGAGAATTAGCATAAATTTAAAGTATAATTTAATAAAATTATTTCTCTTTTAAGGAAAATGCCTTTTGAGTACCAGCAGTAAATAATTGAAATGATTCATTCCTACTTTTTCATGTATTTTTTACCCTTTAAAATAAACAGAGGTATCTGTCTCAAACATTTTTTATCACTCAGTCTACTCTGTGACCAAAATCAGCCACTGAAAACTCCTATTCCATTCATATGAATCATTGCTCACACAATTATTCTCTTAGTATCAACCTGAGCAGCTCAACACAATAAAAAGATACTGTATATGTAACACTCTACCTGCTCTGACTCCTCTGTACTGGGGCGTGGCAAAGAAGTCACACTGGGAGACAGTGATGGCGGCCAGTCCCAGGACACACACCACTATCAGGTAGATGAAGCAGGGCTGAGGGGAGCAGTAGAAGGAATAGTACAACCAAGGGACAAACGAGCCCATGATGAGGAAGGCAATGCCACTGTAGTCCAACCTGGACAGAGACAACACAAGAGTTTTCATCAGCTTCGAGGAAATCTTTCCCCCCACAGACCCTCAACCTGTAACTTCTGCATGTGACATACTTGGAGAAAACTCTGGAGACGCCCTCAGAGTGACAGTAGACTGTGTGGAAGAGCCAGGAGAAGGAGAGGCAGAGGATGGCGCCTAGGAAAAACATCCCTATCACCACCTTCTCCTGGACCGGAGCTACGAACGACATGTTGGGCCTGAACATGTACATGAGACCCAGACAGAGGAAAAACAAACAGCCTGCAAAGAGAGAGAGGAGGAAAAGAGACGCAGAAGTGAGGATTAAATATTAATGGAGATGAAAAAAACGAACATGTCCTAAAACAGACGCTGTCAGCTGTTTCTATACAGAAAACTGAAAGAAATTAATATTTACACTCACATCCCTCCCTTCAAAATCTAAAATATGATAAATACAGTATTAATGATGTGTACAATTGATAAAATCCAACTAGATTCCAACAGGCATTTGAGAGCAGTAAATAGTTGTAGTATCAGTGACTGACCACAAGGTGGAAGCAGACACCGACACTGTCAACAAGAATACCAGCACTGGCTCATAAGAAGTTCAAGCACAATAACAACAGACTTAAAGTTTAGGGAACAACAAACAGCTTTTCAAAACACACAAAGTGATACAAATCTGTCTCATTATAATTAAACCGCTCAGCCTAAATTAAGAAAATAATTACAATGACCAAGAATTCAAAGGATTTCAGGACTTTGTTTTCTTATAAAATTGGCCCTATACAGTCAAAAAAAGGAGTTTTTTTTAGGTTTTCTGTCAAGACAATTCATGTAAGATTAGTTATCTGACCTGGTTCATTGGAGATTAATGTGGGATAAAACAAGAACAAGTGAAGCAACAGATTACATAAACTCTAACCAAAAACAAGTGCCTTTTATTTTCATTGGCCATGTATTTTTCCCGCAGCTGCAGCACTTTGTTGTGTGTTTGTAACCTTTCCTTGTTAGAGTCAGTGAATCAGCGCATGACTTTGGAGTTTAGGTTAAAAGTTACCGAGCAGATGTGTCCAGATGTTTCCCGTCTCTGTGTGGATTCTGAAGATGCTCTTAAAGCAGGCGCGGAAAGAAGGCATTGGCGGCCTGTGGCCATGAAGCAGGAAGTCATTGTCCTTCAGCCAATCGGGGAGCACGTCGTGAGGTATGACTCGCCACCTGCCCTCCCACATCTGAGAGAGGATTACAAAAGGAAATGTTCATATTTTAGATTTTCAACTATCATGTGTATCAGGAGTGTAAGAAAATATGAACATGCTCTCACTCACATCATCTCTTGGGGAAGAAAACAAACTTATTCAGACAGAAAAGTAAACTAAGATGGTCCTTTAGTTGGGAGAACTTTTTCTAAACTCTGTTTTCTCACATTACGTTTTTTATTGTGTTTAATCTAAACTGCTCTGCTCTAAGTGAATTTGATGAAAATTGTGTGTTCTTCATATTGGACAGTTTTTCTATCAATACACTATCTTGGTTAAAAATAACACATATCACTTATCATCTGCTCATGATATCCCAGTACCCTAATGTACAGTAATATATCATGTCGCCATCCCTATTTAAGGTTATGTATTGAATCACCAGGTTTTTGCACTCATGTGTATGATGTTAGAAATAACCTGAGAGTTCGTGTGAGTGGATTACTTATAAAAACCTGCCCCCCCATCAATTTTAATGTCATTCATGAGAGGCAGCTGCTTGTTTACTGAATAGCTGTGAACTATGACCTTCAGTGAGTGCGTGTCTGTTTGTAAGAGAGGCCTTCAGTGTGGAATCAGGAGTGTGTCTGTAGTGAAGGTATCAGTGTCAAACGAAAAGTATTTGGGCCAAGTGATGTAAATAAATACACCGGCGCCTGATATGGAGAGAACAGAGGGACTGTCTCTTCAGTGATTCATTTCCCTAATTTAAAACCTGCTGGCTGCAATTTCTGCTCACTCCTCGTGTGTGTTTGTGCATGAGTATCAGTCCAAGTTTAGAGCCATCTCACAAATAGACACTCTACAACTCCTTACGATAGCCTACTTATCATTATTAACTTCATATTAAATTAAAAATGACACGCAACTACAACTCAGAACTACAACTCTGTTTTAAGAGTTTCTGGCAAAGTCAAAGGTGGAAACATAATAATGTGCTGTTTTCTTTCCAACCCCGCATTTAGCAAGTGACTGCAATATATTTTCATATTTTGAAGTTGTGGCCAAATTAATAAAACATTTTCTTTATAAATATCGTCAAACAATAAAGCAGAGTGTGTAGGTTTGCTCATTGTACACAGCTCTGTTTTCATTGTGTTTTTATGGGTTTATAGCTTCTTTTTACTACGTGCTTTTACAGAGTGTTGCCGTTATAAAACCAACACTGTAAAACAAACACAGCTGGAGGGAAGATAAACAAATCCAGTGGGTGGTGGGAATAAAGGTGTGGGGAAATATTCATACTAAAAAAGGGAAATAAAGAACACAGTCCATTCACAATTACCCGACACCGCAGCTACAGTGTGTGTCTTTGTGTGTGTTACCTTGTGTACAAACTCCTCCATCCTCTCCATGGCGTGGTGAGCCTGCAGCAGCGGAGTCATTCCCATAAACCCTTCGTCGCTGCTCTTCTCATCCTCCTCCTCCTTCTCCGATCCTCCTCTTCCTCTGTCGTCCTCTTCATTTTTTCTTCTGTCCTCTTCACACTCTGGGACGTCCTGAACACAAACAGAAAACAGGCACAGTTTGAGAACAGAGCTACAGGGACACTTTGGTGAATATTAGTTTTTAAAGCTTCAAAATCTCAGAATGTTAATGTCTGTGGGCATTTTATCTTTAACAGATGAAACATTGTGGGTTAAAGGCGAGAAAGATGACCTTTAGTTTGAGGAGACCACGTGATGCAGACTTGAGAAGAGTGTGTGTCTCCATTGATTCGAGCTTGCATAATCTCACTCTCTCATGCAAATGAAATTCAACCTGACAGGAGAAGTTCCTTCCAGGTTCATCATTGATCACTCTGCATCACCTGCACCTGACCAGAGATCTTCCTCAGAGACCAATGATGAAACATGATTATAAATATCTATCTCTGTGTCTCACTATGTTCTTCATCATTCCTGGTGTGGCGTGTGATTGTTGAGGATCGGTAGTATTATTTGTCGTTGTTACAGTTCTGTAAGTTGTGGCCCAGAGAAATGAGCTGGATCAGTAAATCGTCTCGTCACATTTTGTTCTACAATAACAGCAAAGACTTCTTCACTGTGACAGCAATTGTGCTGCGAGGTAGTAAATTGTTTTTGAACTGAGATGCCTTCAAGGTGCTCCGACTTTCATTTCAAGACAGCATACGTAATATATCTTAAAGCCATGGATCGGGGCTCTCTTTGACTTTTGAAGGCATCATTGTTCACTCATGCCCTCTGCTGCAGCCTCCTGCAGCTCTGCATCATCATATGGAGCCAACACAGCTTGGATTTTCTTTATGCAGCTTAAACCCGCTGTCTTCAAATGCAGAGGCACGAAATACTCATCCCTGTGAACCAAGATTGTCAAAATACTTGATACTTCAATCTTCTTCAACAGCACATGCTTTACAACAAAACATTTTCTATTATTTTGTTGTTTAACCGTATTAAAGGCAACAATGTTATCCTCTTTCATCACATTCACATCTCTGCAGAAAAGTGCAGGAAGATTTTGTTTACTTGCAGCTGAGGTCGTTCATAGTTCTGCCTCTGCCTCGCCCTCCTTCACAACCTCTACCATGAAATCTCCCCATTTATAAACAGACAAGAACTGACATTTGCAGAGAGTTTCACAGAACGCTGCAGTGATCTATAGCCATAAAGTGATTAAATTAGTATGAAAATTGAGGAATAAAGACATAGAGCAAAGTTTCTGTTCATATAAACATGACCAGACACCTCCCAGCATGGTAAAAGCATGGCATTTGAAAAGTTTTGCTCGAGTAACAGGCAACAGCGCTGCTGATAAGGGAGCACGTGTCTGATTATGTAATTGTTAAAGCAAAGTTAGTTTTTCTTTTTATGACAAACGCCAAGTGATTATGTAAATATCTACAAATGACATGACTGAATATTCTTGACTGCTCTCTGTCAGTGATCACCTCACTGTCTGGTTTCAACTTGTAACCATTTAAGCCTGAAATAGAGCAGAAAAGGACCGCTCTAACCACACAAACAAGTTCATTAAAAGGAACTGATATCATTTGGATTTCTTGTCTGTTTTTAACCAGATGAGATCATATCAGTTTTATTCTGATGAGCGAGCACTCACGTGAAAGAGTGTATTTTTAGGAAAAAGGAGCTGATCTCTGACTGAACACGCTGTGTCAAATCTTAAACAGAGGATCGAACAGACTGGGTGAATCCGGTCTAACACAAAAGCTGTCACAGCTGGGGAGCCGGGCGCAGAGCTAATATGACTTGTGCTCTGTGATAAATACACAATCATTCATCATAAATGACACACAAACAAACCCTCACACACACACACATTCAGACCCACACATACACAGATGAACCGATGCACTCCAAAGTATTGATTGTTGTGTGTGGAGTCAGGTAAGCAAAACAATACTATTCTGCAGGGTTGAGGACAAAAACACATGTCAATAATTAAAGAAAAACACACACACACTATTCTGGCTGCATGCTCGCCTCATTCTGCTGTGAGGGAGTGATTAGCGAAGATGTTTTTCTGTTTAAAGGAGGATGAGGAGGAGGGGGAGGAAGAGGAGAAGGAACAAAAGAGAGACAAGAGTGAGGAAATTAAAAGAAAGCAGCGAGACAGACAGACAAAGAAGTGTAGAAAAAGAGAGAAAGAGAGGTCCTCTCGTATATATAATGCATGACTAACCCATTTTTAAATACCCAACAGCAAAATACACTCCAACTGCATGCATGGTTTTTGCTTGTGTGTGTTAAATATCTCACACCACGATTTATTCACAGATTTCACACAGTCAAGAAACTGGAAACAGCTGATGCTTCGAGTTTCCAAAAGCCTCAGCTATTTGCCACGTAACTGGAAGTGTGTGTGTGTGTGTGTGTGTCTGATTCCAATTGTGACAGACAGGATTCTGATCACACCTGTATTACCATGTCCTCATAAATCCACTCTCTGAAAGCAGAGATAAAGGCGACACCTGGCATCGATTATTGTGTGTATGTGTGTGATAATGTGTGAGGTTAAGCGTCAGTGATGGAGTACACTATGTGAGCAGAGGGTATGTGGGTGACTGCCAAGTAGTCACGTGTGCTCTGCGGTCTTTATGTGTGTATGTGTGTGTGTGCGTGTGTATGTGTGTGTCAGTAATAGCCTCTCATGTGTGTCCATGCATGCATGTAATGTAGGTGTAAGCCTGGATCCAGCTTCGGTCAGCCTCACAGTGGATTGTGAAGTTATTCTTAAACGGTGTGAATAACCCTTTGTATGTGTGTGTGTGTATGTTTGTGTGTGTGTGTATGTGTGAGATAAAGAAGGTGTCCTCTGAGTGCACAATGATTACAAAGGTGAACCCAGCACATTCATACCTGCATGGATGAAACTGGGGTAAAGCACACGCACTTCTCTTTCACACATGACATACAGGCAGCGAGCGCACTGTAACAGTAAACACATCAGGGACAGTGTGTCACACTCACGCTCAGTGAAATAAGAAACATGAGTCATAAAAGAGATGCAGATAAATGAGAAGCAGTTAGCCACTAACCTTGTACATTTACATGATTTATGTTCAGCCACCCATTTGTTGGAAAAAAAAAAAACTTTTACTGAACCACAATGCAGCCACACTCATCTTCTTGTTAAAAGTCCACTTTACTCCAACATCTCAATTAGCTTTTACAAGTTATAATGAATGGCATAACACAAGCTCTTCTAATACAGCAGTGAACCAAAACAAGAAACACAAGCAGTCTTGATTAGCTTCTATGTAAGCTAGTATGGCTGGTATAACAAAACTGATCACACTGATAGTAATGTGTGAGATCTATCTGCACATTGCTGTCATGTGCAAACCATCGCCAAGTTTGGTGTTATTGTGCAATGCAGTGGTGACAAACCGGCGAATTTTAAATGTCTGCTGGTCCGAGTAAAACCGTTTTGTCCTGTCACTGTCCCATTAATGAAAACCAAACCTGTTTTTGTCTGAGTTTTTTTTTCTTATGACATTACATTAAGACTGTTATGTTGATCACTTTTAAATCAGTGGTTACTTTTCCTAAATCTACATTGACTGTAGTGGCATCAGTTTTTATGACTATGTGAGGCTCTTCGGCTGCTATAAAATACCTTTTTTCCTACCCAAGAACACTTCTAGACACCATTCGACTTGCTGACAATCGTTTTGTTTCAAAGATAATAAAAAAATTACCTCATGAAAGGCTGACCATGCAAAAAAAACCATGGTGCTCACGGACAACAGAGACATGATGTTGTAACGGTGTGAAAGAGTCTGTTAGACAGTATCGAGCTGCCTTGGTACCATATGAAACGCGCAGAGGTTTCATAGGAGGAAGCTGTGGCTGAAATTCTGAAAAAAACAACCATCTGGCAGCTTGAGAGACAGAAAAGAAACTGCTTTTTCTGCAGTGAAACATCTGCTCAGCTGTGTTTAACTAAATCCAAACTGTGAAAGCTGGGGTGTTGAGGTTTAGCAGCAGGTGATGCCGAGCAGGTTGGGCTGAAGTTGCTAAAATCATAGCTGGTAAAAGGAGAAGTGGCTTCGTAGAAACACAGGCTATCCCTTACACACTGAATGCTTACACACACACACACACACACACACACACACACACACACACACACACACACACACACACACACACACACACACACACACACACACACACACACACAAACACAAACACACAAACACCTCCTCTTCCACACGTGACTCAACCCCAGCAGTCCAGTCTCCAACAAGCCGTTATGGCAGAGGTTATGGAGTCAAATTTCCCCCAGTGTGAAAGTGTGTGTGTGTGAGTGTTTGTGTGTGTTTGTGTAAGGACATGATCCCATTCCTCTGGATGTGTCCATCCTCAGCTCTGATTGTAACAGCTCATCATGTATGACTAAAAGAGTCTGGAGGTCAGTGCAGCCCGGCTCGCCCTCGTCTAACACACAGTAACAGCCACGTGCGTTTATGTCAGCTCGAGTGTTATCATGTTTTAGCGTTGGTCTGTTTAGGTTTTCAAGGAAAGGAGTTCCTGGGAAACGCCTGAGGGAATTGTTTCAACATTTATTTGGTTGTGTATCAAAGGAAACGTTTGGCTCCAGAGGGAGTGTTTGAGAATTTAACTAGTCATACTTACACTGCATGTTTCCACTTGTGGTCGTTAATTAAAACGGCTGTTAGGAGTTTATTACTCCACCCTGTATTTACAGTTTACACGAAAACAAGCTGATATGCTCAGAAATTATCCAGACAACAAGCTCTGTAGCTAATGACTATTTTCCCTATCACAAATTTATGAAAGACCAAGAGGACAATTACCTCGCTTAGAGTAAAAACAATTTTAAAAACTACAGGTCCTACACTATCATTAAAAATATTGTCGTTGTGGAGCTAAATTCTTTAAACATTTATTTCTAAAGTAGATTCTATAAAGAAGCACCAAATAATGAACTTCTTAAATCACTCTATCTCCAAATAAACCCAGTTTCCTGTACATACAGTGTGTTATGTCCGAGCAGGACTGCGCACATGTTGTATGGTGTGTCCGTGGCTTTAGTAGAACGTGCATCTGATAAAGAGGATAAATGGCCTTATCAGAGCGGTGCAGGCACACCCTGAGCAAGGGCATGGTGAGATGACACAGTCATCTGACCGAATACGTTTCATTTTTCACCTAAACACATCATTTTTTTCTTATCATTGGGCATCAACTAAGACAACGCTACAAGATGAAAGTTGTTATTTTAAAGTGTGAAATAAAAAAGTCATCGATCCTGTAACGATTTAAAGCTACTGTGTCAAACATAGTGGATTGAGCCATCTTGGTGCCCCCCTGTGCCACCAAATGATAAGTCTTCTGAGGTCCCCGTGTTAAAGCTGCCTTTAGCGACAAAAAGTCTCCCGTCCTCTAATAGCCAAATGTGCTTCTCAGTGGGAGTATTTGCCCTGTAAAATGTAAATAAAAGCTGTTTTCTGAGGCTGCTAGTTGTCTCACTACTATGAGTATCACAAATGATCATTTAGAACAATTCAATGTTGTCACCAAAGGTCTTGTTTGCTTTTTGGAGGTTATAGAGAGACAATTAAAGAGTAAGACCTTTTGTCAATCATAAACCAGAATGATCTAACTCACTTTGGAAAAAATTGATTAAATACATTCCTCCACTTAGGCCTGATTTTACTTAATTTTCTTAAAGCCACAGTGAGGAGTTTTTAAAGTGATACTGATGCCTTTTCAACATCAATAGAAGCAAACAACCCCATCAAAACCTTCATCAAAAATCTTAATATGGAAATTTTTAATGCCTGGATTGGCTCCACGGGGGTCAGTGTCAGACAAGGTGATAGACAGTATCTTGGAGAAACAGCATTTTTCCACATTGTCAACAGGAAGTATGAACAATATATAAGTAGGATGAGTTTTTTGTTAGAAAATACTTAGTAGGCACAAACAGGACAAAATCTGCAAAGAGATATGATGTGTCTACAGGGAGGACCACAATTGGCAAAAACATGCTCCTCACAGGAGCTTTAAATGAGTCACTGACTTGTAAGAACAGCATCACTCCTCACATATTCAAAAATATGTTTTACATGTCTGATTTGGATGCTCGCCAAATGTTCCTAAAAATAATAACAAAAAAATAAAGAGTATAAAGCTACATCAGAGGACGGACCAAGGAAACAAGGATAGGAAATGAGTGCTTGTGGGACAAACCAAGAAAAACAAACGAGTGAGCTTTTATTCAGTCCTGCATGATATACTCGGGACCAAAACAACAGAGGGGGGAAGGAAATCCCTCGAGACCCCGATAACCTCAAGATTAAACAAGGCAGTTTTTCTTAAAAGCCCCCATAGACCTCTCCCTCCCTCTGTCTCACAAAGTAACACAAAAACATATATCCCCTTAGACTCATTATCCATTCTGTACGTAGACCTGACTAATGAGTTTAACCTGAATAATGAGAGTGAGCACGCACACACACCTGAAACGCTGCAAACAATTACTCACAGAGGATTTTGATGAAAAAGTCTCATCTTTCAGGAAAACAATGGACTTTGGACTCAATGTAAACACAGTCACATGTTGGCAGCTTGAGGGCGGAATCAAGGAAACTGACACCAGCCAATAAGAAATTAGCTGAAACTCTGCAGACCAATGAGAGCAGAGTGTGGACTTGTAACGGACCAACGCTCACCCTTGTACACAATAACCCCTGCACTACACAGACGGAGAGGTTCGACATGTGACTCATACATGCACAATGCTCTCTTGGGATGATAACAGTTTGGAAAAGCAGCCAAGGCCTTCAAAAACTGACAGTATGTTCCCAACACACAGACACTCCCGCTCTCACACACACAGACCTTTGTAATAAAGCAGGCAGTGTGTTCGAGCTTCCATGAGACAAACTGTTCTCTCTGCTCAAACTCATGACCATGAGGAAAGACGCAGATATGTGTGTTGACATGGCAACACAATAACAGATTTTGTTTTCACAGATGGAGGGATATTAACACTTAATTCACAGCCACTTTAAGGCTGCTCTTTCATTTTCCCTTATGGCACTAGATGAGATAATGGATGTCAAACTGGGGCTGGATCACAGTGTTGGAGTCAAGGGGCCATGTGGTCTTTAGAGCTCTTTGAGGGACTTTTGAATCCTGCTGGTCAGCGTAGGATGTCCCCTAAAACGAACTCTGATGACCCTAATCAAAAACTTTCTGCTGCTATCCATGTGACAAAACTATTTCTCATTGTTTTTTGCCCTCCAAGAACAAAGGAGACAAAAAAAGTTAAAAAAGGAAGTTATAGGAGAGAAGGTTCGTCATTTTCAGACAAAGCCAGCTGAGTTGTTTCCTCATCTTCTAGTCTCAAGTGAACTTAGCTTCTGATTATAACATCATGTAAAGCTTTTGCAACCCGTCAGACGTAGTGGCATATGAAGAAGTTCAACAGAACAGCTGAGGCTGGTAGAGGTTCAGATTTTAAGCCCTTACATGTCCGATAGCTGAATGCATTGTGATGATGATGATGATGACGATGATGATAATGCCAGGACAGCATGTGAAAGGTACAATGAGAGGAAGCCAAATCTGGTTGTTCGATCCACCTGAGGCCAGATGTCAATGCATGAAAGCATAAAAAAAATGCCGACTGCACAAAGAGAGGATGTACAGAGGACTCAAAGGAACAGAATCTCATTGTTTGCTGGTATTTGTTTGTTGATATTTCCCTCGTGTTGCTGGTGGGTGAGGAGTACATGTCTGTGATAAAATTGCACCGCTTGTGTTTTTGGCTCAGCGTCTCCTTTCTTTTTTACTTGAGTCTGTTTATACAATATTGATCTTGTGTCTGAGTTTGGGTTCATAGTTGCAGAGGAATATCTTTTTGCTTGGTAAGAGGTGAAAAACACAGCCGTCTGTCTGTCTGTCTACTCTCTGGTAAATAGGAGGATAAACAGAACGTGGTGTTTGTGTACTTGAAGATGTTTCAAGTTCTCATTTGTTGTATTTGTACAAACTTTTATCCAAACCTAGCAAGTCTACCTGCAGTTTTGCTTTATTTGTGTTTTTATCTGAGTGACTCAAAGAAACATTTTCACCTGAGTGGCGTGGAAATCAATGCAGGTACACGCTGAAAAATCACATTATGTTAAAAACTGTTTTCCTGTAACTGTTGAAAACTTGACTGCAGACGGAACAAGTTTGAAAAGAAGAAAGGAGGAAAATGAAAGACACAAATGTGAAAAATAAACTAAATCCTCCCTGTAGCTTTGAAAACTAAAGTGATAGATGAAAAAACAAACAGACTGCGGTAGTAAAAGAGACATAATCCAATCTGACAGCAAACAGGATGTGTGATATTAACCTCAAAGCTAAACCGCACACTCACAAAGACATTTTCAGACACAAGCTATCACCTCACCCTAATGCTGGAAAATTCAAAGGGGGCCCTTTGGGGTGTTAAGACAGCCTGGCCTCTCTGACCAGGACAGGGGCCCCAAATACTCCTCTCAGGTATCAGTGTTGTTTTACATCAGGTAACAGGCTCACAAAGGCAGGAACAAAACCCACACATGAGCACTATTGTGTTTCAGCTTTAACAGTCTGTGCCGATTGCCTTTTGCACCGAACAACAGCGCAGCAGCTTTGTCTGTACACACACGCACAGTCAAAAGGCAACACAAGCGCGCTGTTTGATCAGTTCGATAGGTTGTCTTCATGAGATGATCTTCACACAGAGTTTTGGCAACGTGTTCGCACTCCTTCCAGGAAGACGTCTGTATATAGACATCACAGGTCTATATTTAGAGGAGCACACTGAATATCCACATGGCTGTAGACAGGAGAGTGGATCTAAAACGGAACCCAACCTTGATAATAATGCACTGCTAATTACCAACACACAAAATGACTCATCTTTCAGTTTGTGAAGCCTTGAAGCTGGTGTGGGTGTTGAAAATAATAAATGAAGGGGTTGTTCTGCCCCTGAGCGAGGTGCCGAACGCACAACTGAAAGTAAGGATGTGTTTATTTCTGATTCTTATCTGTAAAGTCTGAGCGGACTGACCGTGTTGTTTCCTCTGATTCGGCTACAGCTCCTGAACTGTGTGAAATTTGAAGTTAACTTGTTTTCATGCTTGTTCTTGCAATCATGAGTTCATCTTTTCTGAACTGTTTGCCCAAAAGTGTGCCACCTGTGTTTTAGAACTGTGTTTGATTTGCATGTTTTAATATTTGACGCTCAAGGCTCTGAGGATAACTTGATTAAAGAAAGCTGAAAACCACCGTGCAGCTCTTTTAAACGCACTCACAGTCTCACATTGTTGTTCCAAAACTTTTCAGAACAAACTTTACAAAAGCTGCTCTGAAAAGCCTCTTTTCAAAATGAGGTCAGATTTTCTTTTAATGTTTAATTAACTTTACTGTTTAATCTGCTTTATTGATCAGTGGAAATATATCAGGTCTTCAAAGGGAAACTGATGCTGAAACATGTTGCACACTCTGTGTTTGGGTAATTAACTGCACTGCTTATTAGTGTGCTAAATGAACACAAGTGTGTGTGGTGGATAACTCACATCTCTAGAGCTGTGTGTGAACCACGGGCTTTTGTATTTGTAGATGTACTAATGTAAAGAGGTCAAAGACTAATCCTTTCTTCTAAATATCTTCCCCTGCAGCTGTTCAAGATTTCTTGATTCAGATTTAATCCATAAAAAAAACTGTTTATACTTGTTCTCACGCAAACCAGGGAAGGGGCTTGTATGTTCCACACCTCTTTAATTATTCACGTGAGGGTGTGTGTTTTGGTGAGATAGTTTTACAGTGTGACCACTCGACCCATGCCACGCCACAGCACTCTAAACCAACCAGATGACAGTGTGCATCTGCAAGCATGTGTGCGTCTGAGCGTTGGACACTCACCCCATTGTGTGACAGGCAGTCTGAGGTGCTGAGGTGACTAGTTGAAGAACCTGAGGTGGGTGTGTCTTCCTTCTCCCGGGGACTCATGGGATCTGGAGGCGTGCCCTCTGTGGTGTGTTCGATGAGGTTGGATGTTCTGTGTCGCAGCACGAAAGCCGGGCCCTCGGCCCCACTCGTCTCTCCTCCGTCCAGCTTGACACGCTGGACCGACCTCCGTTGGCAGAAGACTTAGAAGATGAAGTCGACAGGAGAGGGATGAGACCAAACCTGGTGAAACTGTGGAGGATTTAAAAGTATGATTTTAAAAATAAATAATTTAAAAAATAATCTATTTAACAAGGATATCTACTGTCCTTTTTCTTCTTCAAATTACAGTTTTTAGGACTGCCTGACTTTATGCAATGGCAGCATGTAAGCCCTTTATTATTGTAATATTCTTGCTGATACACAGTATTGTTAGACTGAGCAGAAAAAGTGGAAATTGTCAAGGATAAAACTGAAGCATCTGTGTGAGTATAACACGATGACACTGAATATTAAACAGTATGAAATATTTGATCCACCTGGACTCCTCTGAGGGGGCGGTGGTCTTTGGACTGGTCTAAAATCTTCAGGAATTCAGCTGATGGGAACCTGAGAGACACAGAGAGGAAGAAAGATTCATTTCTATAGTCTGGTTATCCTCAAATTTTAAATGAAGGCAACAAAACACAGTCAAAGCAAAACAATGAAAAAAACAAGAATCTCAGAGCCCTTAAAACACTGATAGCTCTGAGAGAAAACCATTAGACGTTGAAATTGGCTTTCACCCCATGCAGTTGAGTGCAGTATATATATCACAGCTAAAGCATTAGGAAGTCTTCCATTTGGGCCCGACTGTCCAGACTAAATATATAACAGTGGAGGCATTATCTTTGCAGTTAAAAGGCCACAAGTTCAATCCCTTTACAAGACAAACTACCCTGCAGATATATCGCTCCTCCACCGCTTCATTCATACAAAGCAGCTCTGCACTATGAGCTATGTGCAGTATGATATTTGTTGTCCTTACTTATCTCCAATTCAAAAGTAACCTGTGGTATCAGGGCCTTAAAGTACAAGATGTGCCCACAAGGAGCCATCAACTTCCTGTTATGGTCAGTTGCTGAAGACGAGAGGTGTCAAGGACAGGAAAAGGAGACTCACACACAAGAAGTAGATTTGTCTTCACTGTTGGTATAATCTGAAAAACGTCACCACACATTGAGCATGGTGTTAGTTCAGACGGGTCACAAGCTCAAGCTCAGCCTGCTATACATCACCTGATCCTGATGCTAGCACCATACCAGCTGACGGCTTAGCCGGTTATCTTCTACACATCTTATTAGCAAATGTCAAATTGGGTTGTCTATCTTAACTGCCCAGCCTGCCAGTCTTGCTGTCTTCTCCATAAACCACTGTGCTCCATCTAACTGTACCAAGTCATATATACTGTATATACTGTCATTGGTGCCATTGATGATGTAGGACTGGCTTTGCTGCTGCTTTACCTTTCTTGGCTTATTGGCTTCCTTGGGTATGTGCTCTCCCTGCCGCAGCTTTTTGCATTACAAGTACGTTCATGATAATCATGATAAAATCTCTTGAACAAAAGTGGTTCTGCCCAAAAAGTATGTCTGACTTTTGTTTTATGGGATATGTGACACTGACATGACCTATATTAAAAACTGCAATAGCACTGTTTTTTCACAGCAGAGTTAACACTTGACTCTGAATCGCCATTTCCTCCTAACAACAGCTTTAAAAGCAGAGAACTGTAATTGGTCAGGGTTCCTCTCATTCTGTCTTGGTTTGGATCAACTCTATAACAACATATTCAATGCGCATTATCCCTTTGAACACTGATATAAACGGTAAGGTATAATAAAAATTTCTGGCACACCTCAAAAGAAACGTCTTACCCTGTAAAGAATCTATCTATAAAATACTACCCCTGACAGTTTCAGCCACAGATAGATTGAACGGTTGCCAACACTACTACAACACAGCCATAAACAGACACATAAATCACAGCGTGGCACTAGGACGAAAAAGTGTGCTGTTGTTATTACTGAACATGTGAGGACCATCCCCACAACCTCGACTAGGACTATTTAAAACAGGCCACCTAAAAAAAGTCACTGGTGGGGCCTCCTTAAGGTTAAATAAGCTCATGTGAACACGACCTGGACCTATTCATATCCACATGCTTTTACTGCAGCTTGTTTCCAAACACTCACGCGACTGAAGAGTTTAATGTTCCATAAATGATGAGAACTGCAGCTGCACATTCGTATCAGCATGTCTTTCATTGCTGAGATCAGTTTTCTTTGTGTGGGTTTCAGTGTAACTCTCACAAACACACACACATGTATGCACACAGCACTCCAGAGGGGCCCTGAGCACTGGAGCACTTCATTTAAACCAGGTACCGCTAACATACATTAGGGGATTGAACACTCTAGGGGAACGAGGGGCCCGAGCATGTACTTGTAAACATGTACACACACAGGCAGACTGCAGTGCTAACAACATCATTTGCTATGGTAAGCATGTAGAGGACAAAAGAGCTGCAATGGACCTCAAATAAAGGGAATGGGAACACAAGCGATACAGCGCCTTTAGTGAAGAACCTCTGCATCATTTATCACGAATCAAAAGTTAAACTCTAACAGTGAATCACCCCTTTGAAATACTCTTGAGGCTCACATATGCTGCTTTTACATGTTTTTTTTCTACACTGAATGATAATTATTCCAGAGAAGAAACATCTCACCACATCTGCTGTGTTGAAAGAATACTGCCATGCTATGAAAAATGAAGAACTGAGAGGAGGGGAAAAAACTGAGATAAGAAGTAAAAACTCTGCACAAAAGAAATAAAAGAGAAAATCATTGAGAGAGCCGCAGGAAAACTACAGAGTTTCATAACCCGATGGCATTGACCATCAGACAGTAGAGCTTTCCCCTGCTGTGAAGATTAGAAAGAAGACCGTCTGAGCTGAACTGAGAAGGCTGGCCTGTGGGCACCAGCCCTTAATCGAAATCAAACACTTCTACTCCTTAAGATTGTCTGATCAATCTCCCGCTTTCCCTCCCTCCTCTTTCTCCCCAATCGACTATTTTTGAAAATTATATCGACTCTCTTTTTTGAGTAACTGCACCCTCGTTTTCCATCATGATGAAAAGTGAGATTTCATGCTGGCTTCACATTAGCTGGCGAACAAGAGGAATGAGTAACTTCAGATGTTTGGGGGCTCTTCATTTTGCTGCAGTAGTCGATTCCCAAGATAACAGTTTTGAAGCCTGATTGTCACACAAGAACAAACAACTCTCCTGACGGTTGAAATGGTCAAGAAGTTTTGTGCTGTGTGGGTTTGATAAAAGTCTGGAAGCCGGAGAAGGAGAGAAGTACGTGTGTGGACAACCACATGAGGTCACCTCTGTCTTTATATTTGTAAACAATGACAGAGAAAATGAAGGTTACTTATAGTTTACTAACATTTCTACTACTTTGATGTGTTTGACTGTAGCTGTGCTTTTTTGCTTTGAACTTTCTGACTCAATTACTCACTTACTGAGATGAAACACATCATAACGAATGTATAATATGATCAAAGTACCTACATGAACCTTGAACTCTATTTGTAACCAATCCATTACAAAGACGGCAGCCTATGCGTCGCCCAGTCAACATCATGACACTATATTACTCAAAAAATAAAGCATTACATATCACCTCCAATTTGAGGGCCTGGATCTTTATGATGACTGTAATCTCAGACCTGGGGCACTATGAAATCAGTTTTACTTTTTTCCAAATTCAATATTTTCCGTTTAAATTTTTTAGAATTTCGATTTTTACCTTTTATACTTATTTACTACCGTAGGGTGAGTGCTTTTAGTGTCAGTAACTATAATGTCAAATAACAAAATACAACTATTCCTAAATTTATAGATGTAATACATCATTGCTCAGTATTTCAAGTCAAAACATAACGTTGCAACAAACAATGTACCAGTAAGTGCTTTAAGTAGACAGTTAAAAAAACTTTAGCATTGGCTAGCATTAGCAGCAGTACAGTGTTTTTCTTTATTTTTCAAGTGGGTTTTAGACGACAAGTGGTCATCATACGTATATTTTGTGTTTCTAGTCAACAGAAAGTTGCAATAAAGCATGTCACCTGACACATAAAAGTCATTTGGATATTGCTCGGCTCTGTACTTTGGAGACAGACAAAAGTTTCAAAGTTTTTTGCACGATGTAACCAGTGTCTCTGGTAGCCGCTTCCACATGCAGTTTATTCAGGAGGGAGGTGGCAAGTGAGTGTTTATGGAGAGATGCACTGGTGGTGCCACAAATGAGTGGTCCCTGGGATTTCCGTGAAATTCCACGTTAAACAGTAGATTCCCTTTTTTATTTGCCAATCCGGATTCCATTAATGTGGAAATCAAAGGGCCCTACACACCTTCCTTGTGGGACAGAGGCCTTTGAATGTTGTAGAAACACACAGAGTTAAAGCTGATGCTTTTACAATATGAGTGGATTTTACACTACACTGGTATGCTGTACAGTTTTTTTCATGGCTGATATTATAGATGTGACAATTTTATACCATGAATGATACGTCTCCTATCTGCCAAGACTACTTCCTCAACTCCTCAGTTCTTGTTCACTCTGACTACCTATCTGACTAACTGAAGATAATCATTGATTCCAGGATTGTCTGACTCAATACTAAACTTAGAAAAATTACACTGCAATGTGCTCGAGTCATTTCTTCACTCAGCCGTTCTGCTAACCCTGTCCGAATTCTGATGAACATGCCCACCCACTCACTACACACTGGCCCTTAAATCTGTTTGGGAATAGATACAGTAAGACAGACTGTATATAGGAATCATAAACAACCTCCATTTTGACCCATATGACAACTATATAACATTTCCTCTATAGATGCCAGAGCTGTGCTTCAGTCAAATCATCTTTGAAAGAGCCAAACCCATTACGTACACACTCATACACACACATTCATTGGCACAGTCTTCAAGCACTGTTCAGACGACCACAGAGGAGACTGAACAGAACAGCCTGACCCCATATTGAGATAAAATAGAGTCATTATGATAGATGGAACTTCAAATAAAGAGGAAAAGAAGAGAAAGAACCCGATTCACACACCCAAACCAAATGGGACTTCCCAGGGTCTGAGACCAAACGTTCGAGTTTCAGTTCAGAGGGAACAGCTGACACACTGTGTACGTCGACAACAGGATGTTCAGTGACTCATATAGATGTGTCGTGCAGAGGATCGGTATAATCATGGTCTTCCTGGTACACTAAAGGCTTGAGTATGTTGTATATCCTCCAGTTTTCCCCTCTACACCAGTCTCTGTTTAATGTTAAACTGGATGGAGGGACTGGGTACGTATGAATAAGTCTTCACACATGTACATCCCTTCATAAATGCTGTCAGGTTCAGGAAACATCAGCATAGGGTAAATATGGTGATGAACATCCCTGAAAAATACCAACAGGAATCCTTCACTCTGCAGGGAAAGAAAGACCAAGAGTCTAGAGACGTGGAGCCAAAATGTGTGGATCCATAATTTCTGTCTTTACAACGTTCATCAAATAATGCATTAACTATCAAGATTTTATCATATACTTGCCAAAATGGAAGGAATCAGATACATAGACTACAGTAAAATACTATGATTGATTTAACATCCAATTACCTTCTTATGACAGCACATTTCAGCTCATAAAATATGAATGAGGAATGAGCTTGGACATGAAAAAAGCAATATTAAAGTCATATTTTAAAGATAGTTTGTCATAATATGAAATAAAAATCATGATAAAAGATAGACAGTTTAACTTTAGAGATAAAAAATAAAGGACTGCAGGTTCATAATACCTTATAATTCTGACTTTTTATCTCAAATATGAACATTTATTGTACTTCACCCTTTTTTTCTCCTCATAATTGTGTCTTTTTAACTTACAATTGTAAGACTTAATTTGTTTAAGACAGCTAATTTTGGTAAAATAAATAAATCTCAGAGTAAGAGTGAAAGTGAGCAAGCACTGTAATCAAGGCTCTCTGGCCCTTTTCCTTACTTACAGCCTTTCCTGCTATGCCCTTAAGCAACACTGCCGTTGCCTGAATAATCAAACACATTTACAACCTTTGCCTGAATGGGTGGAAGAGGATTTGAGGTGTCTTTTATACCCTTATTGGTCTGCCCTGCTAATCCCAGTAGTTCATTATCCTGACTTTAAAACCAGCTCTAAGGCTAAAACAATAAAACCATCAATAAGCACTATTGTCCTTTGACTATGGATGCTATTGAGCTTTAAATATTGACAGTATTGATGTGACCCAGAGGTCAATTTCACTAACACAGCCAGAGTGTGGACCCACTGCTGTGTGTGTGTGTGTGTGTGTGTGTGTGTGTGTGTGTGTGTGTGTGTGTGTGTGTGTGTGTGTGTGTGTGTGTGTGTGTGTGTGTGTTTTGGCAGTTTTTTAAAACCTTTGTGATTTTGTCATGACACAAGGGACATGATTGATCTTCAAATATCGATGGCAATAATTGGAGCCTATTTCCAGGAAAACAGTCGTCTTCAGTTTGGAGGATATGGGCCGAGGACTCACCAAAACAAGGATACAGAAAGCAGGTATATGTTAGGCACATCTGTGTCACATTTAACACTTCAGGACTTGTAAAACGCTTCATCGCTGACTTTTTTTCCCTACAGACTTCTTAAACAACGTCTCCCGCTCTTTATGTCACGACTTACTCTCCATCTTAAGTGCAAAGTCCAAGGCTATCGAAGCCTCAAAAGGTAGTAGATGGAGGTGAGGTTGAGTCACTGCATTACAGGCTGTACTTACAGGTGTTTCTCACAGTACCTGAAGATTTGTGGCATTTGGAGACTGCTGTTATCGAGAAGGCTGGTAATAGTTTTTGAGGGATCAAACACGTGACCTTCATTTCAAAGAATCATCTTCCTTACCTCTAAGACTCCATCAAAACACTGGTTCTTACTGTGTCTTCGGAGGTTTGATGCGACTCAGTCTGCAGAGCCAATATGAAGTAACAACGAACAGGATTAGCTCTTCACAAAGACTTGACTGGTTTGACAACACTTCCTTTACTGGTCTTTACTTGGTAATGGGCTACAGTTGCAAAAAGTTACATTAGGATGAGCTGTACTAAATAATACCTGACTGTAGCTTTGTATTTTAAAGATGGGTGAAACTGATGTCATGGAAACAGATTTTTTCTAAGGTCCTTAAGCTTATCTCAAGGTGAAGATCTGCATAAATTGAACAAATTAGAAATGACATAGAAAAAAACAAGCATTAGACACCCTTAACCTGGTTTTCTTTTGCCACAGGATAGTTGTTTTCTTCTGTTTGTCCTCTTTGTGCAAAGCTAATCAATTTGTCCTGTAACACTGAAACAGTCATAAAAGTTTTCCTTCAGTCAGATTTTTGCAGGTATAAATGATTATTATTGGTGTATAATTAATGCACAGATTTCTTTCAACCTGAGACTGCACTTAAGAGATGATCTGAAATTATGAATCCCAAGATTAGCATGCGACCAGAGTCCACACAAGGTCATCTATCCAGGTCCACAAAGACATGAGCATGTGCCCTGCTTTCCTCATGCTTATTGTCACCATCTTTCTATTTGTCTCACTCTCACTTCCCCTCAGTCAGAGACACAAACAGACACACACAGACACACACAGAGGCAGAAGACAGCTGACTTCACTCCAGAGCAATCATCGTCACTGTAGAGCTGTGGGGAACCTGCTCCAAGACACAATCCTGTCAACTAGCAGAGAAACTCAACAGCACCTCATGTAGAAAATAATAATACTAGGGTAAGAAAAATATATATATTTGTGAAAACTGAAAAGGAAACGTCAATGAGCAGTGATTTGTTCTCCTTTTTTGCCTCCTCAAGGGAGTGAGTAAGAGGTGACTGCTGGCAAAGGCTGTAAAAAGTGGAAGTAGATAAAAAAAAGAAAAAGATGCACAAGTACCCACTTCTGGTTCTCTAACTAGGGACTAGGGACCAACATCAGGTCTAGTGGCCTATCTGTCATGAGTGTGACTGTACTATAAAATTCAATTTGTGTATAAATCATGTGTAATAGAGGAGGGAGAGCCGCAGGAGTGCTAAATAATGGCAAGTACTGGCTGAGTACGGGGTAAATACGTTCAGTTTGGGAGCTGGGGGAGAAAATATGATTCATGAGAGAGCTAACAGCACATGGAGGCAGCAGACAGAAGAAGGAGAAAGCTTGACTTCTGTTAACTGAAGAACGAGAGAGTGAGACACAAGGAAGGGATTTGACTCGCTAAACCTGCTCCACTGCATCGTCTTGATGTCTGACATGCAAATATGCCTTAATACTGCAGGAGTATTTGAATGAATGAGTGCTGACACGCTAGGTTGTAAGCTGTAGACTGTTTGAGGAAAAACCAGTGTCTACCTCTACAAATATAGGACAAAGGTCAAATGCTCAAGTATTGTCAAACAGGCGTTTAAAGGCAGAAAATTGAGCTTCTTTTACACGTGTAGACAAGCTGAGTGCGTCTCCTTGACTAGAGGAGAGAAAAATGTGAAAATGTTAAAGATTGTTTACTCGCTTTACGGCGTGTAAATGAACCTACAAAGACGACTCTTAGTGTGGATTTGTATCTTCCTGCCTTGTGCTCATTTGACAAACTCCAAAATCTCAATCATTTTTCGGAATCGTCTTTGGAATTGAAAAACATTTTTTCCAAAGTTTTCTGGCTGGTATTTTCCTCCTATGATGACTGTCAAATATCTCTCAATTCTCCACTTTATGGTTCTTATTTACCAGCTGCTCCTTGGTCGTTGCTTTATTACAGACAGGTGTGTTACGCAGCATAACATATTTAAGGACTAATTCAACACTGGTTACAAAAAGGCTGTTGACGAACAAAAACCGTGTGAAAAATTAAAAAAAAAATGAAGAAATTGATTCATAATATGGAAAGTGTAAGAACACACTTAGCATTCTCTTCTGATATGCAATCTCACACAGACTTGTTGGCTTCCAAGAAAATACACAACGTGGAAAGCAAACCCCCGTCATCAGCTGTTTGCAATTCTGTTTGTTGTATGTTGCAATGGAATAAATGACTGAAAAAGAAATTCATGTGTTTATGCTTTAAATGTTTCAAATTACATGTAGCAGTAGCATTGGTATGAAAACAAAAACTGTCACCAGTGTCAGACTCACAAAAATCTTTTAACACTTACACAACTGCCACAGCGTCCTTTTCCAGTTAAAAAGCCTCCTTTCTATACCTTAATAACTTTGTACCAGCAGATACAATGTCAAGTCCAGGACGTTATGCCACCTTCACAGGAGAGTCAAGGCGTTTCCGTTAAACCTGTTCAGTTCAGGCTTGAGAACGAAAGTGTCTGACAAGCAGCATGTCTTGTGTTCCTATGACGTGTGCTCGCTGTCTGAGTCACTCTCGGTCAGATATGGCCCGTGGCCTGTCACCTGCTATGTTATTACTCTCCCTGACAGACACTCACACATACCGACAAACACACACATTTCAGAGGAGTTACACAATAAACATTGTGTCACATAGGGGGTGGTGAAAACTAGTGCGTTTTTCTCCTTTTTCTGGTTTTTCCCTCACATTTGTACCGAATTCTTAGATAGTTGATCACAGTCAATGATTAAACAATGACACAAATAACACAATCCATGACTCAAAGCATTGATAAAAAAGCACAATATGTCATGATGGGGTCTTACTCTGCTATTTCTATCAATATAAGGTCAAGAAAAATATTCATCACAGCCATTCAACAGTAGGTCATTGTGTCTGTCTTAGATAAGGTAAGATAGATATTTGGGTCATAATATAGTTAACCTGATTTCATGTTTACCAAGTGTTGCTTAAACATTAAGGCATCTAAGACAGGAACATAACTGAGGAATGACCCTGGTTTTTCAGGTAGGACAGTACAACGTGTGTTTCAACAGGTTCTCCATGTATCTCAGTTTAAAATCAGTCAAAACAGGTTTCCAAGACCTGCATCTTGGGTTTCTTCATCAAGTTTTTGTTTTTCCCACCACCAAGTGATTTCCCAACCTGATACTTTGCTCAGAGAAGTTTCACTATACCAGGACTTCAAGATGAAGTTTGCTGATGTTATTTGATTCCTTATCTCAGAAGGCCACGTCAACAGTTTAGTCAAACTTAAGCCTGTCAATGTTACGCAAGATAAAAGGATAACTTCCAGTGACAACACATTTTGCACATTGCTCTTTAAACAATGTGGTGATGTCAGCTGTCTCGTGACCCGCTGTCCTGTGTGACACTCCTTTAATTATCAGTACAAGTCCAACAGAAAGATCTTTATGTACCTGGAAAAGCCAGGATCAGTGTGGGCGCTCGGAGTGATGCGTATTGGTTTAGTCTGTTTTCTTGCTCAATTGTCAATATCTTAAACTCCTGAGTGCTTCGTCTGGTAGAAAGAAAGTAGTATTGACGTCAATAGCTTGTCTCCCTGTGTGTCTCAGCGGTGTTGTCCCCACAAAGCAATTAATGTGAGCAAAATTAGCTTCTGACTTTTACTTTTTCAACAGAGTTTAATTCGTGCTGAACGCTTCATATCATATTTGGTGATCAATACACCCTTGAGAAAAGCTGCTGGCTGGTTAATTTGTTAATATCTAGTATCACTATCCATGAAGTGTGCGGCAGAGTTGGACGTCACATTCTCTCTCCACAAAATGAGGATTGGCTGCTCAGGGGTCATTCACTGAGCTTCACGCTGCGTGTTGATGTGGCAGAGGGCCGGTATAGGCCTCCCTTTGTATTTAGGAGCGCTTTACAATGATGCAAACCTGCTGTTGGAGACCACATGGCTGCTTTTACTGTTCACTGGAATTATGTGCTCCTGCAGAGACCTACACTTAAACACAACCACACGCATCCACACACCCACCCTAACATGATATTAGGGAAAACCTTTGATTGGTCGCCTCCACGGATAGTCTTTAAAGCGTTTGCTTCAACTTTTGGAGGGGAATCTTTAAGAGGAAGTAATTATTTAAGACTATTTTTTCCCCAAACAAGTTTAGCCTGATATTGTGAGCCAAAAACACATCTAGTTCCCCCTTAAAGCAGCTGTAAATATTGAACTATTTCAAAAGAACGACTTGGAGTTTTATGATGAGCTTTGTGTTTTTTTTTATGTCTTCATATCTAGGTTGTGTATGTGAGTCCCCTGGTGATTGCTAAGTCCTGGTACAGCAATGAGTTACTGATGTGTCTGCCAGCAGTCTTATGATGGAAAGACAAAAACAAAGAGATCCAGTGTGAGGGGGAAGCACACACACCCATTCCCCTTTTCCCTCGTTCACCATGACACACAGCCACGTAGCAAAAGTTACTACAAAGTGAATACGCAAAGAATGACAGATAGGGTGGAAACATCATAGAATAAAAACAATCCTCTATGGATCTTAAATGTCTCTGTGACACTTGATTTAAAAAGATGTTTCTTATTGATTTGAAGGCAGGAGAAAAATACCATGACAGATTACACACACTACACTCATGTTAGGTGACATTCAGGTGTCCTTCTGCAGAGGAGATGGGCCAATTTGTCATAGTCAGCTGTTTGGGTTGATATGAAAGGAACCTAGAGCAGCACACACTGTATCACACACACATACTTGGGTTCCTCTGTTCAACACTGTCCCTTTCTCTTATCAAATACCCGCTAGAAACAGCTCAGCAACCTACCAGCTGTTTAAGCCCAGTACAGAAGGTACTCCTAGAAAAGATAAGTGATCTCACTGAAAAAAAGAGGAAGCTAAGATGTCAATAAATGAATAAAAAGGCAACCCAGTTTTGTTCCCACAATCCAGACTTTCCACAGACACAATGCCATCAGATCCATGTGCAGAAGCAGAAAAATCCACATAAAACATTCATGTAACAGACTGGCACTGCCTGCTGGTTTCACCAAGTTATCATCTCTTCACAGTCTGTGGGTGGTGAAGGCTGAAAAAAATCAATCCGCTGAGTTTGTTTTCCCTTCAAAGAAACTCCGAACATTTTTTTTAACCAGAGCAAGGAATCCCTGATCATTTCAAAATGTGTTACAGGTCTAAACTGTTCACTTTTGTCCATATAGCTGCTCAGATCTATAAAAAAGACACTGCATTGTCGGTTTTGAACATAAAGCAAAGCAAGCACAGACCACAACAAGGTCAATACACTGTTTGCTCCCCTGGTGAGACCAACTAAATGCAATGGTTTTCGAGCCTTGGGTGGTGATCCAAAGGTGGGTCACATGTGGATAAAAATAGTCTCCCTATATGTTCCAACGAAAAGGAAACCTGAAGCTACTAACTACAAGACTAGTGCTTTTTGTTCCTGTAACATGAAACAGTGAGACTGTCAAAGTACCAAATGCAAGTTTGGACTTTAGTCTGGTTGACTCACTTTTGTTTTTTTAGCCGTATGTCTGCTATACACTCAAGAGTTTGTTTAACATATAAACACTCACAGTTCTTTGCAAACACTCCAGTAGTTAGAAAGCTTTTTTAAACAATATATCTCTATAAACACTGGCTCTTCTGAACACAGTTTTTGGGGGTGCCAGAAGCACCCTGCTCTTACAAAGTTACTGACTATTGGCAGGATTATTTAGCTGGGTGTATTACTGATGTTACATGTTCAACAAGGCAGTAAAAGGCGCTTTGTTTTTTTTTTATTTTATTTTACACAACACAAGCTTGTTTTTCAGGCATGTGAAGGGTGGAAAGAAATCACAGACAGGAAAAAAAAGAGTTAGGAGTGGCTTCTCTTTTCTTATGATCAATCAATTTTGCACTGACAAGTACTCTACTATTCTTAGGAGCTATGTTTAGCTGCTCCCCTGCCTGGCACACTGTCAAAAATGACTTCATCATACATTAAAATCTCTAGAGAGTTGAACCGCCAGTAAATATAAAGGCAAATTGCTCAGCAGTGGTGTCAAGCAGTATGACAGTATGTGCACACATCAGCTGGAGTGAAACAAGTTCTGAATTCAGTCTTTGTATGAATGCAAACTGATCTCTCAGAGCAGGGAATTACTGCAAATTTCCTGGTAAGATGAATTTCATAGACTGTATTTTGAAGCACTGCTTTGAGCAGGACTTGATTTTTCTGCATAACATGGCGTCTGTATAGACAAATCATGCAAATATCTGCTTTGCATCCCTACTGTATGAGGGTTTAACACAAAAATACACTGACCTGCAGACATAGATTTTTGAGTTGCATGGAAATAATAACCCTAATCGGTCACACTGTACTGATAAAAAAAGCAAAGCTGAGTTTCAACCTAAACATGAGCTTGGACTCTACTTCATGAAATATCCATGGACTGATCTGACGCTAGGGGACAGCTGGGAGTGTTTTTGTACATGAAGTTTGGGTTCAAGACAAATAGGCTATCAGCTACCCTTCCCCATAAAATATTGATAAAATGACCTCATGCCTTGTGGCAAACTGAAGATGCAATACTTTGTGTGTGTGTGCATTGAGTGCACCTAAAAATAAAATACTGAGTTGTTAATCACAACTTACAGAACACACGGCATGAGAGTCCCAACCATGGCTTATTGGTTAGAGCTTGTATTATGACTCCTGTCAAATCGATTAATTTAGTCACTGCATGAAAAGTGCATCTTAGCCTGGGAAACATGTTTAGGAAAGTGCCAAACAGAGCCAAAACAGGACTGTCCTTTGATAAAATAAAACAGTCTTTAAAGACAGTACTTACATCCTGGTGAATAAGAGATGATAATCTCTCTGAAAATGTTTAAAAGCGAGCAAAATACAAAAATACAAAAAATTGCTCCAAAGTAAGAAACATAGAGGAGTCAAAACAACACTGAAGAGCAAGCAAGACAAAGAAACCCCAAAACTCCAGCCTGAAAGAGACAATTCCTTCACGTTCAATACAACAACTCACTATGACATTTTTATTTTCTCCCATTTAAACGTTACTATCTCTTTCTTCATCCACGCTTTATCGACAAAGTCAAAATAAGAAGCCCACTGCAGCCCCTCATGATGGGTTTGTTTACACCGAGCTAGCGAGCTGGCTACTCCGCTAACGACAGCAGCTACATCCGAGAAAAAGCCCCATAACTCTTTAACAGAGCGTGATATTATTTTGACAGCTCACTACACGAACACATCTGTCTTTAAACTTACAAAACACTCATTTCGTGTTGATGATAACACCTCGTAAAGACAGAGTAACCCTGTGCTTTGTGGTGGCTAGCAGATTATGCTTCTGTCTGTTGTTTTGACAGCCTGAATTAGCTGGATAGCAGAGCTGCTAGCTAAGAAAAGTCCTGAGTGGATTCAAGTGTATCAAGCAAGACGGAACAACAATAAAACCCTCCGACAGGGAACAGCCTGGGTGGTACAACTCACCTGGTGCAGGTGTGTGAAGAGCAGTGAGTCCTCTAGGTACACAGACAGAGTTGTGGTCGCTGCTCTGCCCCCCTTCACTCTGAGCGCTTTCTCTCCGTCTCTACACCAGACTGCACTCAGCGACGGCGGGGGGAGGCTAATGCCACGTGACACTGCTCGCATGAGCTCCGAGTAGCCAATCGGAACACAGAATGAAGAAAATAACGACCAATCACTGGGGACCTGGGGGGAAGGTTGTGTGGCTTGAGCAAGTTTGTTGTAGTTTTTGAGTAGTTTGGCAAATCCTATGAGCGAAGAGTGTTTCCAACTAAATTAAACATAAATCAAGAGTTCTGTATGTAATATGAGATATGTCATTCTGTGTCTAATATAAACGCTTTTAGTCACAAAGAAATTGTGCTTTTGTGAGGCGTGTTAATTAGCTGCAATGTGGAGGTTGTGCAACTTTACAGACTGTTAAAAGGCTCTACATTATGTAATATATCATAGTACACTGAATGCTGTGGTACATTTTGTGTATTTAGTACACACATCTGAGAGGTTAAAAGCATTGATCATTTCATTATCAATTAATCATTTAAACAAGCCCTACTTTAATGATTTAATGCTTGTCATCTTATACAGGCAGTGTAGAAATGGGGAAAAGCTTTTCAGTCAGTAACCTGTCAGATTTGAGCATGAAAAGCTTCCTTATGGGAAGCACTGGTGGCCTCAGAGGACAAAAAGTTCCTGTATGACCATCCACTTGTCACACAGGGTTCCTCTGGACTGTTGCTGAAGACATGAACATCAGCCTCACCCACATTAATAACATTCATCATTACATGAGCTGTTGTTGCTGTTGTTTTAATGTTGCTGCTCCCCTGTCTCTCTCTCCCTTACCTTTTCCCTCTCTCCTTCCCTCTATCTTGTTCTCTTTCTCTCCTCCTGCCCTCTCTCCTACTCCTCTCTCTCTCTCTCTCTCTCTCTCTCTCTCTCTCTCTCTCTCTCCCCCTATCTCTCTGTATTCCTCCCCAACTCAGCAGCGGCCTGGTGGCTGTCTAGCATGAGTTTGGTCCTGCGAAAGGTTTCTGCCTGTTAAAGTTTTTCCTTGATGACGACTATTGTGAATTGCCGCTATATAAACAAAATTTGATTGATTGATTTGATTGATTTTGTGTACTTAGTACACACATCTGTGAGGTTAAAAGCATTTATTATTTCATTATCAAAAAAACATTTATAAAAGTCCTATTTTAATTATTTAATTCTTGTCATCTTATGCAGACAGTGTAGAAATGGGGAAAAGCTTTTCAGTGAGTGACCTGTCAGATTTGAGGCTGAAAAGCTCCCTTTCTCACCCCTCCTTTATGCGAAGCACTGGTGGCCTCAGAGGACAAAAAGCTCCTGTATCAATCAATTAATCAAACTTTATTTTTAAAGCACTTTTCATACATATAATGTAACACAAAGTGCTGTCCATTTAAGCAGGATATTAAAAACAATGAAGTGTATTTGTTTCAACACTTACTGGTTATATGTTATGAATGCAATGCTTTCAAAATGAGATATTGTCCTAAAACTTCAGAAATAGGGTAAAGAATAATCTACACTTGTAGAAAGGTCATAAAGTTCTATAACATGTGACAGGCAGCTGTCCAGTACAAATTAAACAGGTGCAGATGGTGTAACAGTGCAGCTCCACCCCTATATCTGAGCTGGGTGCGCACAATTACTTCACACTGAGGATCACCCGACCATTGCATCACCTGCTCTGTGGCCTCTCTGCTCCCCTAGCCTGGGGTGTACATACACACACATTCCCACACAGACACTCACAAATCCAACACACACCCTGCTGCGCTGCAATTGTGTCTGACTCTGATTGCATGATTGTGCAAATGGATTTATTGTGATGCAAGGCTGTGGCAGTGGGGTGTGTTGTTACTCTCAGCACAGTTCAGAGCAGTTTGACTGGTCAGGTTAATCAGGTCTGCAAGTGTACCGGTTAACAAGTTCAACTACTTTTTCAACTGATACCTTTTTGTTTTGAGGAGAAGAGCCTCTAAAACACTGAGAACTTGTTCCTTTTGCTTTAGTAATGATTATAAAATACGTTTATTCTTCAACCTGCTGTTTCTGTTTGTTCCCTGGGCAAAGGGTTCATCTTATCCCATCTTGAATCGATGATAAGAATAATGATTGTGATAAACATGTAGCTCTATTTTCTTTGCAGTAAAAGTAAAGCTTCTCTGTACTTTAGTTTATGGGGGGAAATCTAAGAGGTCTCCGATAGCGTTTAAAACCTAGTTATGTAATTACAGAAGGTACATCAGCAGAAAACCAGATCAAGCCATATTTAAAAAAACAAACCCATTTAGGCCTAATGCAATTTGACCGTATTTTGGCTGTAATTCCTGTTTTCTTGACACCATTCCACACAACTTTAATAACCTGAATGCAATTTCCATAGAAAGTATTTTGTACATTGTTTACTGACATAACTGGAGGTTTTTCTACTAATCAATAGAACCGACAGACTGACATAGAGTTCATCTGCCTCTGACCGTCTCAATTCACAGTGTAAATATTGTAGTTTCAGACTTTTGTACCAGCTGAACGGAGGAACAAATTCTAAAGGAGTTTCAACCTTGTACCATACTGATTGTGTTTCTCCTGGAAAAGGCAGACTCAACAGAAAAGTCAACCAAACAACAAAGAAGGAAGAAATAAGACATCATTCTTATCTATAAGTTTGTTTCCAGAATTAAAGGGTTCCTGAAACTATAAACACCATTAACAAATGATTTTTCTGTAAAATATATGCTTTCATTATTCTGGTGTGGAGTTTAAAGCTTGTATTGTGTTAGCAGATGACTTGATATGCAGCTAATCATTGTAAATTGCTGCTTCACTAATAAAGTGAGACCCACATTTCCTCAGCCCCCCTCTGTGTGCTGCAGGTGGCGGTGTGTTTGCATAAACCCTAATTGCACCATGCCCTCATTGTTAATACAGCATTTCAATGTTCCTTTGTCCTTCTTTCTGAGGAAACTTTTGCGTAAACCCTCTTTGGCAAAAGTGTCCCTGTAGATAATCTTTCGCTGCTGTACCAACCGGGGCAATGAAACCGACTGGGCTGCTTTGGCACTGTGGAGATTACTTAAATCTCTGCTTGACTTGGTTAAAAATTAAATCAACATTGTTTACTCTTGTTTTTCTTCTATAAACCAAATTACTATACAAAATATTGCAGAATTGCTCTGCTGTCTAATCCAAACAAAAAGTACTTAAAAGTATTAAAAATAACTTCAAAGTCATACGTTGTACAAAAGCCGTCGTACTTTAGTCAGGCCTAGCTTCTGACAATTGCTCCTGCTACAATGATTTAATGCTCTTTTATCCAGATATAAACAAGCACAGACGACAGATGGCACCCTGACACATGAAAATGGAGGCTGACTTGTATGAAGGCTGGCATATAACTTGACTGGCATAACCAGGTAAGATTACCGTAACCTGCAAGGATGACTGAAGGCTGGTTGTGCAAGCGCTGCAAGGGTTAGCCACGCTCAGCAAACCAATTTGACGTATGCTGATTCTCTGAAGTCATGTTAGATAAATTTTGCCAAATATTTTGTTGTTGTTGCATGCTTTCTTCGATTTATGAGTTCTTCTGAATTACATTACTGGGAAATGAGTCACCTCAGAAGATTCTTAGTGTAGATGATCTAACATAAGACATTATAAAACATGATGAGATTGTTTGTGTTGCTGGGCATCTACTCAGCTTCCACAAGTCACAACTAGCATGCCACACCTGACATTAAACTATGTGAATCAAAACTTCTTCTTCTTCTTCTTCCTGCTGCCACTTTGACAGTACCAGCTGAAAGTAGAAAATTCTTAATGTATGACAAACACTGTCTTAAAAATCTGTCATGAAGGCAGCTTGGGAGCTTAACTTGTACTTTCTATGTACTAAAATCACAAAAGATTGTCACTACAAGTTATCCCGTGTAAATAGAGAGCAACAGTGATGACATTCATGATAAAACAAGCCTAAATGTCATTCATGGAAACTACCTATTGTCACAAACACCGTTATCTAATACTGTCATTCATGCCAAAGTACAACTGCACAGACGTGCTCAAACAGGGTGTAACAGAGAAGAAGATTACAGGATGCTTCACACCCAGAACACCTCATTCTCTCAATCACAGGTCATGGAAAGCTGGACTGCAGTCGTACTCAGATTTGCATATATTGTTAAATTTACAGCACCAGACTTCAAATCTGAAAGAGAGATGACCAAAAACTTAAAGTATTAACCCCATGAGGTCCATTTCATCCTGCAGCACCAGTGTGCAAACCTTTGTGCATGACGGTGCATCTTCTTCGCTGCAAAAAAAGGCAGAGTTGTTGAAATGCACGGGTTTAAATAAAGTGAAAATAATGTGGAAAATACTCTCATAACTCTGAATCTGCAGTAGCATCCCAATGATGTAAAAAATCCTGATTTGATGTTTATGCTCATCTTGAGCTTATGTTTCCAACAGTAATAAAAAAAAAGGCAAAGAGAGAAGTAAAAAAAATGTCGAAGCATGAATGTACATCTGTGTGCTGTATATGTGTGTTTGTTTGAGACAGAAGAAATGGGCTGTTTGCTTCTCCTCACCTAATCCATCGCCTACAGATGTCTTAACAGCTGCTGGCTAATCTGCACACACACCACAAGCAAGATCCTACTCTATAGTTTATAGCTTTAGGCTGTGTGTGCAGTTAGCTTTGTCTATGTAAGACACAGTTAACAAATACGGCTTGTTTTATAGTAGGCAGATTTTCACCCCAAGACAGGACTTTTATGAGGAGCTATGTGCTTAAAATAACAAAAGATCCTGGCATCATTTATGTGCAGACACTCCTGAACTTCTGTTTGTCTCTGTTTTGCTCGGGATGCCCTCCAGCCTTGGCAATGTTCCTCACTGGACGCAGAGGGAGCAACAAGCAGAGCTCCCAATCCCTCCGCTCCTGTACCAACATATGAAGAGAACAGGTTGTAGAGGAATTATCTTGCCTCAAAGTGCCAAAAAACATCGCAGAAATTAGAAAACAGTGAAGATAAATCACATTCTAACAGCTTTAAAAAGAATTCCTGCCCCTGAGCAGGGTTGGTTTTATAATTAGACAGCTGGCAGTCAAACACATGAGGTTCCTGCAGGTACGAGGCCATAGGCTCAGATCAGGTGTCATTAATGCCATCTCTAAAACACCACACTCATGCTTGCACATGCATGTACAAAGACACTTGTTTGGCCTTTTAAAAAGCCCAGTGGGTACATTTCTCACCCCTCTTTTCTGCAGAGCTGCATCTCCCAGAGGAGCAGAGTGGAAGCTGTGGAGGGGAAGATAAGAAAAACGTGTTTGGAGAAGTGTAAGTTTCAGGACAGTAAACACCTGAGGGGACAGGAATCAAATGAAACAAAATTAGAAACTCTGAATTTGTCTTTTTAAGTGTCCCCTTAGGGAGTCTGGCTTACGCTTGGGTGAGAAAAATGCGGAAGTGAGTGAAAAGGTTTCTGGATTGGCGTTGTTTTGTACATGAGAGTGATGCAAAATTCACAAGATTGACTTAAGGCTCCAAAGCTGCAGACAGACTGATGTTGCAGCCTGTAAAACTCCCAATATCAAAGCTAAGACTCCCACTAAAACATTATAACATCTCCACTCTGCTTACAGCACAGACTATTAAACAAAGTGTATTTAGGAAAACAAACAAGTGCTCAGGGAAGAAGAAAACAAAGTATAACAGCAAGAAAGTTCTAATCAATGCAGGTACAAGCACCAAAAAGAGACTTGTCTTGACTTCTTGTTTGTTCCAGAGGATTAAATTAGCAGCATCACAGCAGCAGATGGCCGTCAGGTGACACAGATTAGGGAAAACACCACTTTCACTGGTCTAATCTCCAAGAACACACTCATACACGTGTACACACACTCTGCTACACACTCACAAACCATCTATGTAGAGTAAAATTAATAAAGCACCTTTAAAGGAATGATGTGCAACAGGAGAAAGAACATTAAACACAGAGAGACATGTATCTGGGAAGATAAAACCCACACAAAGTGTTGTATGTCGTCACACAGCTCTGGTCAGTGGTCTAATTGAATAAGCTGAAAGGTAATGGGCTTGTTAGGTGGGCCACTGTACAGACACACAGCCCTGAGCGTCTGCTGAATACCGAAGTACTAAAAGTTGTTAGAGGGTGTTAAGCTGCTGGGGCGTTTTAAAGAGCAGAACTTACACCTGTGATACAGCCGAGGAGCAGTTTCAAATGCAACGCTGAGGAGTTAAAAGTAGCCAGGGACTGGTAGAGGTGACGAGGAGTAAAGCTTTGCTCATGTAATGGGATCAGAGGTCATGAGAAATCTCTGCCCCAGTTAAACCAGCAACCCAATTAAAGACAGCCTGTACCTTTGAACACTGAAACAAACAACACAAACAAACAAAAACATCTCATTTAAAGCCAATCCGATATTAAAGATACTGTAACGATTTTTTTTCATGGTTGTGAAATCAATTGAACTTTATTCTGATGCACACAAGAAAGCAAACAAGTCTTTTGGCATCAAGGTTTGCTTCCTCTAGGTAATTTTTCGAAGGGTTGTAACTGCTGCAAGATAAGATAAGTAACAGCAGCCTCCAGAAACAGCCTTTGTTGACAAGTTATTTTTTTGTATATGACAAGATCAACAGAGAGGTATAATGTACTGGTTTGACTTAAGGCTGTCACAACATATAACAGTGTTGACAATAACCATCAAATATTGATATTGTGGTGAAAATAAGCATATGGAAGACTCAGACTGCGACTCTTTAACTGCGGATGCATGTAGCACAAGCAGCAGACCGATGAGGCGATAGCTGAAGCAGCTCTCCTAGAGACGATAAGCACTCTCAAAACTGATTTTTAAGATCTGATGTGAATCCTAAAACAACCTTAAAGCTTTTATTAATAATAAATAAAACACTTTCTAACCACTCTTGACTGTTTTCATTCAATTGTGAAACTTAGAACTATGAGAAGTTGTTTGCTTAAAAATAAAAGCATGGTTTGACAAGAGGTAAAAAGATGACTTCAACGTGAAACTGAATAAATGTCAAAATAATAGCATTACAAAAAATGTTGTCAATGATGAATTATAGATCTGAATATTGACAGAAAAAAATGACATGAGGTAATTGTGTTTATTAGTTAAGTCTAGAAAGTAGCTTTCGTACTACTCCACCATTGTCTTAACTCTTCTCAGTTCAACCCGTTGTGTTGATTTCCTTTAAGTTCTCCATAATTTTTCGAGTTAATATCATTATCATTATATTTTATGGCCATTTTATGAAGTAAAAATCTGATATTGTAACAGCCCTAGTTGGACTACAAGGGGCGCCAGTATTGCGTTATCATAAAAAGTTCAGTCCACAGTAAAATACTGTAACCTTTATTCTTGACAGATTCACTTAAAATCAGTGCGTCACTTCAGTTTGATGAACAATTAGACTAATTTTTTTCTCATGACTTTGGTTCATGATGATATAACTTTTCTTTTTATCTTGGTATTAATGTTGTAAAAGACACTGCTGTCCCTTCATTCCTGACGCTGGTTCTCTCTTTAGTATCTGAAGCATCATTTTCCAAAATACTCTTTAAAAGACAAAGAACTCAGTGTTGTTGTCCAGGTTTCCAGGAATCGAGAGAAAGTGTTGACCCAGGTTTTGTCATTTCTTAAGAACTGGAACAAAAATGGAACAAAGCCTTGTTATTGTTGTTGTACACTACTTTATCAAAAGAATACACAATAATAGTCATGTATAAAACATATAGAACAGGAATTAAAGACAATAACAAAATATACCTTCTTTTCTGATCTACTACTTTTTCTTTAAGTAGCTCAAAATTAATTGCAGTCCTTTCTTTTAATTTCACACCCGCACATTCACTTCTTCCACAGCCAGTCCTCTTCATTTTTGAGTGGATTACATCTACACACAATACGCTAAGGTGTTTAATTGTTGTCGGAAACAGATGCCACTTTGTTGGCTTCTAGTTGACTTAACAAGTTGCATAACATGAGATGAAGAGGTCCACTCTCAGTGTCTCTTAGTGCGACTTCATTAAGGCAGACACGGCACATTAATCTCCCTAATGGGGGCTTTGCTCACTTCACTGTCTCATGAAGGTCACGGAAGTCAGACCACTGATGTGAGCTGCTGGTTTAAACGGACACCGTTGTCAAGATGGCCGAAAATGGGCGAGCCTCATTAAGCAGAACAGACGCACTTGTCATCTCCCAGGTGCTGTAAATCTGCTCTAACAGGAGCAATTACACCGAGACGTGTGGAGAGAGAGAGAGTGATCTGTAGGTTGTCAGGCCTTTTGATGCAAAGATTAAGTGTTTTCCACAACTTTTTGATACAGCTGGATTTTCCTGTGCTTGACCTTTCCTGTAAACTGTGAAAATTGTTGCAAAATAGACACACAAAGTCCTCATTTGTGCTGCTTTACAGTTTCCCTTCTTTCTCAGTTCCCTCCCTTTTATCCCCTGCTCACTGTCATCCGTCTGTTTCAGTCTGCATTTCTGGTGTTCTCTGTGTGTTGTATGAGCAATGTCAGCACAACTCACGCGTGCCAGGATTCCTCTTGTAGGGTTAAAAGGTCAAAAAGTTCAGCATACAGCTTGATGATTTGTCGAATTCCTCCAGCACACAAACATTTGACGGGTCCAAACTGTGCCTTCAAGTTTGTCCGAGACTCTTTAAATAACAATCAGAGCTGTATCTTTATTTATTATTTATTTATATATTTATTTCATCTCTCATATTTATCACACTAGTTGTATGTGTCCCCATTTCCATGTGGGATCCAGTTGTTCCACTTTCAAGGTCCATTTATCCTTTTTGTCCTTCCTTCTTCCTTCAGGGATTTGACCAGGATGTTGTGCATAAAACCATTAAAAACTGTACTCCGTGTTCTCATTTAACTGTAAAGGCCAGGAGATTAAAAAAAGAGGTGAAGGAAACCTGTCTGAAAATGTCCAAACTTATCCTGAACAAAACTGTGAATATTCTTCTTCCTCCTTCATCCCTCTGCGCACTATTTACACACAAACTGGTCCACCAGCGATGTGCAGCGCTTGCACTTGACGTAGCAGCACCAGTGGAACTTGCAGTGACAGCGCTCGTGCTTGTAGGTCTTGAACTGGTCGTATCCTCGGCCGCAGCACATGAGCTCGCAGCCGTCCATGCCCTCTGAGGTTTTGTTGCAGAGGCGGCCTTGAGTGCCCAACGAGCCTGTGGTCTCATTGCGGAGGCAGTAGTCCGGGCTGGGGTCGATGTAGACCAGATCTGTCTGGGTTGGCATGTTAAAGCGCTTGTCTACGAGTTCCAGCTTTCCCTGAAAGAGAAGACAGCAGGTGAATAGAGGATCTTGGACAGTTTTTTTCTTGGAGACTGTATTTACTTTTTTGTGTAAGAGCTTAATACCTTTCGTCCAATACGCATGGCTGCAGCACTGTCGTACTTTTCCTTCAGGTACTCTCCGACGGTCCTAAAGTCAGCCAGTTGGAGCCAACAGGTCTTCAGACTGCAGGAACCTGAGACGCCGTGACACTTACAGGCCACATTAGCGAGGTTATACACCGCCTGGTAAGAGAGAACAGAGCACCAAGTGTTCAAGACAAGTGGTTGGTTTCCCATCTTTCATGGTTATTTGTTATAGAAGGAGAAACAATCAAATATCCCACAAAAAGATCAAGTACTTATCTAATGAGTATATGAATGAATCTGTGATCAACATTTTTTAAAATCAAGAAAAAAATATTTAAGTTCCAGATGGAGTACATTTTTAACCAAAAAGTCAAATTTTCCTTCCTTTTGAAAAATAACTTCAACTGAAAGATTTAAGTAAAAAGTTAAAGACATCTTTGTGAAATTGGGAAGCAGATTTGACGTTAAGGGTGTTGTGTGTGACTTCTACTTCGCATCATCTGAAACTCGCCTGGACTCAGCTTTGCTGTAATTATCCTCTGCTGCCATCTAGTGGTAAACATGTGTAACTGCATGCCCTCGTCCACAGTGTAGCTACAGGTAATGTAGCATTAACGTGAAGTGTGGCGCTAACTTTCCTATTAAGAGTTGTATATAGTTAATCTAACCGTTAAACTTTAATTGTTTTTAGTAAACACTGCAACAAAAAGTTGGTGAAAGCATAAATAGGTGTTTGGTGAGACTGTTAGTTTATCCAAACCTGATTTTTGATATTTTAGAATTAAAAATTGGTGTGAAAAAGCATTCAAAAACATGTCAGAAGGACAAATGGATAAAAAGCTAGCTCTAAAGTGGGCAACAAAACCAAGAGTGCTGGGCTACGCTGAGTGAAAACTCCAGACCTCACTACTTGTTTTCATCCCAAATAAACCATCTTAAATATACTTCTTCCACAGCAGAATTGACTCACTGGAGTTTGTATGATGCCTGAATTTGATGGGCTTTTTTATAAACATGTGCGTAATTTTTAAAAAACAGACCAAGAAGTACAAGGTTTATGGTCAGTAGTGGTGAACTTCAGAGGGAGCCCATTCAGCTTCCTCACAGCAATAGACAAGATTAAACCACACATACCTTATCATTTATCAGGCATTGTTTAATGCTTTTCAAGCTGCAGAGTCAAATCCCCTCATTCCCTCACATCAACATGTTTTACTGCTGAGTCAGCGATCCGTCTTTCACACAAATGAAACTCACCTCCCTGTCTCCTCTCAGCCTGATCTCAATTACCTTCTCACCTCTGTTAACCCCTGCATCCCTAACACAACCCCGACCCCAACCTCCCACCTCCTGCTCCCCAATCCTCTACTTTACTACCCAGCAGGCATAGCACTCGGCACCCTCCAATCCCGAGACCCGACCCCCGTGACCCCTCCGACAGACGCAGGGAACAGGGACAATGACATTTTGTGAAGGTAGAAGCCTCTTTCTGGGGAGTTCTGGTTTCTGTTTTAGATCGTTTGTCGAGTTTTCGGCATTTTTGATCTATCCCTATTGCACTTATTTCATCTCTACTGTTTCAATGGAAGCTCTCAGGAGATTGAAGATCAGTTTCATTGAGCAGAACAATGAGGAACTCCTGATATTTTATGGCTCCATGGGGTTTTACAAGCCTTCATGTTTACTTAGATCCCCCGCTGCGGGGTTTATTAGAGGTCAAGAACTGTGCTAATGAGAAAATTACAGACACAACTCTTCCTTTCAAATATTTTGAAGGATAGCAGTGTGGTAGAATCAGTGGGAAACTCTTGGGCATCAACTTTTAACAGGTCTTAAATCAGACTTTTTCCCACTTTTACCACGACTATTATTCACATTTTAATCTGCACTCGTTTATTTGAGCTATAATTAATGTTGCTGGCTGCCAGCTATCTCATTATAAAGAGTGTGTGTGAGTGTGTGAGTGTGTGAGTGTGTGAGTGAGTGAGTGTGTGTGTGTGTGTGTGTCCAGCTTTTTACTAAGCTATCTGGTGGGTCTGGGAGCACACACACACACACACACACACACACACACACACACACACACATGGTTAGTCAACCGTGCTGGAGACACAGTCTCTGTGTCAGGCCCAATAGCTGCTGCTCAGACAGGGTTAGGGGTGAGGAGCCATGTGTGCGTCCGTGCGTGTTTGTGTGTGTGTGTGTGTGTGTGTGTGTGTGTGTGTGTGTGTGTGTGTGTGTGTGTGTGTGTGTGTGTGTGTGATTGAAGTTTGTTGTAAAACGAGGCAGAAATAGAGAGGATGGCCTCTTCTTTGTCTTAAGGAGAGCTGAGTGAAAGGACACATTTTCCTGCCTGAACTTCTTCTTGTTTTGAATAATAAAAACTGCTACAGCAACAAACTTAATCTTATACGTGAAGGATATTGTCTGGCTTAGTGTTTGCGTTATTTACACTTTTAGTGATAAATCATAGCCTGTTACAGCAGCCTCAGTTTGGACACTGTGAATCATTAAATCTCCAGCAGTAGAGAAACTTACTGAGAAGAAATCGCTGGTCTAAAGTCAAAGTCAAAACTGGAGTTAAAAGGCTAACACACGACAGTTCCCTCCTGCCACAGGTCAATACAACACTGTCATACCATTCCTGTTCTTGTAATTGCAGTCGTCAACCAATATCTTTTTTTTTTCTTTCTTTTTTTTGTGGGCATTATTGATACTGATAATTAGAGACCAAAATGACATAGAGTATTAAGTTTCTACACAAGTGCAGATCTGAAACTGACAATAAAGATAAAAGTGACACAGCAGTAGACAACAACTTAAAGACAGACTATTAAGAGCTGCTCAGATATGATTCACTGGCTGACCAAACTGAACATACGTAACACAACTATGTTTTAAACCTGCTGTGATTGTTTCTCTTTTGTTATGACCAATTTTATGTCCCACCATAAAACATGAGATTCTGCCCTTAACTTGGACAAACAGCCAAGTGCTTCATAGGCTGAAAGCGGCTTGTGTGTGCAGAGATGAGTTCCCCTGATACTGTCTTTGGAGGGAGAATGTGCATATGGTTGTGTTGTTGTGTTGGTCTTTATGTGACAAGCACCGGCTCATTTGATTTGTGTGAGGCGGAGACAGTGGACCAAGGTGGCAGCCTTCACTGGTGTAAAAGTGTGTGTTTGTGTTCGGTGTATGTGTGTGTGCGTTTGTGGAGGTCTTTCAGAGTCACAGGAGTGTGACGGAGGTCCATCCCTCACCCTGCGTCTCTGTCTCCAGACGCTTGTACACACAGACAACCACGTTATCCGCTCTGCACACAAATCAAATGGAGCTGAGCGTACACACACAAACACACACACACACACGCACGCACACACACAGCGAGTGGCACGCCCCTGCCACCTCGACAAAAGCCCTGTGGTTTGCCCTGTTCGATCGAGCGAGACAAATCCCGCTTAGGACAAACCGGCGTGTCCACGGAAGAAAGCAAGAAGAAGGGGTGAAGAGGGAGAGAGGAACCGTCTTCCTCTCACCCGCTCTCCCCCTTTTCATCTCTCTCTTCTCCTCTCTTCCGTTTGGATGGACAGGCGACAAAGAAAAAGCAGGGATCAAACAGGAGAGAGGTGGAAAAGTCATTCAGAGACTGTGAGTGTGTTACAGAAAGTCAGTTTGTGTGTGTGTGTGTGTGTGTGTCTGTGTGTGTTAATACAAGGCTGTAGATCTGCCTCTCTCATACACTCAACTACAGCCCCAATGGGACCCTGAGCAGAAACACAACCTCTCCAGACCCTGACCTTTGACCCCTGATACACAGGCACAAAACCAGGCTCACTGTCTCTCACACAAATCAAATGAGACACACACACACACACACACACACACACACACACACACACACACACACACACACACACACACAGAAACAGAGTCTTGTGAACAGCTTGAACAAAGCTCCTCTAACTTAAAATAAACACACGCCGCTAATCCAGCGAGTTACCAGCACAGGCAAATGGACCTTTTACGTGCAAGGTGTATATATGTGTGTGAGTCAGTGTGTGTGTCAGTGTGTAAATTTGTGGGTCAGTTTGTGTACAGCCTAGTCAAAGGTCTCTTTTGTTTAACTCTTGAAAATAAAAGCATTTCCAAACGACTTAATTTGCACTGACGTCAAGATAAAGGCTCCAAATTGTGATTGTACGGCAACCAAACGGGGACAAAACTTTCTCTTTCAAACAACTTCAGCGACAACATCACATATAAAGTTTGTACAATTTACCGTAAAGCAATTAAAGAGGTCCAAAAATCTCAAAAACTCTATAACGCCCAATTGACTTCAATTATTTACCTATTCAACTGTCCACCTGTCTGTATTTTTCTGTTGTTTTTTTTACAGTTTCAGTTTTATTGATAAATGAGTAAACTTCCATTGCGCTGCTGCGTTTTATGTGTGTATGACCTCAGATGTAGGTCTTTGTGGGTGTCTGTGTGTGAGGGTTACAACACTGGAATGCACACTGACCTGGCGACCTAGCCAGACTCCAAGGGCGTTAGCAGTTATGCCATTTGGACCCTCCTAATAAATAACTTACACACACACGCACACACACTCGCAAATACTGCCAGTTTGGACAATCAGGGGCCACCTCAACCCACACACACACACACACACACACGCACACATACATGCCTTAACGACATGCTTTAAGGTCCAGAAGACTCTGCTCACACACACTTTTTCATAAAAAGACTGTAAACTTTTGTTTTATGCGATAAAAAAAAAGCTCCTACAAAATAAAAGCACGTGTTTTGCGTCTCATACCTGTCTCCCTGCTTCATTATTCTGCAGGTTCATCAGGGTTCGGGCGTGCTCAGCAGAGCCTCGTGGGTAGTTTTTCTCTCTCTCTCTGGCGTCTACAAACTCTCTGGCAAATCGGTAGCCGTAGTGCACATTGTCGCCGCAGCCTCCCCACAGCCAATCACGGGGCAGGTCACGAGGTCGAGCAGCCCGGCTACAGCCGCAGGTGGAGAGCTCGCCCTCGCGGCACGCCCGGCTGATTGCGTTGACCACGCCAGCTGCGCTTATGGAGTAGGTGAAGGCTGTTTCCCTGGACCCTGATGGAGAGAAGGTAGATTTAAGCATTTTAGATATAAATATATTTTTAATCAGGTGAAGTTTGAACAAGGTTGAGGAGTAACCCTGTCACTGTGTTTTTTATTCAGGGCTGAAGTAAATGTGTGTCTACTGACAGGAAACACAGCTAACTGCTCACCCCCACTATGAACACACACACGGCAAACAGCCCCACACCCACTTGACCTAACAATGGACAATAGATGTGATTTCAGGTCTGAACTCAGTACCTGGTTAAACTCAACAACTTTAAATACCAGCTCAGTCATCCATATTACACATGCAGCATTTAATGAGGTAAACATCACTTTCCTCAGTGAGTTAGCCTCAGGGTCAACCTGTCTCAATTCAGGTAGGTCAACTATTGGGTTTCAGGATGTCAGGATTAGAAAGGACAGTTTTCAGATCACTCTGGTTTAATGCTACCAAAATGTTGCCTTGAATATCCGTAAGATTTCTTCATATGTCCATGATTATCTCGGTCAGCATTATGTTTCACTGACTGCCGATAAAATCAATTTCATAAACAGTGCTCTACTTTGGCTCAGCTGCAGGTGTCTCTCTCCCTTTGGGTCTGTTTTCACTCACTGCTCTATCTTACTTAGTGTCCCAGTCACCAGTCTCATGAACCACTAATAACAGGTATTGGTATCAGCCCTGAAAAACAATATATCATTTAATTTCTACAGAAGACATCCTAATAAAGATTCACTATGGAAAAACGTAATTTCACTGTTAATCACACGTCCATCTTCCACCATACTACACTCTGGAATACACAACACAGACTACAGGTCCTTTCTCTGCATTAATACACAAACAGTTAAAAGGAAAGGAAGGACAAAGGTGATAAATAGCATGAAAGGTAGGAAGTTAAATGCTCTGAAACTAAATATTTACATGTGAACAGCAAAGAACCTTGTGGTATTTTAGGCTGAGACTCCAAACTCACCAATACAGACTTGATATTGAATAAAGATTCCTTTACCTAGATTTCCTAATCTCTAAAGACTGTAATTCTCAGCTTCACTGTCTTCTTTCTACAGAAAACACTTATTTAAAGTATTGACAATGCATATGGCCTTTTTAAACTCTTAACCCTTTAATGCCTTTTGTATCATATTTGATACATACTTTTATATACTTCTATCAAATCAACATGATCAACAAATAACTAAAACAATCACCTGAATACAGTCTGATAAATGATAAAAATGTACTCTTGTAGTTCAGCAGTTTCCAAAAACATCTAATGTATCAAACGAGATAAATAATTTTATTTGTTAAATTTTACAGACATTTTGATTTTTTTTGGTTTTCAGCAGTAAGTGAAATAAACATTTAGGCTCCAAAAAAAATTTTTGGGGAATTTTTGTGGTGTCAGGCATTAAAGGACTACTTCTCTGTCATAACAGCTGAACATCTTATGTGGACGGCCACCAATAAAGGGATGTTTTGACCACATTTAAGGCTAGTATGTTAAGTTACTGCATTTTCCTACTGCTTTTTCCTTTTAAGATTTTCAAAGGACAACATCTAAAAAGAAGAAGAAATAATAAGTAGAAATAAACTATATTGTTATTATAACGTTTGTAAGAGCACATTATTCTGTGATAATTCTTCTCTCTTCTTGTAATTTCACTGAAATAACTACACTGATTCCTGTGTGATTGTCGACAACAGTATCGCCCATAACAGCTTCTACTGCAGTTTACCGTGGAATAAACACCAGGCAGCCAGACAGACAGGCAGGTATGCATACAGAGCTCCTCTTTCAGGTTTTAGTAGCAGGCTCTCTGTCAGTCAGGATGCTCGTCCACATTATGCAGCAGCAGCATAAAGACACAGAGAGAAGAGCCCGAGTGCTTTATGAGACCTGCGGAGCCCAGACTTCAAATAGCGGGTCCGGATCTGCCGGCTCCGTGTCAGCTCATCAGTGCATTTCAAAAGAGGAGCCGCAGGACAATGGAGTCTCTAACACCTCGGTATAAACCTGCAGATAGGCCGACTGTCAATAGAGAGAGACAGGCAGCCAGAGAGGAGCTGCAAACACCTCGTCTGACTGCCTGCAGCGGATTTGACACTTACTTGTTGATGAGAGGTTTCCCACATCGCCTGCTGGGAATTACACGCACATGAAACTGATCCCGAATCTGAGTTTCTACTAATTATTCACCAAAAATACCACACAGAGATATCTTTAAACCCAATTGTCTGTATTTTGGGCATCTCCGAAGCTGCTTTGCTTTTGTGTCCTTTTTAAGTTATCTACGCCACTGCGCACGCGCGAAACAGGTACGCGAAAGGGGTTGGAAACAGTTTATAAGTCTACATTTACCTGTCTAAATGTGTGCTTGTTTCTTGAGTATTTTTAATTTATTATTATTCTTTCACTTACTGGAGTATTTTCTGTGGAAACTTTTTAATTTTAACTTGAGCAAAAAAATCGCTAAAAACTCAGAGCTATCCATCAAATTCATGACAGCAGCTGACTGCAAAATGTCTTCACTGCAAACACTCAAATCTTTTCAAGTGCATTTGTTAGTTGTCTAAATATCTCACTTATCACACAACACCAGGCCACATCAGCCCAATAGATTCTAATCTTATTTTCCTGATTCATTTATTAAAATCTTTCCTCATAATTGTTTCTTGTTTGTTCCTTGATAATGGTTCACAATAACAACCTTTGATGCCCAACCGGCCAAGACTCAAATTTGCATAACCATTCAGAACTTCACCCTGCACTGGAGAGGAATCGAAATCTCTTCAAGCTCAAGCATGGTTAAGTCTTTTTATTTATTTTTTTACTTTTAGTTCTACTTGAGTAGAATATTTAGACCTTTTTCCAAACACTGGAAATTTCCATAAACTGCCCAAGATGTTAGTCTCACATAGCAAAAAATGAGTCTTTTAACCATATTTAAGTTAAACACAATGCATGAAATACCTAATAATAATAAAAAATAAGTGTTTTCATGCCCAATAATTAAGGATAGTATAATCTACTCTAGGCTGACCATCTAAGTTTATTAACTTCTTGAACAATTTAATATATGTGGAAAAAAATAACTGCTGTACCTTTCAATAAATATAGGCCTAGTAATACATTTTTATCCCAGACCTTAGATGTTGCATTTATGGGCAACTGTGATATTCATGTAAAGCAAACGCCTAAAAAGTGTGAGTATTTCTTGTAGCAAATCGCTGTCTCACATGTAAAAGACCTAGGTTTATATGTATATGTGTGTGTGTTTGCGTGTGTGTGTCATGGCTTCGATATCCTATTGTAAGCTGTTTCACATCTTTGACCAAAACAGTCTGTTTCCGCCCCGACCCTCAGGCTGTATGACCTGTCTACTCTTGGACCACTAGTGTCTCTACCAACCCACCGTTCAACTCATATTCCTGTCTAAACAGTGATATGCGGCGCACTGTATTGTTGTTTCAGCCTGATAATATATGACTGTCTGGCTTCGAATGACCTCTTCTTCTGGTCAAACTTTTAACGCTGTGTTCTGCATAACCTGCCTGAAAACTGGCTGCATTAAAAATCACAAGAGTGAAACAGTGGATTGGTGAATTACTGCCAACATCTGGTAGAGACTGCAGTTTAGATTAGAAAGATTAATGTAAAAACATGAGTGATTATTCTGTTTGGTTTTCAGGGCGGGCATATTTATGTTGGCTAAAAAATTACCTGTCTTTGCTGCTGTTTTGAAACAGCCAATAGCAAATTACTGCTGTCATCACTGACACATGTATCTGATTTGAAACATGTGAATCAAAGTTAAGAGTAACATCTGGGCTGACCCTGATATGCCGTTAAAAACAAAAACAATTTACCAATCTGCATGACTCGTCCAAACACAGATGTGTTGTCCACAGTGCTGCAGTTCCACCTCCTTTGTCTGAACTGGTACTGGCACTCCTTAATGCCAGTTTTGGCTCCGTCTCCAATGTAGACCATGTGGTCCTGGTAGAGCTGGCACAGCTTCCTCTGGCCCTGCAGAGCACACAGTGGCACAGGGGGAGATTAGCATAGATTAGTATATTTCTGTTTTAATGCTTTAACATTCAATTTGTGGAAATTCCTCCTTTGTTGACCAATTCTTTAGAGTCAGGGGTGACATGTTGGAACTCCCGGAAGAGCATGCATGACATGTTTTACTGTTCGAGATGTCTCAAATGCAAACGTGTTGTAAAAGTGAGTTGATTTATCATTTTTATGGAAGTTACCTGAGAGAGTCCAGACAGCTGGCTGCAGAGAGGCTGAGCTCCAATGATGTACATCTCCGGCCGCTGGATCGGGGTCAGTGCTAGTGACCTGAGAGACAGACCCCATATTAAGTCTAAATTTAAAACCAATAAACTTTATCTATCTTTACAGCTCACTAAGAAATAGCAGAGAAAGAGTCCTCTGTGATCTATGACTCCCTCTCTTTCTGAGAGGAGGCCTGCACTGCAGAGGACAAAGTTCAGACACAAGTTTATTAGCACAAGTGGCCTATAAAGAGCAGATAAATGGACTCCTCTGGTGTTCATCACTGCAAACACACGCTTTGTATATCTTTTTCTGACATTTTTCCTTTCAGTCCCTTTAAATGAATCTCTGCTTGAACAGTTCAGAGTTACATTTGCTTAAAGAACATAATCGGTAGTCTATCCAAGTGTGGAGGACACGTGATGTGTCCTTTTCAAAGTCTGCAAGAGGATGATCAGTTCCGTGTGATTTAAGTAACACATGCATTGCAGTATATGCATTTATACATTCACTACTTCAGCATCAGTTTACGTTACATTTGAATTTAAATGTAACTAAAACTGAAAGGGAAATTACAAATGTTTCCGGTGTCAAGACCTGCACACACTCTTAAACACAAAGTTGAAGTGGGCAGCATTGTTGCATCTTGTAAGTCAAGAACAAGTTTGGCTAATTGAAGGGGCCCATCAGATCAGCAGCAGGCAGCCTTGCAGCACCATTTGGAGCTGCCAGGGTAAATATTGTGACAGACCCCTCACATTTGTTGCACTCACTGTTTGGGCTTCAGACTGGAACATCACCCCCAAAACACACACTCTCACAGCACTTAAGTGAACTAGAAGTCTGTAGTTCACATTTTTTCCATGTGTCACTTGTTATCAATGGCATGAGGCAACAGGTAGAAGGAATCTGATTACAAAGTAGCTCTGAAAGAAATTTTAAGGCTGCTCTCACAAACCCAGATGCTTTAATTTAAAAGCTATTCCATAAAACTTCTGCCCATATTTCAACAGCTGCTGCCATTAGTTTTACTCCATCCACACTGTAAAAATCAGTGCACCACCAGGAATCATTCATTTACTCACCACCATGAGTTGGCGTCCACCACCAGCAGTTGGGAGCTGCAGGCGAGGAAAGCGGCTGCCAGCAGCAGATGTCGCAGAGCACCGGTTCTTCTTCTCCGGACAGGCCTGGTGTCCATGATCCGCCGCGTCACCACCACACAGAGGGAGCAAAGAGAGCTAAAGCAAGTGCTCTGCTGTGGAGACATTGGGCACAAAATCAGGAGGCGTCCTGCTCGGTCCTGTTGCTCTTTGGATTTGGACGCAGAACCCCACAGTAAAGACAGGCTCGAGTCCTGCACACGTGTTCTGTGTGTTTATGCGCCACACTGTTTACTTGGAGTCCACTTGTCTTTCGCTCTCTTCTGTCCTGTCTGCAATACTTTAGGCTTAAATACTAAAAACAGAAGAATGCATTTGTAAAAAAAAGTCACGAAAAGGGGCAGCTTTAAACCCCCTTCGTAGTTTCACTGTGAATGAGAGTGCGTAAATCACAGCGACATCTTTGCCAAAAAGTTTAGAAGCGTCCTGATGTCAATGTGAGTCCAGTTTACTCATCAAAACTCCGTGCGTAAAATGATCTGGTTTGGTTTTACGCAGGGTGCAAGATGGATTGTCTTTCACCCACTTCTCCCCAAAACAAACAAAAAAGAAATAAACATCAAAAAGCTACGGTGTGATGTTAAGTGTGATCCTGATGGCGTTTTAGAGGAAGATTGACAAGGAGATTAAAGCGCTAATAAGAGCAGCAAGGCGACTGTTCCTTCCCTTTCTGTCCCCTGACTACCACTCCTCATCTCTGTACACTCCTCCCCTTCTCACCCCATTCCACCACAGAACCCCCCCCCCGCCTCCCATCCCATTAGCCACCCCTCTTTGCCTATACATTACGCGCGCATGTGCGTGGCATGGGGTCCACCAAAAGAGCCCAATGCTGGGGCAAGACTGGAAACACCTGTGATGTTGCATTCAAAACCATTGGACACGACAGAAGTAGCGCGATCAAGTCTTATCCAGTATGTGGTGATAAAAGACCCTTTAACTCAATTAATCACCGAAAGCCTTCTTCGTCATTATTACCTGATGAGTAATGCGTAAAAATGTGTGCATTGTATATTTATATTCGTTAATTGAGTTTCCACAAACTGGTTCAAAACAGTTCATAAATAACCAACCAGAAAGTGTTTGCGCAAGAAAAAGTAACAGGGGGTTCAAGAGATTTACGCGCGTCAAATTCCTTTTATTTGCTCAAGTGAATAATTTGTTTGACCAAAAGGTGAATGCCCCCAAATCGTCTAATCCTTTCGTCTTTGGTCGGCGAAAATAAAAAAGCAACACACCACCCCTCCCATATGAAAGCACCAAACACACACGCACCATCACTGGAGTAAAGAAAGGGCGTGTTGAAGCCAGTTCTCCATTCATAACACAGTCAAAGACGCAGTGGAAAATAATCGTTCCTAAGGAAAATCTGCCTCTCTTGGAGTGCGTTCAAAGCCGAATGTGGATGAGGGGGGAATAGACAGGGGTCTCCTGAAAAAACTGACCTCTAACATGTTGAAAACATCATGAAAAAAATGCTGTGGTAGTTTTACTTCTTTTAAAGCTTGCATTAGATACAATTCGTGGACAAAATGTCATTGAGAGAGACCTCAAGATCACTCATAATCAAGGAGATGGTCATCGTTTTGTTTGCCATCGAATTTACAGGCTTCAAATGCCTGTTTATTACAAACAATACAGCTCTTACAGGGCACGATATTCCATATTTTTCGTGCGTAAAATCCAGTCATCGTAAACTTAAACAACAGATAGAGGTGTGTTTTCAGCACGAGAGGGAGGGAGATCCACTTTACAGGACGGAGTACACAGGTAAGTCGTACGCTTAAACCAAAACTTGTTCCTCGTGGTCTCGCGTGGTCACGCTAAATGCCAGAATTTGTTCACTCAACTGCGTATATATGTATTTTTCACGTTATCAACATTTCCTTCAAACTCATCTTCACAGGATTTCCGTGGGTGTTTCTCGGCGCGGAAAGTCGGATGTCCCTCGTCTCTGCATGATAATAGACCCGCAGCAATGTTAAGCAGAGGGGGGGCGCACACCTTTCATCTCCCGGGGGCCCTAAACTTCCCCATACTTGAGCGCGCACAAACACACGCGCGCATTCAGGAGTCTGTGAAGTGATCTCACCGGCTGCCTTCAATATACATGTGATTGATATTCTGCAGAGGGCGGGTGTTAGGTCAAAGTCAGGTAGAGCGAGTGAATCAACAGTGAAACAATGAGCAGCATATTGGGAAACAGAGATGTCATTAGAATATAAAACAGCGCTACGACTGGTCCAACCGACTACCCTGTAACCCTGTGACTCGAGAGATCAGTGTACTTTCACCATAGACAGGTTTTCTAGATGTTTTTCGACTAAATATTCAAGGAGGAGGCGTTTAACTGGGGGCCCTTTATTAGTTGCTGAGGTTACTGAGGCAATAGCGCCCTCATCTGTAGACTCAGACATTTCCCTTAACAAATAGACTTTTAAAAGAACATATTTTAATGATAAAATCACCAAAGATCAGAACCCCTCTTCTTTCACCACTGAAAATGACAAAATTCTGTGTCTGTGAGAGTATCAGATGAGTTACAGGCTCCAGACACTTTCCCTCAGATGGTTGCTCATCTCTCAGAGGTAAAATCATTCCTCCAAAAAATTCAAAGTGGAAGAGTGTCCAATAAGTGTGTCATAATTCAGGTGGTAAAAAAGTTTTTTTTTCTTCTTTTCCTCCACTCTTCTCTCAAAATATTTGAAGTGGCCCAACCACAGTGTTTGAAACTGGAGGAACAATCTCCCGAACTGCGTTAAAAAGTTATAGTAGCTCCACCTGGACCAGCTGTACAAAGTTAAGTGCTACAAAAGCACTGCTGTGATGGTTTAAAATTTAAAATGTTATATAAAAATGATTAAGGTCATAAATTTATGAGAATAAAGTTGTAGTTTTATGAGAAAGAAGTTGTAATCACAGGCAGGGGTTATTCTGTAATCACAAGGGTAAATTGTGAAGCATCCATCAGGTGTTGCTATAGAGATCTGTGCGATGGGCTTCTACATTAACCTGTCCACTTCAGTTTCAAACCCGAATCCTGGTACTTAGGATAATGTGGTGCTGAAGAGCCTTACAGATAGAGTATTCAGTTAATTCAGTTATCTATAAACCTGTACGAAAGTTTAACTTCACATTTTAGCAGAGGGAGCTGGCTGCTGTTCTGATCTTAGCCTTCAAAATAACATTCAGGGCAATCAGCCAAAGGGTTATGATGTCTTGTTTAATTATTAATATTATGACTATTTCTGTAATTGTACAACCTTCTCTTCTGAATCACACTTTAATATCTAAAATGTCATGAACCTGATACTCTGTTATATTGTTGGGGCCTTGGGTAGCCAGTCCCACAGGCCTCCCCACTACACCACCCATACCCTAAAAGTCAAAGGTGTTAGAAATGAAACCTAATTCTTTTGTGGCTGTTGATACAATCCGAATTCTATAGGAGTTGGGAAGTTGTGTAAAATGGGCATAAAAACAGGTTTTGATGGTTTGATTATATTCCAAACTCTATATTTGATCAGCAGCCATGCAAAGACGACTTATTAAATATCCTTGCACCTTTAAAAGGTGACAGGTCTGGACTGCAGATGGAAAGCCATGTTGTTGTACTGCATGCAAAATGTAGTTTGGCATCCTCTGGCTGTATTATGAAAGGTCACCCCCTGGAAAAGTCACAGTCTGGATGGCAGTATATTTTGCAACAAAACCTGATTAGATTGTACAGCATGAATTGTGCCTTTCCAGATGTGAAAGCTACCATGGGCTCTCATGCATCCCCACATCACCAAGGATGCAGCATCCATGTTGTCCAAGAAGAATGTTAAATTTGATTTGTCAGACCACAGGGCTGTTCACTACATCTCAGTCCACCTTAAATGAAGTCGGGTCTAGAGAAGTCACCAGTCTCTCTGGATCATGTTAATATACGGTTGCCTCCTTGCGTGGTACAATTTGCAGTGACAAACTGTTCACGGACAAAAGTCAATGTGGTGATTTCCACTACAGAGTCATGCCTGTTTTGGTAATGCACTGCCACCTGAGGGTCTTATGAGCATGGTCATCTAGTATTGACCCTTTGCTGTACAGTTTTATCCAGATTCTCTGAAACTTTGAATGTTATTAAGCGCTGTAGATGATAAAATCTTCAAAGTCTTTGCGATTTCACTCTGAGGAACATTATTCTGAAATTGCTTTCTCACCCTGTCTCTCGCAGAATGGTGGACATCTTCACATTTGCCTCTCTAAAATGCCTTTTAAACCCCATCATGTTCCTCACCTGTTGCAAATGAGTAAAATTAGCAGAGAGATGTTTCACTGTTGTTTCTCTTTGCATTACTAAACTTTTTTTTAGTGTTGAGTTGCACCTGATTCAACAGTTTTGAAACTATTCCTGTAATCAAATTTCAAAATAAACATTTATTTTCAATGAAACAATCAAGGGTATTCATTGTCTTTGCAATATTTCCAGTGAAATAAAAGCTTGACATGATTTGTAAACCATCAAACCATTACACAGTGTCCTGACTCCCTCAGTATTGGGGTTGCAAATTTTCAGAGGATTTACATTTAGTGTGAACATCCAAGAGCTGAAATTGAAATAGATAAGTGTCCCTGCTCAAGGTTACAGCTAAATACAGCATACTGATTGCCATAACAGAAACAGGCCTGTAGTTTATTATTGGGACATGGTTTGTAGATAGACTGGGCTGCTCCGTGGAAGCTTGTATTGAGCCTGTTTAAACACAAGGAGGAGCAGTTCAGCCATATGACGCATCGTAGGCACAAAAAGGGGCAAACTGAGCCAGAGTGGGAAACAGGGAGGGTGGGGTGAGGGCACAGAGACAAAACTTTAAGCAAGTGAGATGAAGCAAAGAAAGGAGGTGGGAGGGAAAACAGAGAGAGAGAGTGAAAGAGAGAGGGAGTGTCCAAGTAATGGATACACAGAGAGAGCGAGCGAGGGAGCGAGAGAGGACTTGTCCCCAGAGGATATGAGCAATAGCCGTGCAACAGGGAGCAATGCCTGAGAAAGTCAGCAGCTCCTCTCTGGATTATCAGCAGCCTCCCTCACTTCTTTTTTTTTTATAGCCCACGGTGCCAGAGTACAGCCGGCGAATGCAGCCAGCTCTCTCCTGCAGGGAAAGTAGCAGCTGCGGACGGCTGATCAGGCTTGAGCTGATCCCCTGGAAGGTGCTCTGGCCAAAAATGCTAAATAACAGTTTTTAACAAATGACAGTCACTTCAAAATGAATCAGCCTGAAGTTTAAAAAAGGGAGAAGTATGAGTGGATGTGTGGCAAATGAGATACCTGAGGAAAACAGTTTCTTTGTGAACTTGAGGTAATATTCAAATTATTGCCCAGATTTTCAAATCTTAAGGTGGAGCTTGGCTTTATCAGGCAGGCAACATTCACCCCTTCAAAACCCCCTTTTTAGGGCAGATTCTAAAAGATTTATGCAAATAGTATTCAAGTTCATGGGTGTGTTTTTTTTAAAGAATGTATCACTATCATAGAGTGTCTTTCATTCAGTTGATATGTGCTGCACCTAAAGTGTTTAAATGTAGTTCATACAGACTTTTAGACACCAAAGTTCTACTCTAAGATTTTGACTTCAGTAAAAGTATGTGACTGTGCAAATGACTTTCCAGATGCAAGAGTCCAAAATATTTTTAAACACCATCTATGTGATTGTGCGATGATTATACTGCAATGCTGTGATAAATACTTGATTCTGATAGGTTGATTACAGCATTCCGAGGGCTGTTATTTCTATATAGCAGACTGCTCCTGTGAACTTTTTTCGCATCAGCCTAAAGAGAGATGTTAGCCTACCTTGACACATATGCCACATATAAACACTGATGAGAAAACTGTTGGACAAATTGGGACCTTTTCTTACCCAGTTGGAAACTTTTCTGGCAGAACCACCCTCTCACTATACACCATACCTCACATATGTGATTTTTGTATTGCTATTGTTGATGTTTACAGCCTGAATAACATTTCTGTGTCAACTCTATGCTGTATTACCTAAACCATGACACACTATATATCGTTGCATTTCTATAAAGTTCAAAAGCAAACAACACCATCATTGACAAAACTGACCCCTTCTTTAATGTAATTTTTAATGCTTGCAACTGAAATGAGGGGGTAGGTACACTGAGGAAACAAACTGGAAACAATATAAGGGTTACTGCTTTGTCTACAGGGGGCGCCAAAGTCAACACAGACCAAAAGGTCCTCACAGGAGCTTTAAAGTAGAGCAAAGATTTTTCAGCCATTTTTTGTATGTAAGGCTTGAATCAAGGTGTGTGTAGATACTTCTACAGTCACAACTACAACTTCAGTTCAGTCTGCAATCACGTTAATAATAGTATGCCTTACTTAATTCAAACAAAGAAAAACATTTTAATAACTACTTTATCAAGTGTTTTTCTTCTTGGATTAGTCTTTAAATTAATTGTTTGGTTTGCCCACTCTTACTGTTGTGTCATACTTTTATGTGACAGCAATTAGTACATTTTCCTATCAGCTCTGTCTCATCTTATACGATTGCTTTTGGTTATGAAAATGTAAAGAAAAACAGTCAGAACTGAGCAGACGAGGGAATATGTGCCAACGCTTTGCCGACACATGGACACATTTGTAAGAACTAAAGAACTCAAAAGTAGAAATGCAGCGACAGAAAGCCCGTGGGATAAAGAAACTACCTGCTCCACTTACTGTAGACATACTTGTGTTTGCTCTGAGCTCCACTCATATCTATGACGCAGTTACACACACACACACACACACACACACACACGCACGCACATGTGCAGCATCTAACTGCCAAATGCAGCTGGTATCGTGCAGCACACACACACACACACTTACGCACTCCCCAAGGAAATATGCAGAGGGACTTGGACCCAGCTGAGAGGGGCTTTGGTGAGACCTTATCTATTTCTTATCCTGTCCTCTTCTTTGGTTCCTTTCCTCCTCCTTTCCTCCTAACCCCCTTTCTCTTCCATGTCTCTCTTCTCCCCCTGACTCGGTCCGTCTCCTCCCCTCTTCCCTCCATCCATCCTTCTGTCAGCTGGCAGAAGATGAGTCATGCCTCTCGCTGCGAGGCTCAACGCCCCCACCCCCCCCTCTAAATATATCTCCTCTATACTCTTCCTCCCCACTTTTTCTACGTCTCCATCTCCCTCCTCCTCCTCGCCTCCCCCCTCCTCCTCTTCACACACTTCCCTCCGCTCCGTACCGCCATCTGTTTCTCCACATCTCTCTGCTTTGTTCTGTTGCTCTACCTTCTTCTCTCGATTCCATTTTTCTCTGAAAAAGTAGGAATAATCAGGCGTTTATGTTTCTGTCTTTCTCTCCTTCTCACTTTCTCTCTCCCCGACAGTGCACACAGCTGTTCTCACTCTCCCTCATCTCGTAACTGTGGTGATGTGAACACACAATCCTATTTATTCACCTTATGTTACACACATGCAGCCCATTATATCACCTCTATAGGCTCGTATTTGTCCTGGTAAGTCTGGTGTCCTCTTGCAATACAGTGTCTCATCACAAAAGCAACTTTGATTGGAATAAAGAGGCACAATATAGTGCACAATTTGGTAAAACTGTAGCTATATTATCTATATTCATGCCACTTAAAAATGCAAGAGCAAAACTACATTTGACCCAAACTTTAGGGAGCAGCGTGCTTCATTTATCAGCTTTTAATGTTGTTCCTCTGATAGCTTTTTCGCAGCTTTACATGGTTTACAGCTCAAAAAGTTCTTCGCTTATCTCCGACTGCTGTCTTTGAAAACCCTCAGTTCAATTACTCTCTTTAAATAGTAAATTGGTAAATGTTTTTAAAAGGTTTTCAAAAAGCATTTTATTGCCTCTTTAAATTAAATTTTAGACAGGAAATTAAGCTTCAGAAAAGGCATTACCAAAGGATTCTGGTTTAGATCATACCCCACAAAGGAGGGTTCAACAGTTCTTGAACTGAGTGGCCAGGGTTCAAATTTGCCCCCTGCCACATGTCCCATTCTCTCACTCTCTATTTCCAGTTCCCTGCTCTATCTACTGAATAAAGGTATGAAATGACACCAGTAACAACCTGATCATACATGTTTTATCAAATATTTTCACAGAAATAAGTATGGTACGTTTTGACCATGCCTATGGAGCAAATGACAATATCGGGGTGTTTTACTCAAAGGGAGCTTACCAGGACAATTTCTCTTCGTGTTTAGGGATACATTTGGACTTTAAACCAATAAACTGGTTCAGACTGGCCTGGTTTGGCATGTCAGCTAAAAATATTCAAGCTCTGGCTGGCCTAGCTTGGCAACAGACTGATATCCTCAGAAGGGCCAAATCCCTGAACAGGGAGCCCAGACGAGAGCCACCAAGGCTGGGCAAGATCCCTGTGCCACCCCCTGGTGCCCTTGAGCCCCACTGGTCAAAATACACCGGTCTCTTGATCCCTTCCTGGGAGAAATTAACTCTCTCTCTCACACACACACACACACTCAAACACACACATTTTAACTTATTCGTGAGCACATACACAGGCAAATAAAAAACACTTTTTTTGCTCTCTGCCTCACGCAATTTTAGATTATGCTCACATGTACACATGCTCTCAGTAAGAAGATAAATGTCACGACATATCTCTCCAACCCCAGGGACCAAAAAAGCATTTCAATAACACACACGCACACATGTAACACTGAACTCATGAGGCAAACTGATACAAGAAGGGAACCTGCACTTACAGACTTTTACTTCAGCGTGTGTATAAATATTTTATTACAAAAAACATCTGTACAAGGCTCTCCATGACTCACTCAGCTAGTTTTACAGATCATGTTATAAACTCAGAACATTCTTAAGGATAACTTATTCACAGGTTCATCTTGATCCTATCCTCGACTTGTTACACACAACGTACAAACACACATGGGTTTGAACATGCTGTCGTCACACTTAATTTGAAAAATGTTATGTGCTTTCTTGGATTACTTTTTTTTTCGTGGTTTACTCTGACAAACAACTTTAATGTGGGCAGAAAGTTTGTGCCAAAGCATCGACTTGAGCTTCACTGGCACGCAGTGAAACTCAAAGGGTCAAAAATACATTTAAGTTTCCTCAGACTTGGAGCAGTGAAGTAGTTCAGGACTCGGGGTCCATCGTGACTTGATCTGGACCTTGAGCAATGATTGTGTTCAGGCTTGGAAAATGGTGAGTGTGGGCCTGGACTTTTCTATGAAGACTGTTTCAGCATTTTTGTTAGATTTTCAAGTAATGTATTCGATATATAGCTAATGCTAGCCTGTGGGTTCACCTGCATACACATTCATGTGCTCTCCTGCCACAGTGTTTCACAATAAATCACGAATCCACCCCTGACACCTGCATCTTTTCACTCTTGGCAGCGCTGTGACCTCCTCTTCTTACAGTTTCCTTCTTTCTGTGTCTGATATTTTAGAAAAACTCATTAAAGGGACCCCAGATAACACAAGTTACTAATTACATCAACCTAAAAAGTGGCTCAACCAATGATGTTTGGTCAAGTCAAAATTCTCACTAATGTAACCTCAACATAGATTCTTCTTTGGCGACTTGGACTTGGTTTGGACTTGAGAATCGACCAGGGGCTCGGTGACTCAGTTCTGACACTGATTCAGATGTGCAGCTTGTGAAAAACGCCAACTCATTGACCGTACATTGTTTAACTGATGAGTCATGTTTGCTCACTTCCCTGTTTTATCAATTTCAGCTGATTCTGTCAATATTTCTTTTCTTTTTTTTTCCAAAGGATTATCTGTGATTCATACCTGCCTCAGCTATTTACACAGATTCATCTTAAGTCTTTACTACAGTCTGGTCTTTATAGAGAAACCTTGTAGGACTTGATTGTCTTTGGTAAAACTATTGAAAATATAACAAATGATTACAAGACACAGAACTATACTATATCAATAAGTGCAGGACAGCTGAGGAGAAAATGAACTGCTCCAGCTGAAGTTGCTCCAAAGTCGGGTGAATTTCCATAAAGTCAGTTGATCTTTGTTGAAGCTCAAAATGACCCGTGTGAATTTTTGTTATGAAAATTATGACACAAAGTATTTGTCATTAACCTTTTTCCATGACAAAGACGAGACAATGAAAAGCTAAAATATATCTCTAATGACAAAAATATAAGATTAATAGGTTGTGTTTTTAGACTGGAAGTGATACTGAGGCCTCTTGAGGACCTTTAAAGGTAAACAAGACCATCAACAAGAGGACTAAAAATGACACTTTAGTGATTTCAAAGACTTAAAAGCGCTATGGAGGGGTAGGAGCAATGAACAAAAAAAACTGCTCTGACTTTTCCTGCTGTAAATACTGTCACTGATATAATTCACTCTTACAAGACAACAGAATAAGTTTTTTTTTCCCCTGAAAACACTACTTTCACATGAATAAAAAAAGAGATAAGAGGTATCACTTTGTCCACAGGGGGAGCCAGTATCAACACAAACTGAAAGTTCCTTAAAGCAACTTCAAACAAAACTAACAAAATGATGAGTTTTTAAATTTCACTTAAGTTATGATCTTTTTGAGTTTCAGTTTTTTACTTTTAAATATATCTTTATTTGTACTGCATCAGATCTGGTATAACTCGTAGGGAATTTCAGCACTTTTCAGTGATTTAAATGCCTTTTCTTGAGTAAATCATCAGTTTGGAGCAGAAGACACTGAAATGATGAAGGACAAATTCAATCATCCTTTGAGAACTTCATGTTCTCTGTCAAAATAAGAACTCTCTCTGCCACATTTTAAGTGGATTTAAGGGATTCTGACGTGTGTGGAAAACCTCCATATACTGCACTTTTCAGACTTGAAATGAGCTGTTTACCACCTTCATGCTGTCTTGCACAAACACAAAACAACAGAAAGTTAAAACCAGCCAGATAACACACACACATACATACACCTTTACACACACGTACACACACACACACACACACACACACACACGAACACACACAATACGCAGCCTATTCATGCCAACAGATGACAGAGCGCATTGAGAAAATGCCAAAATGCTGACTACTGAGGGAGAGAGAGCACGCGGCTGAAAAATCTCCCATGTCAGACTGCAGAGCTGGCAGAAAAGAGGAGCATTGTTGAGGACACAAACACACACACACACACACACACACACACACACACACACACACACACACACACACACACACACACACACACACACACACACACACACACACACCTAGGCAGCCTGTGTGGTTCAAAAACTGGAGCAAGGCAGCAGTGCAAAACACACACATATGTACCCACACACACACACAAAGACAGACAGACAGACAGACAGACCCGGGCTGCGAGGCATTACAGCGATACTGGAGTACAGACAAGCTGACAGAGAGAGAGAGGGAGAGGAAGTGAATGGAAGGAAGGAAGCGATAACAGAAAATCTGAGGTAGGGATAGACACGGGAAAAAGAGAGTGATGTAGAGAAATGGAGGCTGCACATCTCCTGGCTGTGACCTCCTGTTATCTCTGCCGTACACATGTGCTCCAATCCCTCTTCTTTCCTTTCTGTCATCTTCAATCTTTTCTCTCCTCTTCCCTCCATCACACTGTCTTTCCTTTCTCATTATGCACACTTATTCCTCACAGTTTGTCGTCAATGTTATATTGTTGTCCTGGCTGAGACCTCAAGTTTGTGCAAAATTCAGCAGCCACATTGGGATACAAAGAAATCTAAAAAGATTGAATTTGATTTATTGATTAAGTTTGTCCATCTGTCCCTACAGAGTGTTGTCTGTTGACTGTTTTGCTTCTTATTTATCTGTATCCAGTGCAGGCATATTCCAGGTGTTAGTACTTATCCAAGACAGGGTTAGAACTTACCGGAACATAATGTTAAAGGTGTTCAACCACAGTCGACAAAATGTGATAGTAAGGGGCTAACAGGATGTAAATCAGATGCTGAAAACTGTCGCTTTTACAGCTCTGAATTGTTTGTATGACAGAAAATGTTTGTCTTTTTATGTTATTTCTTCCTCTGTTGAGGGTTTCTTTACTACATGACTTCCTAACAATGCATTCTTGCTACCCAACTTCTGGCTCTGAGGCCGAGCATGCAAACACTGGATCATGTTCAAAAGTCTGATCAAGTTGTACATGAATGACCGATCCTCAACAGCATTATCCGGGTATGTTAGGCCGACTGCAAGAAGTTCAATTTAGTGTGACTTCAGTCAGACAAATGTGTTTACATGTCATTTAGAAGTCCAACTATATTCAGACTAAAAGAATAAATCCATTTTTTAACAACATGTCAAAGTATTGACTGGAGCTCTTTGTCATAATGTAAGCAGACGGTATGCAGCACTGAAAAGTCATACATGCCCAAAATTTCCCCCAAACTTCTCTGTTTTCAATGTGTGTCGTGTTTGTGAATACTAGCTGTAGAATTTTTTCACCCTGAATTTAGGTAGAATTTTTTCTGCCAATCCTATAGGAAAATTTGAGAAGCCGGCTCAAACAGATGTGAGAATACAGCAGGAAATATTGAGGGAAATTCACTGCAGAAGAGCAGGCAGGGCTGATGACTTCTACAGATATCATGCAACTGGTGCGAACTTGGCCGAGATGTCTGTACAAATGACTCTTGCGCATGGAATTGATAAACTGCACATGCAATAAGTGTCTTCTTTCTTTCTTGCTCCATCTTGTTGCAAACATCACCCCTGGCTGTAGCAGCATGCTTGCAATGTCATTCCCTGCCTTATAAACGTCCATTATGCCATATTTTATTGGTTTAACTGTCAAATCAGCCCGGACTGAAGAGGATGAACAGGTCACTCATGACCTCATGTCACCTCCTCCGGAATATGCTCCAGCGAAGCAGGCCTGACCAAACTGATGGCTTCTTGTTATTTCTACACACAGGCACACACACAAGTACCATGTTTCAGTGCTGTACAGGTGAAGCCCGGTGAAGCAAGGAAACACCTGAAGGAACATAAAAGATTCATCACTCCTGGTGTACAGTGAGAGGGCCTGCACACATGCACAACATACACACACCATACACACAAAGGATCAGTGTATCTCAGGGCATCATTACAGACTGCTTTCCCTCTTATATTAGTGTTAGTGTGTGTGTAAGAGTGTGAGTTTGTGTGTGTGTGTGTGAAAGAGAGAGAGAATCTACAGAGTCATGGTAATATCCATTCAGGAAGGTGTCGTCTTTCATGTGTTGACACACGCCCACGTAACCTTGGCAACCGGCGATTGCTGTGGGTGCAGATGAAGCATGTTGTGGAGGCGAGCAATTATCCAGTAAGAGCCCTCCCCTGAATCATCAAATAAAGACACTCAAACACACACGCACGCACGGGCAGAGACTTGCACATGTGCACATGGGGAGGTAACATGACGGGTAGGATCTTGGTGAAATTTCTAGAACACTTCATTTCTCTCCACTGATCTGTTCTTTTTTTTATTTTCTCCCCCTTCTTTTATTTCCTCTTTTTTCCTCCTTCTTCCTCTCCTTTCCCATATCAGTCCCTCTCTTTTTCCTCTTGCACAGCGTGAATCCTTGCTAGGGCCCAGCGGGTCTTCAACAAGAGGTATGACACACCACGCAAACACACGGACGGACACACACACTATACACAGCTGTGATGTGAGGCAGACAGAGAGAGACAGAAAAACAGAAAAAAAAGCATGCTGAGCAAGTCGGCTCGCACACGCAGGCAGGTCATGCAGTGAGGAGCTCAGCTACTGCTCCTCCCATCTCTCTATATTCATTTCTCTGTCTCCACTTTGTCATTCTATTATTCTCTGAGATTGTGTAACTGTAGAGACAGTGCAGCCGCTAAACAAGGACAAGAGAAATGCACTCAAGCTATTAAAAGTTTGTTAATAACCTCCCACACAGCACAGTGGTCTGGCCTTTATGACAGGTTTTATTTCCTATTTCTCTCCTAATCAACTAATATGAATATGTACAGAAACCTGCTGATAGGCCTCACAGTTTGATTAATAGGAAATCTGTGTGATACAAATAACAAATAGATAGATTTGTCTGCATGTTAACTAATAAAGAGATGAGATGCAAACAAAAGATTCTGTCTTTAATGTTTGTGAATCTGAATAAAATGGTTTGTATCCGTAAACACTCAGTTTTCTCTTTGTGTGCCAACAGTTCATGTGTTAAAGGGAAAGAAAGGCGGATATAGATGTATTGCTAGGCTGTATACGTCAGTTTACTTTGTTGGTATGTGCTGCTTTGTTTACTACTATAGTTACTGCTGTGGTTTGTATGGAATTAAACAGTAATGTAATCATGTTCTTTTGGATAAAATTGCATCAATTATCATATTATACTGTATCATATTACATCATACTGGGCCATATTGTACAGTATCATATCATATCATATTGTTTTGTAACTCATTATATCATACTGTATTATATCTTACAATATTGTATTGTTTTGTGTCATGTCATATTTTATCGTATCATATTGTATTGTATTGTATCATCTTGTAGCATAATATATTGTATCACATTATATCATATCATGATAAATTATTAATATTTTCATCATAACCTTTATGTATTATTGAGAGACGTTGAGGTTACCCTCATTTTCAATGTCATTGAGTTTACAAGCCATTTAAGTATTGACAGCGGTTACAGTCATTTGGAAGTGATTACATGACAGTATACATTTAAAAAGTAACAAGAAAGACAGTCATCCAAAACACGTTTTAAAATTAGAAACAAAGCTATCCATGACCAAGGTCCTAAACTTTGTGAGTGAAGGGAATCAGTCCAATCTCAGGATGTGCTGTAACGCGCTCCAAGAGTTAGAGGCATCATAACAAAAAGCAGTCTCACGGATCCTCATGTAGACATATCGAGGAACTTTGAGTAGCAGTAATTCAGCTGAACAGGTCATGTAAGTGCCTAAATTCCATTTTCACATACTTGCTATATACTGTGATAATTTGCCTAAAAGAGCATTAAAATGTATAAAAGCCAGTGCGCCTCTTGTGCTTTTCCTCGAGAAAGGGCCAACCAACTTTTCTAAACAAAAGACAGTGGTGAGTATCATATTTATCACTGGTGATAAATCTTAGAGTTGAATAATAGACTAAATTTAGACGTTTCAGAGTTGAGGCAGCAGCATGTCTATAGATGATATCACCATAATCCATGACAGACATAAACACTCCTTCAATTATTACTCTTCTTAAGAGCACTGGAAAACAAGATCTGTTTCTGTACAGAAAGCCAATCATTTGTCTCAACTCTAAGATAAATTCATTCATATGATATTTGAATAAGAAATCCTCATCCAGCCAGATAATAAGACATTTGTACTTTGTGACTCTCTCGATTTCTGAGCCAGTTTTGGTGTAAAGATGCACACTATTGTGATCAAAATTTTTTGCTCGGGTACACAACATATATTTTGTCTTATTTGCATTAAGCAGTAGATTATGTTTGATAAATGATTCCTGAGATATATTGTATCACATTATATCAATATGTTATGATGTGCCATATCATATAATTTTGTATGGTATCACATTGTATTGCATTGCGTTGCACTCCAATCCATTAAATTGAATCATATTGCATTTAACTGTATCACAAGGTGGACAGTTATATGGTATTATATTGTGCTGTATTTTATTGTATGTTATTGTACAGTTTGGTAAGGCATGGTATCATATTATATCAAATAGGTATGGTATGGAAAGGCATTGTACTGTACTGTGTGATAAGGTAGGGTGTGGTATTGTGTCAAGCTGTATCATGTCACATCATATTGTAACATGTGGTATAGTATCAAATCCTGTTCTATTGAATCAAATCTTACTTTCTTGTCATACCATACTGCATTATATAATAGTTGTCAGGATCTGGTATCATATAATATAGTTATGAACTGAATTTAAATCATGGTATGGTATTGTATGGTTTGGTATAAAATGACATGGGATGGTTTGTCTTTGTATTTTCCTTAATATTATAACTGAAAAGTTGATGATTTCAGGGTCTTTATAGGATACTTAACAACATTTACCATCACAGACCTTGTCAGCCTGTCTGTGAATAAACTGACACAGCCACAGACACTATTTAGCCACATTTAGCTGAGAGCCAGTGTTAATCACCTCGTCTGTTTTTAACTCAAGGTGTTTGCACAATCATTATAAAGCTTGGTATTCATGTCAGGATCTCTATTTTGAAAATGCATGACACACTCTGCAGTCCGGGTAGCAAGGACACAGGCTCTGACAGCCACAGGGGACAGTGCAGCTAAGTGCTTTGTTTTTGTCCTTGATGAATTTACAGGATATAAGTTAAGAAGCAGTCGGACATTAAAAATAGCCAAAATCCAATTCTGGATGCTTTACATTAATGGATTCAGTGTCATGGCAGATTTGGTGAGTTTTAAACACCAAAGCTACTAAGTTTCCTACACAAAATCAATACTGCCTTATACAGTGATCTCTATAACTTCCCTGTAACCATTCTTTGGGAGTTGTGTGCATTAAAATTTGGCATCTCTTTAATTGTCATATATTACTTAAAAGCTCATACTTAGAGCACACTGATAGCTCACCTATTAAAGTTCACGTTTATGAACAGAGGCTGTCATTTGCTGCGTGTCACCCTTTCTTTCCCTTTCCTACATCTGCTGCTGCATCCTGATGCTGGCTTTAACGCAGTTTTGTTATGTTGTCTTATCAGGTGAAATTGGTCTCGCAGCCAATGTACATAATTGGGTCTCTACAGAGCATACAGACTGGCAGACTTTTGAAAGCCCCTCCTTCCTTCTTATCAAGTCCACATGACTTGGTTTCTGAGGCAGCAACAGCAAACTTCATTGCCAATATTATTGATGAACCAACTAATGCTACTGGCCGGCCACCTGAAGTTAACTTTACTTGCGTGAAAGTTAAAAGGTCATCACCAAAGTCTTGTAAGATTTAAGGGAGCACAGGTTGCAGAATTTTTACCAGTTCTGGGTGCAACAGACCGGTGCGCCCAGACGTCCAACGTTACGATTGATTACCAGCTCGGTTTGGTGAAACTTTGCACCTCTAGCATTTGTAGTACCTTTAAATTGTGATGTTGGATCTTCCTTCTGTGTCCTGAAGGAATCAAGATTAAAAGATTTATGTATTGTTACTATTGCTGTGTTAATCATAAAAGTTGCATATATACCTATCATGAAAGGGAGTATATAAAGGTAATAAGTACAGTTTTAAGACAGACTTAGAAAACCTGAGGAGAGTACATAAGAAGAGAGAGTGGTGGACAGGAGAGCTGCTGTCTGTTGTGCTCGGCTGCATCTTTCCATGTAAAATCGTCTGTTTCTGCAGCTCCTCTTCCTCTCTGTTATCCTCACCTGATCACTGACTCCTCTTTCCTCCATCTCTCTCTCCCTCTTTCTCTCTTCCCTGCTCTGTTTCTCATCAGCTCTTCCTCTCTCTCTCTCTCTTTCTCGACCATTCTGCCACACTCCACTGGCTCCAGCAAACGGCTCCCCTGTCATATTATCTCACACACACAACCACCAGCAACACACACACACACACACACACACATACACAAACTCGACACACAGAAGCCTACAAACTCTACAAGGGAGAATACAAGCAAATAAAAAATATACAGTTTACTCCCAAAAATAGGCATCTGCACACTTTCTCTCCTCTCTGTGCATGAGTACACACAGACAAGCACAGATATGATCAAGTCCAACACACACAAACGCACATAGGGACATTCATACCAAGGCTACTTCAGGGTTGAAAAGAGGCCCACTAAAGGGTGTCAAAGTTAGAACCTGCTCAAGAGTCAAAAAACATCCTGTTCTCTCTGCATTCGTTGAGCCCTGAGCATTTTTTAAATGATCTGCTATTTATAGCAAGGTAATTTTGATATGCACTAATAGGCTGTGACTTAAATGGATCTTCAAATATCGACACATAAGCATTGCCAGATGTAAGACAACTGCTTCAAAGTGATTCTGCTGGTGCCTTATAAGAGACACATGAGAGAAATAGTGCTTTGCAGATTATTTTAGTTATCATTGAAGTCATTTAAGGATAACACATCCCTTTGTAGAAATATATTTACTGTTTTTTGAACAAACTGGCAGATGCAAAGTAACAGATGTAACACAGGCTGTTTTACTTTGCTTACAAATCTCAGATATTGTTTGTATGAGGGCTCATACAAACAGTCTCTAGCAAATGCCTGACATAAAATTCACAATAACATCAAACTAAAAACATTTTTTTCTAAATTCTTTGTGAATAATGAGTGATGTTTTGCTTTAGTGTGGTTTTCAGCAAGATATGTAATCCTCTCCTGCTTTGTCCATTATAAATTAATTGTTTTAATGTGTCTGAATCTTTTTATTTGTGCTGTAAAGTTAGTCAATCAATAAAAACTGCTACCATAGTGAGGGGCTTTTGCGGCCAAAAGAGACCAGAGGAGCTCCATTCTGCTCTGTGGCAGTTCTAGACACGCTCTGCTGCCATTTCCACAACAACAATAACAACAAAATCGCAATAAAAACTTTCTAAATGTTCAAGCCAAGTAAGCAAACTCAAAAGGGCTTCTCCAGTTTGGCTTTCCTGTGTTTCTTGTGTGGTCCGCTCAAAGGGTTAAAGCCCAAAGTGAACTGAATTGTAAGAAGTTGGTTTCCAAGGGAAACTGTTCGCACCGTTCCAGCTGAGGCGGGACAAACCAACTGCCTGACACGGCGGGGGTGTGGAGGATTCGACACATCCGGGATTTAATTAAACATTACACTGCTTATTACATATCAGAATGAACGATACTATGAATTAGAATATCCGCATATTTTTAATAATGGCGTTCTTTATTTTTCGCTCCGTTGTTCCGCACATTAGCTGAATATTAATACGTGTTTGCACCCCTCCCGTAGAGCTGGAGTGCTGGGGTCCCTGCCAAGTCGGTTTGAAAAGAGCAGACAAAGGCTTTGAGCTCAGGACGCCCCTCTCTCTCTCTCACACTCCGCTCACAAAGCCAACCCAGCTCTTTCGTCGCCGCTTTTCTGCCATGGAAATGTCTCCTAATAGGTGGCGGTAAGAGTCCTGGCTTTATTTTTCCCTTTCTTATTCTGAAATGTACGACCGTCTGGATCCCCGCTCGGCCGAGAGAGGACGGCTTTTTGTGGGTATAATACAAGGAAGCGTCGTCTGAGAGAGGGAGAGAGAGGGGGAAGGATTGACGCTTTTTCCTCCTCTCCTCCTCCTTCTTCCTTTCGCCCCCCTCTCCTCCTCTTTTTGGCGGAGAGAGGGGTTGAGGCAGGAATAAACGCTTTTTTTTGTTTTCTTTTCTTTTTCTGCTGTTTTAAATACATTTGAATCCTACTGCGCAACCAGACCGGATCACGTGGGGCTGGAGAGAGTTGGATCGATTCAGTTCAATGTGAGAAAAAGAGAAGCTACCAACTCCTATTTCTTAAATTTTACTCCTGTGGATAACTTGGACTGTTGGTACTTTTGCAGAACTGCAGGAGAAGGAGGTGTTTGACTGGCTTCTCTTTTCAGCCTTGGAGGTGAGGAGTATTAAGTCTTATATGCCTGGGGTTTGAAAAACAATGGAGACGCACATTTCGTGCCTCTTCCCGGAAATTTTGGCCATGATTTTCAGCTATCTGGACGTGAGGGACAAAGGCAGGGTAGCCCAAGTGTGTATAGCTTGGAGGGACGCATCCTACCACAAGTCAGTGTGGAGGGGGGTGGAGGCCAAGCTGCACCTCCGCCGGGCCAATCCCTCCCTGTTCCCCAGCCTCCAGGCCAGGGGCATCCGGAGGGTCCAGATCCTGTCCCTGCGCCGCAGCTTGAGCTATGTGATCCAGGGAATGCCTAACATTGAGTCCCTCAATCTGTCCGGCTGCTACAACCTCACAGATAATGGTCTGGGTCATGCGTTTGTACAGGAGATCCCATCACTGAGGGTCTTGAACCTTAGTCTGTGCAAGCAGATCACAGACTCTAGTCTGGGAAGGATAGCCCAGTATCTGAAGAACCTGGAGGTGCTGGAGCTGGGTGGCTGCAGCAACATAACCAACACTGGGCTCCTGCTGATAGCCTGGGGTCTCCACAGGCTCAAAAGCCTCAACCTGAGGTCTTGCAGGCATGTCTCAGACGTGGGGATCGGACATTTGGCAGGCATGACTCGCAGCGCAGCAGAGGGCTGCTTGAACCTGGAGTATCTGACCCTCCAGGACTGTCAGAAACTTACAGACCTGTCACTCAAACACATTTCCAAGGGGCTCACTAAGCTGCGGGTGCTGAACCTGAGCTTCTGCGGGGGCATCTCAGATGCAGGGATGATCCACCTCTCCCACATGGCCTCCCTGTGGAGCCTCAATCTACGCTCCTGTGACAACATCAGCGACACGGGGACTATGCACCTCGCCATGGGCACTCTGAGGCTCTCAGGGCTGGACGTTTCATTCTGCGACAAGATAGGGGATCAGACGTTGGCGTATATTGCCCAGGGACTGTATCAGCTCAAGTCCTTGTCCCTGTGCTCATGTCACATCTCAGATGACGGGATAAACCGGATGGTGAGGCAGATGCATGAGCTGAGGACCCTGAACATTGGACAGTGTGTGCGCATCACGGACAAAGGGCTGGAGCTCATAGCCGACCATCTGACCCAGCTGGCGGGCATCGACCTGTATGGATGTACCAAGATCACCAAGAGGGGACTGGAGAGGATCACACAGCTCCCCTGCCTTAAAGTGTTGAACCTGGGACTCTGGCAGATGACAGAGAGTGAGAAAGTGAGGTGATTGGAAATGATTTGTAGGTTCATTTTTTTTTTTTGGTTCTTTTTGTTTTTGTTTGGGGGTCTGAGAGGGGGCATGAGTAGACGGGCTAGGGGGATTTCTTGTCTGATTTAAAAAGAGAAAATCTCCCGTTTCCCCCTCCTGTGTGCTTGTGTACTGTGTGACAAGAATTGTATGTGCAAATGTTTTATTTTCTTTCCATGGGCCTTGCAGAATTACAATTAGTGCTTGATATGACAAATATTCTGCCTGGTAGGAAGCAATTTAAACTTAATTTTTTATGAGCTCATGAACATCTCTGTTAACATTTGTTTCAATCTCACATTGAGTTTTGATTTCTCATGAACTCTGACAGACTGGAATAGCAATGACGCACATTTCACACATTTTTAAACACTTCAGTGTCATTCTCACAGTGAAACTTGCATCTCATTTAAAGCAAAATGAGGTTTAAAACTCCTAGTATGAGACTCTTATTTTCTCTTTTACAGTGCGTCTGGATTTGATACATTTATGACTAATCTCCTGCTACAGCCATCACGCCTACAAAAACATTTGGCTACCTCGTATGTGGTTGTTTTCAAAGGGTGTATACTGTTAAAAAAAAAAAACAGAAGGATAGCGAGAATGAGAGACTGGGAGAAAATGTGCCTAAAGGGACTGTGTCTGCCCCCTCCCCCCATCCCCCTCCTCTGCCTCCCTCCCTTTCCTCCCTCCCTCCACCATGAGCAGAGCTGGAGAAAGGAGACCAGGACACAATCTAACTATCTTTGTCGATTTAGCTCCATGAACAGCAACAATTCCCCCAAGAGAGAAAAAGAAAGAAAGCAACAAAAAAATCATGTATGTGTGAGAGCTTTTATTATTCTTAGATTTTAGTGACAAACTCCACCTTTAACAGCCTTAATAGAAATGTTTTCTTTTTATTTTGAGTTATAAACAAGCCCAAACCTTTCGCTCAGCCTATAATGATCATACGACAGTTTGAGGGATCATCATGGCTCTACATAGTGAGATAAAAGGCGTAAAAATGTATGATCAGACCGTTAACACATGTATCATCAAAGCAACTCTAAATTGTCAAATTAGGTGGTTTTTTGTGGGATCTGGTGGGAACAAACCCCTTTGGATGCTGCTCAGAGAGCAGTACTTCAATCTGAAGCGATTTCTACATCTTATGCCCTTGTTATTGATCGAAACGAAGCAGGGTTTGTCTCATGGCTTTATTTTCCCACGTTAATGCCAATGCAGGTCGCATTCATATTCATGCTGCCCTCACCGGTAAGACAGGAAGAGAGAGAGAGTGAAAAAGAGGAGAAAGGGGAGGGCAGGGATATCTATTTTTCCTCCTCTTTTTCTCCACCTCTCTCTGAATAAAAATACCCCCAATCCATTTTGAGACATGCTTAGAATAAGGAGCAATCGATTATTTTCTTCTGTCTCTCTTTTTCTCTCTTCGTCTTGGGTTACAAGGAGGAATGTGCCCCCCCCCCCCTCTCTCCCGCACACACACACACACACACACGTTATCACACATGCACACAGAGTGCGCACACAAACAGAAGCCTGCGTGCGCACGCGTCTTAATGTAATGCAATGACCTGCTAGAAAATTAATATACGGATGTGCGTCCTGCTGACAAAGCTGTGTGTGTTTTTGAAAATAAAAAAGATGTACTGTATATTATGTGTTTGTAAAGAAGAAAAATGCAGAATCCCAAAATTAAATTGTTTTATATTCTTACGGTTAAAACAATTAAAGATATTTATATAATGAATGAAAGACACGTGTGGACTACTTTTGTGTAGGTGTAGCATCTCATTGTTGTTGCTGTGATGTATGTTTTCTCTCCAACATCATTACCACTAATCCACCAGGTATTAGGCATTGTACGTATGACAATTTGAGCATTTTTTAGGCCAAAGGAAGGGTTTTTATTACGCTGCATTGTTCCTAATAACCACCCACACTTCTCAGTCCCTGATCAGCCCAGTCTTGCTGCTCAAAGGGGGTTAAAAAAGAAAAAAAATCTGTTGTGTTGTGTTGTTTTATTATTTACGAGGAGAATCAAAATGGATGCTTGCCGTCTTGATTTGGCTGCAGTGCCTGTGTAATTAATTATCACCAGGGCGTTTTATATAAGGAGCTGTTCTAGCCTGCTGACTTTTTTAATCGTCTGTTTTTGCTTCATCAAATGCAGCAGAAAAGAAGGTGGAAAACTCAACTGGTAGCTATGTTTAAGTCCCAAAGCTTTCAGATGGAAAAAGGGTTTGTGTTTGTTGGATTTTTAGGGTTAAAACTGAACATTTTCATGATAATTTGGGTCACTGTTTTTGCAGCGCTGTATTCCACATGTGGAAAAGCTGTATCTGTGTGGCTGCATGTGCGAGGTAATGAGATCTAAAGTTGCTCAGAGTAGATTTCCCTCCCTCTGCTTTCCATCAGGACGTGTCCTGTGTGTGAAGTGACACCACACACACACACACAGGCACAGACACACACAGGGTTGCCAGACCAGTCAGTAGCCATTGTCTGTCTTTAGAAGTTAGGAAGGCAGGTTTTGGTGGGGGATTTTTTTTTCTTCTTTTCCTCCATTTCTCCTTCTCTTGTTCAGTCACGCATACCAGATCCTAGACCAGGCAGGAGACCCCCCCCCCCCCAACTATACCCCTCACCCCCTCTAGCTCCCCCTCACACACACACTTTTTAGCATTCCACACCATCATTCAAAGCATTTAAGCATTCTCCCTCTCCTGACTCTCTGTCCATGGGGATTTCAGGGATAAAGGCCAGCAGAGGGATTGTTGACCACAGGGACAGAGAGACAGAAAGAAAGGAGGAAACGGGACATAGAAAGAGAGAGAGGGAGCTGGTGTTTGCTGTTTCTTAAGTTTGCTCTAGCTGGCCTTTGGTCTTGCGCAATAAGACTGAAATGAGCACACTGAGATGTGAAATTTTGTGCCTTTTTTCCCCTGAAACAAACAAAAATCCAAACTAAGTTACAAACGGGAACTAGGTTTTAGGCAACAGGAGCCATTCCTTATGCACTCTGCCTGTAGTGCTGGTTTGGCACCTCTTTATGTCTAAAACGTGTCTTTCTGTTTAAGGTTTTAATGAATTCTGCTTTAAAGCAACAAAAGAAACGAACAAACTCAGAGGACAGAGGTGTGACGGTGTAATAACTGTAGATTAAATGCAGATAAATGAATAGAGAGGCTGTACAACATAGCTGATTGTTTCTTTATCATTTGACATTTGGGTCTGGGGACCTTTCACGACAGATCCAGGAGCTGCACCGTGACAGGGTTGTATCATGCATTACTAACTGAAAGGTCTGCACGCTCACAAAGATACAATCAGCCGCATTCAAATGATAATGTGATACTTTATTAATCCCCATTAGAAAAATCTCTTTTTGTCCGCACAGCCTGTCCGCACAGGGAGGTCAAAGGTCACGCTTTGCACAGGAAACCCTCTGCTGCGGCTACCCTGGATTCTGCCGTCTTGCTCCAGGACACTTCAGCAGTGCAGAGCTTTGTCATGTTTGTACGTTCGGTCACCTTGCCTCAATGTTCTCCTTTGCTGTTCACAGGCCACCTGTGAAGCTGCGGCTCTTTCTTTTCACGTTTTTCAAACAACCTGTGAGGGGAATACAAGCTCACCCCTTATTGTATAAGTTGCAGTCTTAATTTGCATTTTGAAAAGAGAGAGCGGAGTGTAAATTGAGCTTTGGAGTGTTCAGCATTATATGGTTACAGAGCATTATATAGCACCCCATTGTATTCACAGCAGACTCGGTATGAAAAGAACTATGGACTAAACAAAGGTGCAACCACGGTTCATGTTGCAAAAGGAAATAATTTGCAAGAAAATATGACTGCATATTCAAGTTTAAAGAGGCCTCTCTGTATTCTGTAGTCCAGAATGTATTACAATTTTCTTATATTTTATTATTCTGTATCCAGTCTGGCTTTATCAAAGAGCTGAACTACAGCAAATTGCTTGCTAACTCACTTATTTTTACAGCATCTTGTTTTAAAAAAAAATCTAAAATCAAGAGAAGCTGCAAGAGAAAGTCAGTCTCGAAGTATAAACTGCATTCACACATGCACACCACTCATGGAATATTCCCAAAGTTTAAGGAAAGAGCCCGTATGTTAAAGCAGCAAGTTATCTATATTAAAGAGAACTTGCTCTGAGTCAGATGGTAGTGATGATAAGTTGCAATCTGCCCATGAAGCTCTTTCCCAATCCTTATTGCTTGGCCTGCCGTTATGGTTTTGTTGTACATATAACATGTTGACTACTGCAGTGACCTTTCGATATCATGTCCTTCCTATTAAGACCCCCTCCCTGCCTCATGTCCTCAAGGAATCATACTATTGGGACATGCATGAAGGAGCAGCTTTGGAAAATTACAGTTGATTTAGAAATTTTCTATTAAAGAGCTCATATGTGAAAAGGACTGAAATTTTAACACAGGTTACACACAAAAAAAAGGATCATAAGCTTTAGAGATCGCAGTTTCAGGATTAATGCTAGATTCAGAAAATGATTTATTTTACTGTATAGATATTACAACTGATTTGATGCTCTTCTGTTACTCTAGACACCAAATGAGCAAAAAGAGTAAAATGCTGCTCTGTTCTTAATGGCCCTGTACAGCACAAATATTGAAATATTCATAAACATGCCGAATACATGTTCAAAAGTGTAAAAACAACCCTCTTCAAAAGAAACTAAATGTTCTGACACAATACTTCCACGTTTAACACCCCAAAAGAGAAATCAGCAACTCCAGGATGAGTCTAAAAGCTGCCTCTGTGATTCTCCAGCTTGGCCCACTTCACAAGTTGATGAACTCCCCACCAGATTGAGCAAGGCGCTGACACTGCCAGGTTCTGGGGTTCATTTTTTCCCAGCTTAACTCAAAGGGTTTTTCATTGTGGCAGCCATGCAAAAATGAGCAGACTCTTTGCACTGTAAGGCAGCGAGGATCAAAGCCCTCACCAAACGGCTTTATGTTAAGAATATATCTCGCTTTCGGTGTGATTCACTCTTCAAACCTACACTTCCTGCCTGTCTGAATGATTGACAGCTTCTAAACAAGCTAATTCAAAAAGCTTACAGGCACTCAAATCAGACAAAGACACACATTTCTTTGCCATATAGGTCATCCATGAACTGTCTTGCTCTATAAACGCTGCTTTTTTAAATTAAGTTTGGTGCGCAAGTGAGCGGCTGCTTTTGGCCCTTAAGTTGTAAAAGTTGAACTGTGACTCTGCACGTTGTGCTCTGAACCGCATTTCCTGTCAGGCTGAGGGGAACAGTAGTGTGTGTATATGTGTGTGTAAAAGAAAGTGTGTTTTACTGCTATCATTAAAGGGATAGTTCAACATTTAAAAGGGGAACTAGGGTTCTCCACAACAAAGCAGCAGGGTTATTAGCAGCAGAGTGTTACTGCCCTCCCCCACATGTCTCTGTCTTTGGCTGCGACTCCTCGTCTTCTGTCTCTGTCTGTCTGTCTGTCTGTCTGTCTGCCTGTTTTCACTCTCTTCTTTTTGGAGCTTCATTTCTCCTCCCTTCCACTTGCTTACCTTCTACTTTTTCCCTCCTTCTCTGATTTAGCACTAGAGTCAGTCCCCTTCCTCTCATTTTCAGGACCTCTCCCTCCTTGTCTCCTTCTCCCCCTTCCTTCCTCACTCTCCCCATTTCCATTTCTTCCCTCCAAACCACCCCTCCTTCCTCCCTTCTGCGGCACCTGGTGTTGAGGTGTCGCTGAGGTACAGTAGACGGCTCTTTGAAGTCCCAGGGGCCCTCAGGGGGCTCTATATATGTGTGGGTGAGTGTTGTGTCAGGAAACTTTTTTTTCTTTTTTTTATCAGCAGCTGCAGTCAAGAACATTTGGCGTTGCTTTTGATTTGGGTGTCTCTGATGCTGAAACGACCTTCTCCGAGCAAGTGTTGGTGCTTGTGTGTGTGCTGTATTTCCTTATCATAAAACAGAGGAATTTAAACGGGTACAGTCATTTTATTTTGGCTTTTACCAACTGAACAAGACAGTGCAGTTAAAGGGATAGCTGGAGCTGTTTTAAAGGAACATTGCCATGTTTTTGTTAGCCTGTATGTTTGGGATATGGGAGCATAAAACCATTACTCGGTTTAAACTTTCATTTCACATAAAACACCACAGGGTGACAGTTTCTGAGACACTTGAAAGGAAAAAAATGGTGTGATCTGGTAGCTGGAAAAAGGAAACTTACTGGATTTAAGGCCTCAGAGGGGGAGGAGCAAAGGAGCAGAAAAACGCACCTCCGTCTTAAAAGTCTGCAACAGTCAGCACTCGACCTGGATGGAGAGAAAGAGAGAGAGGGGATGTTAATGCAGAGGAAGATAAACAGCAAAACTGAAGTAAAACATAAAGAAAGGATGAATACTAGAGAGTAAAACAGATGAGGAAAAGGGGAAGGCTGGTGAGAAGGAGAGGGAGAGAGGGAGTGAGGAAGAGAGGGAGAGGAATCTGTGAGTCACTGTTTAACTGTGGGCTGCTAGAAGTCGGCTAGCCATGTTAAAATACCGTCTGGGCACACACATATTCTCTCGCACACACATGCACATGTCCTAAACTCTCACAAAGTAGAGAAATCAGCCCAAAATTCAACAATAGTAAGCATAACACACACACACACACACACACACACACACACACACACACACACACACACACACACACACACACACACACACACACACATCAAAAGTTTATGCAAAACTCCTGCCCAAGCCTCTCAGACTTTTCTGCCCAACAGACCAGCTAATTATTTTCAGTCGGACGTCGGGCACACACACACACACACACACACACACACACACACACACACACACACACACACACACACACACACACACACACACACACACACACACACACCTCTGCTGCACATTCCTCACAAAGTAATGAGCTGCTTTTCTACAAAGGTAAGAATTCAGGCGAAGGGCAGAATCTCAATTCAAGTCTGTAGCTTTGTGAGTAAAAACAGAAAAGAGGCAGTGACACATTTTCACCTCTGAATGATTAATTATTAATGATTTTTCTGAGGATGGAACACAATCAGGTTTTTATCTACAGGAACAGTCCTTCCTGGGTACGGTGTCCTGATAGTAGGTCTTTGTGAAACATAGATTTACCTCTCTCTACATGTAAAAGTGACACTTAGGTCAAATCCTATGACTTTTTCAATCACTTTAATGACAGTTTAGTCCATTTAATGTCTGAAATAGACTGAAGGGTAAAGCGAGCTACCTGAATGTTACCAGGTTAGTATCACGTTTGGCATGAGAGTGCTTTAAGTGTCATGCTCATGCCACGCAGATATGCTCAGTACTAAAAAGTTTAGAGTTAAAGCTCCTGTGAGAAAGTTTTACGTTAGGATTTTTAATATGTGGAGGGGTAGGTGCCATCACAATCAGTGTGTCATTTGTCCGTTAAAATCACATGGATTCAAGACACAGTTAGACAAAGATCCTTATAGGAGCTTTAAATTAAAAAGGTTTTCTATACTGTCCAGCCTAAGTTAGCATGGTAGCATGATCACATCTGCCAAATACCATGTGGTGCTTAGTCAAACTAGCACCTTAAACATTAACTTAAACAACGACTCTAGTTTTGCTGCCTTTATGTCTGAATGCACGACTGTAAAAATTTGATTCCTTATTAGAGGAATACAACCATGTTCACTCGGTTTAAGTTGCATTACTTATTAGCTTTTAAAAGGAATTTGAATAATTAATATGCTAATCTCATTGAAGATGTTAACATGTTGTTCAGAAAAATGATTTATTGCCTTAGTCCGACTGAAAGTGGACTCATATGTAAACACATGTAAAAACTCACTGAATCGATCTTCTCATTGTTCGATTAATATAGGTCAAGTGGGGGACGACACAATAGTAATGAGCTAAAAGGGCGTATGTCGCCACCTACTGCAGTGGAGGTGGACATGCCTGTGTAAATAATTTGATTCTTGCCCAGAACGTGGAAACTGGGACAGGATGATAGTCAAGTTACATCGCCTAATTGAGCTATGACCATATCTCAACTTAACTACACATGTAAATGGACTGACTGTGCTGCTTCTTCCTTTTTCAAAAATAAAATCTCCACTGGTTTAGTTTATTTGAGACATTTTAGTCAAGTTGAATATGGTGAACCAACAAACAGACTCACAGTCACTGGCTGTTGCACCAGTAGCAGAGTGTCAAAAGTGTCTCATATCAGAGATGTCCCCAACTGTATCTGACAAATGTGTCCCACTTTACTTGACCAAGACGGATGCATTTTTACATTTTGTGTGGCTAAACATATCCCAAGATTCATTATGTGCCATTTCCAGTTAAGTGGCAGGCTTTGAGGCTGCTTCACTGAAACTCCACCTCGGTTTGTTTATTGTAATATATCCAAAAGAATACAGCACATACAGCAAAAGGGAAAACTGCTAACATTACAGTATCTGGAACAGTGAATGTTTACTGCTTGTATGTAGAAAATCATTGAATAGATTAACAGCTGATCAGATCTAGTTGTCTTTGCACTTCTTAGGCATATTTTTCAGCTGCTAGAAAAGAAAGCATATCACTCATTAGCTCCTCTGGGTGTTCAACTGCTTATTAATTTATCACATTCTGTTATCAGGTCACTCACTGCTCTAGGCCTTTTGCTCATTAGGCAACAAATGCATGAATTAAATGGTTCTCCATGTCTCACTCTGTTATCATAGCTGTTTATTCTACTGGAGATTTTATTCTGGAAATGAATTCCCCAAAAATACAGACAATTTTTTCAAAATGTGTGCTATATGTACCAGCTCTTACTCAAATCATCAATGTTGTTTAGTTTAAACAGTTAACATCAGCCTTTCTTGGTGGCTTTGCTTTCTCCATGTTCCATAGGTAAGAAAACAACATCCTAAATCTTTAATTTAAAACCATAAGACCACACTTCATTCACAATCAAACCATGGATGATGATGATGAATCTTTTATAAAAAGCTCCAGCAATTATAATGGAAGACTAAGAATTATGCAGCATGTGATGTTGACTTCTGCTCCATATTCCTCCTTCTTTCGACAGTACCCAGCAGAGAGAGACAGCAGAGAGGACGGACAGAGAGGAGAGAGAGAGAGATGACATGTGGGTTCATTTTGGATTTCTTTGTCTTGATGTGAAACCACGTGAAGCCCTGACAGAAATGTGACAGATTCCTGCAATGTCAAACTCAGGCAGCCTCACACTCATTCTAATTTGTCAGGTGAGATAGTGTTTTGGTAGCGTGGGAGGTGTGCAGTGCTGGTGTGTGCTTCCCGTCTGTGCACATGTGATTGAAAGTCTATGTGCATAATGCATGTACGTAGACAGCTGTGTCTTCAAATCTCTGTCGGCTCCCTGTACCTGCCTGTCAGTTCAGCTTGTCATTCAAGCATCAGTGTAGAGAAACTTTTTTCCTTTTCTTTACTCAGTTTAAAACTTGACATGCTTTTTCAAAAGAGGGGAAATGGGCAGAGAGGGAAGACAGAAAACTGCAGCAGAAGAAGAGGAGTTTGGTGATACCACGTGGCTGACAGGAAACTTTGTATATAGAACAAAGCTTCTTCCACATTTGTAAGTATTTACACACAACAGAAAAACCTGTAGGCATTCAGTAATTGCAGTAAAAGTTGGTGTACTTCCAGTTCACTCCAATTAATGAGGAAGTGGACATTTAAACCATAAGAAAATCCCCATCAAACAGTTATTTAATATTCAATCTATAAAAGCATTATTGAGACAGAGTGCTGCTCTTATCTCCCAGTAAATGAATTACAGTTTCAATTTGCATGTTGAGTGAAGTGAACTGAAAGTGCCTCAGACCCAGAGCGTCCCACAGAGCTGCAGAGTGCTGGCTGATGATAACCAGGCTGTCAATTCAGGGTTTGGCTTCAGCAAGACTTACAGAAAATTCAACCAAATTAGAGGACCCTTGTCCTGTCCACTAACAGGTTTATACACAGTGCTCAGAAGTATGACAGACCACATCAATCCTGTTTTATTAATGGACTTTTCAGGTTTTCATAAGTGTATAAAGTGGAGGGCTAAAAGGACAGCTATCAGCCACTGTTTCTCATGTTAGGATCTCTGTTTATGGTGTGTTATATTGACCACAGAAGTTGGATGTGGAAGCTGGAATGACGTCACAGTTGAGTTGGTGGCGCTCTATATAAGTCCTAAAGTTGCTGAGTGATTAGCTCCTGATGTAAGCATGAAGTTGATGACTTGGTCTGGTCCTGGTTGTTGCTGGTTGTATTAGGGCTGGGTAATAAGGGAAAAGTTTATCACAATATTTTTTTTTATATCAGTCGATATCGATATATATCAAGATATAAAAAAAATAATTTAACAGTGCATATTGGTTGCATGTCTTTTGCAATACAATAAGCTACTGCATTTGTGAGGTCTTTGTGTCTCTTTGACGTTTTGTCATACAGCGTTGCGCTAGAGAAAGCAGACTGAACGGTCAGCTTTTTCTGCTGCACAAACGCCATAGGCTCCTTGCTCCGCTCAGGGTTTGTAACCTTTTGCACTGTGCCTGCTCTGCTGCATGGCACTGCTTTAGGTGGGGAAAAAGATTTGAGGTATTCCCCGACTTTGCGAGAACATGTACTTGACATAATTTACAGTGTACATTACTTTGCTTCATGTCCGACCTCAAAAAAACAAAATGTCATTATCTGTCGACCGTGCTGTCGCCCAGCCCTATTTAGGCATCAGATATAACTGTAGAAATAGTCTTCTCTTTAATGGTCTTATTTTCTTTTCTCAGTCACACTGAGAGGAAAGAATTGATCTCAATCTGTTTCACCACCAACCTTTACTGAAGATTGAAGTTTTTGTGAGTTTCTTAGATGTCAGAGAAAACAAAAAACTACAAAATTTGTAGTTTTTTTTTTTGGGGGGTCAGGCACACTTAAGAATCCACGGAATCCACTAAATCCAGATCCACTAAAGAAAACAACACCAGATGACCTAAATCCTTTAACAATGGCAAAAAAGAGTCCAAACATCTTGGGTGTCAAAAACTCAAAATGGGCAAACTCTGCTTATTTACTGTTAAGACTAATCGTTGCCTTTCTTTGCTTCCATACATTTATGTAGAACCTTGAATGCCGGCTGAACTTTCCTCATGAGAAATCTTATATTTATCTCTGATAAAATAGAGAAAATAACTAAGGGAACGTTCTCAATGCACTTGTTTCACACTGGACCAGTAACAAAGACTTAGTTTTGAGTAGAGACGCTCACGAAAAAAGGCATTAAAATTGTGTCTGATTACAGATTACAGCAAAGAGGAAGAGAAAGAGTGAAAAAATATGAGAAAAGATGTTGAAAAGAGAAAAATAAAGAATAGTGAAAGGATGGAAAAGAGACATGGGAGGTGGAGTGAGAGAAGATAAAGAGAGAAACTGAGGATGGAATACAAAGAGGGGCGGTGTGTGTGTGTGTGTGTGTGTGTGTGTGTGTGTGTGTGTGTGCACCAGGTGTGTATCTGCCGTCCCCAAGGTCCTTCTAGCTGTCTTCTCCTATTGATTAGTTCATATTGATCTGGCCTGGCACACATACTCTAACACACACAAGCATCCACGCGCACACACACACTAACACACCAGCACAGCATGGTTGACTTGATTCAGCCAGGCTCTGACATAGGGGACATGAGGGTACATTGTTAACGCACATGCTAGCATGAACACACACCCACACATACAATCGTCCTATCATTCTACCTCTTAAAATGACAACCACCGTCTCTCTGACACACACATACACACATGCACAGCGCACACGCTTGTCAAACAGCAAACACTCACTCTGTCTATTTGCTCATGTGCGCTGGCTGTCTGGAAAGCAGGCAGGAGAAACAATGAGAGCGTATGAGACAGACTGTCAGAGGAAGACTCGGTGTCCAGGACAAAATGGATAAATCTTGTAGTTCCACCATCTGCCACATACAACTGAGAACTGTGTGTCTAATATAGCCACAGAGGTGGGTTTGAGCAGGAATAGAGCTCACATCAACTGAGCTTGAGCTTTTGCAAATAATATTTTCTTGTATACACAAAGAATGTCATGACATTTTCTTATGAAATAGCTGCATTTGTTATGACAAACCCATCAATTTTAATACCAAACTACAGATCCTTCCATTTCATCACAGACATGCTCAGGTTAGAAGCTAAAATGCAAATTGTCTTTCTGATGTGTCAGAGGTTTGAACTAGAAACCAAACAAATCATTTTCATCTCAGCTCTCTCAACAGCCACAATCTGGCAAAATATGGGACTGTATCCAAAATTAAAGCCACTTGGAGTGACTTTCAAGTGTTGAGGACTGTTGCAGGGTGACACAGCTCAAGGAAGAACATATATGATAATTTCTTTATCATTTCCTTGAAGTAATAATCATCATATTAATCATTTTGCACTGCAGACGCGGTAGTTCTTCTGCCTTGACCTAACTGCATTTCCATGAAGAAATGATCATAAATGTTCTTCCTTGAGCTGCGTCATCCCGCTGTAGTCCGTAATGGATTGGTCCGAGGTCTCACAACAAACAAGCGGCTGCTGGAAGAGAGTAGGTGAGTTGTGCTTAGTCTCTTTGCTAAAGAAATTAGGCAAAGTTAAAAAGATGTTTGGTGGCTAGTGCTGTGGCTAAGACCCTATATATAATGTTGATGAAGTTAGGTGCTGTTCTGAGCATTATTTGTGGCTATAGAGTGGTGTTTTAGCTGAGGTTTGTGTGTGGCTCCTCAGACCGCTGTGTATAACTATCGTGCGGTTGTTACTAATGTTGGTAAAACTAGAGAAGTATACAGAGAAGCAAGTGGTCGGCAACATTCATCGCTTGAGGGGGTGTCTAACTCAGTGTTATGCTGTGTTTGACCCTAAATTAATTTTACGCGGGAATATCCCTTTAATAACCTATCCATATCACTGTATCTTCTTCGTTTTCCAGTTCTCATGGTGTTTGTCCTGCCCTAAAGGGTTGGTATAAATGTGCTCCAACAGTTCCCTAATCCTGCTGTTTCATTTTGATGGATTTTTGATGTCCTAAAGCTGCTCTCTGAAACTTTCGGGTCACAAACATTTTCAGCCTGAGACAAGTGGTCAATTATAGACAACTGCTACACCAAGAGTAGCCCAAAGGCAGCAGCCAAAAGTAGAAGGTTTGTGACTGGAGGGTCAATGGTGCAAATCCCCAGACAAGCTGGGAGAGTGCAGGCAAGGTGAGCAAATCTACCTTCCTTCACATCAAGGCAAGACAAGGTGCCTTTGAGCAATGACACCTCACCTCCAGCTGCTCCTGAGCTGCTCAGCGGCAGCTGCAGAGGAGCGTGTGTTTGTTTAGGGCAGCTCCCAGAGTGAGTGCACCGAGCTGTGTGAAGGTGAAGTAGGGCGGGGCTGATGAAGACTCCGTGAGCTTCATCTGTCTTTAATACAGTAAGAGAGATTAAAAAACAATATGGGAAAAATGAAACACAATTAACTTGATCCTGTTGCGTTGTTTACATTTACAGGACGGTTTATACCTCTTGACCATGATGATGCATGCTGGGACCTGATGCAAGGTGCCCTGACACATTTCAACATGTATACCAACATTAAGAAACACCACACAGTTACAGTCACACGTTTTTTTTTCTTGTCCTTCATCTAGCCTCTCTGCTAGACTCCTTTTTCCCTCTTTGTCTCTGAAATCAGAAGAAACGTCACTGTCTGTCTCTGCCTTTAGTCTTTTGTGTGCATGCAGACCCACATACACATAAAGTGCGCGCACAGACACACAAACACCTGCACCCACACACACACACACAGCCTGCCTGCTGCTGCTGTGATGGCTCCGAGCTGTCAAAACATCCCTGCTTTCTCTTGCTCTCCCTCACCAAAGCAGCCTGACTGAGCTTGTCTATGCAGGTTCACAGAGACTGCTGTCTATCCACCCTCACACTCTTTCTTTCTTTCCACAACGCAGTACATTTACTTGTTCGAAAAACTGATTTATTGCTTACTTTGACTGAAGCTGGACTTTCTCACACATATAAACACTGACTGAAATCACACAAAATTGAAGTTCTTGCAACCTAAGACACCTAGAAACATCTCTTTGAAAATGGGACATTTCAATGGTTTTCGATATTAAACTGTACTTTTGTTGCAGCTCATTACGGCTCAGTGTATTATTCCAAAAGTATTTCATGCTGGTGGAGTCTACAGTGGCCTGTCTGTCTTCTGTCCTAATCAGGGCTGATCAGACTGCACTAGAAACAATCAGTGAAAGGTATTTTGCTTAAAGCTCCACTGTGGAAAGTTTTGCCCATGTTGACTTTGGCATCCCCTGTGGACAAAGTGGTAACCCTTACATTGTTTCTCATTGTATTCCATCCTTGTGAAAGTGGTGTAAATGGCCCTCCTTTTGTCATTTTATGATGAAATATATGACTCAAAGTAAATATTTTATGTGGTAAAAGTAGCAAAGGCTGTTTCTTCAGTGTCCCTCCCCCCTCACAGCATTTACAAGCATAAAACATTACGCTATAGAGAGATTTTGTTCATGTCATCAGTGATCTCATATTTCTTTTTACAGCTTAAAAACACATCACTGTGCATTTCAGACTGTTTCATAACCTATTAAAATCTCCTCACAGGAGCTTTAATGTAGTGTTTGTTGGGCTGGGGATATACTTACTGTTGGATGTGTGTATGCATCACTGCCCCCATATGATCCCAATGTGGTTTGTTGCATCAACTGTACACATCCAAAGAACTTAATGTAACGCGGACGCAAGGTTGAGTATGCACATGAATGGTAGGGGTAATGCACAGGCAGAGAGGGTGTGACTGTCAATATAGGAGCAGGGAGATTATGAGAGAGAGTTTCGAAGAGAAGCTGATGGACCAAGGCCACAATTTGGACTAAAATCAATTTTAGTCTTTAAAGAAGATAGAAAAGGACAGTTGCTGCACCAAAATTTACGAGACATCAAGTTTGAAACACATCGATTTCCACAAGTTTTAAGCGAGTGTAGGGTATGCTGGGAAAATATATGATGAGGAACATTTATTTGAACAGTTCAAGAGACCAAACAATACACTCTTTCATTGAAAAATGACTTTCTGGTAAAATATGCTTCAGTTCTTCTGTCTCCTCCCTCCATCCCTCTTCATAACTCTCTCTCTCTCTCTCTCTCCTACTTTCAGACACACACACTCACTCACTCACTCAGTGTTGTGTGTTTGGCCTGCAGGGTTTGCACAGCAGGGAGGAATCAACCGTATGGCAGACACGAGGACGGAGCCAAATCTGGCTCATACACATGGTGTGTGGTCATGCTGCCCTGTGTGTGTGTGTGTGTGGTCATGCTCAAGGCAGCCTGCACTTAAATATACATCAGGGGAGGTGGTTGCCCAAAGGTGAAAGTTGTGCAGGTTTCACTGGAAGGCTGCCGAACAAATGAATGAAAACCACTCTCTACTCCCTCTCCAACTACTGTCACTGTGCCCCTGAGCAAGGCACTTAAGCTGCTGCTGCTAGGGCAAAACATGAGAGCTTTTGAGTGAATGGAAGAGGAATAATAAATGTACAAAACAGTGTTAAACAGGAAGACATACTGTATTTACAAGTTATGGATAACTTGGTATGTTATTACAGTAAGTGGATGAAGGTCAGAAGAGCTAAAAATGTCTGACAGGCCAAGAAACAAGATTGATAGATGAGAAAATACAACTTAGATATGTGCAAGGCAAAGTCCACAGGAGGCGCCAAAAATCCTGCAAACCAAAGTTCCTCACATGAGCTTTAACATCTTTGTTTGACTGAGGGAACCAAAAGTTTTGGTCTGTGTGCTGCAAAACGATGCCAAATATTATGGGCTAAAACCAGAACCAGAAGGTCGATCTTTACCATATCAGTGATAAAGCTCCTGTGAGGTACGTGTAGTTTGTGTCAACTTTGGCGCCCCCTGTGGTCAAAGCAGTCTTTACCTTGTCTTACAAATGTTTGAATAGTGTCTTCTGACAAAAAAACTCATCCAGCTGACTTCTGTCAGTCAAATCAATCAATAATTGTGAATACTTTTGTAAACAGGTCTGTTTCTTTGGCTACTCTGCTGATACCTACCCCCTCACACCAGTTTCAGTCATTAAAATTAACAATATAAAAGTTACAAGTCTTGGCTGTGGTGGTCTTGTTTGCTTTTGAATATCATAAAAAGGCATCAGTTTGAATTTAAGTCGATTTCATAAATACCAAAAAAGCCCCGTACAGAAGCTTTAGATGTTTTTTTTTTTTTAATGTATGTAAGGTTAAAGGTCCTTACACACCAGGGCCGACGCAAATATAGAACGCAAAATTAGGAAATACTCGGAGGCGAATTTTGACTGGCCTGACTATACACATCAAACCCAAAGCGATTTTGCGACTTTCCAGTGGGAAAAAAGCGTCCTGGGTGGAAGCGAGAAGACTGACAAAACAGCAGACTGACTGTTTTTCAGTTCTGATTAGACACTAGTGTTGAGATGTCTGTCTGTCATGATAGCATGTACTGAGTCGGGGCCAGTACCAGATAAGCACATTAAACTATAATCCATAAACGTAAGGTAACAACCAAGACCTAATGGTGCTGTGACAGCAACGTGATTGAGTTTGAGACAGTGAAAATACATATGGTATGTTGTATCTGAACAGGTTAGCTTACGAGCTAAAGTTACTTAGCACAGATGAAAGTTAAAACAAAGACGTGAAACTACAAACTATCATCATATGAGAAATCCAACGTTATGATTCTTCACAAGTTGTCCTTCAGATCTTTATCTTTGTAATGTTTGTGTCTTTTATCAAAAAGCACTCTGTTCTCTGACACGCAAACAATCAGCTGGTCGGCCATGTTGGATATTTCGGTGAATCTGACATCGCAACAACACGCAATCTGATTGGTCAGAAGTGGACACACAGTATGCGAAACTTAAGAAAAATTGACCATGATCCGAAAAAATAAATGCTGCAATATTGCAGGATGGGAAAACGTAGCTGATGTGAACGCTTGTATTGACAGGATGTGGGTTCGAAAAAAAATATTGACGTCTGAAATAATTGCACGAAAAAAAAAACGCTCCCAGTGTGTAAGGACCTTTAGGTAAAAATAGCGGTAAACCTGACATTGGATTTAATATTGAAATGCTGATGGTATTACACAGGACCATTCCTTTCTTCAGTGCATGTCAGAATACTATATAAGAACATGTGACAAATGTGCATGTCTGTGTAATGTCACAGCATCTCTCAGTCAGCCAAAGAGAAGTGTGTGTTTCTGCATCCATGCATGTCTGTGTCATTGCATGCTGCCTGCATGAAATGTGCATGTAATTCAATTGTATGTGCGTGTGTGTGTGTGTGTTGTGTACGGTGTTTGCTGCAAGCATGTAAACACACATTAAGGAGTGCATTTGTGTGAGAGCTACTTGGCTCATGGTGGCTTTGTCAGTGCATGAAAATCATTTATTCATACTAAATAACAGTGTGTACGTTTGTGCGTTTAATGCAAAGCCATTTGTCCTTCACGTGCACGCTCTAATAGATACTCTTTGCTTCAACTCTATTTTCACATCCGTCTTTTTCTTTTTATACTCCTAAAACCCTCTCTTTCTCCCTGACTTTACCCAATCCGACTCCTAAAATAATGTGTCCCCCCTCATCTTTTCCCTCCCCTGACTCTTGTGTGTAGCGGTTAACCCTCAGTGCAGCACTTCTCACTCGCTGTGTGTGAAGGAGACTTTTTAAAAATGCATATATTCTATAAGAGGGAGGAGGAAACAGAGCGTGGTGAAAAGAAAAATACGGCCTCTGTGTGTGTTGTGTCAGTTGGGTTGACATCTGATCTTGCTGAGTATGGTAAAGCAGAAAGTGCTGAAAGTACTCTGTGTGTGGGGGGGATCCTGTGTGTGTGTGTGTGTGTGTGTGTGTGTGTGTGTAAAAGTGTGTGTGAGAGTTTTTGTGGGCTGTCTGTGTCCTCCTTTCTGTGTGGGTGGTACAAGGAGGGAGTAAGGGAATAGGGTGTGTGTGAGTGCACTTAGTTTAAGTGTCAGCATGCCTGAAAGTGTGTGTGTGTGCATATGTGACAAGAGAAAAGTAAGACAGGCGGAGAGATGGGTGGCGAGAGGAGTGACGAGGGAGGGAGAGAAGAATTAAGAACATTGAAAAGTAGAAAAAATTAAAGAGAAATATTGAAGGATATCAAAGGAAAAAGAGACACTTTGCCTGATTTCTTCGTCTTTTTCCGGCTTATTCCAATTTATGTTTCCGATTCGTCGCTGCATTTGTTAGGAATAAATGTTAGATCAAAACTTTCCCTCTGTTCTCCCTTTTCTCTGTTTCTCTTTGTCAGAAAGTGTTCTCTCCAGAGCTTTCCTGACAAATAGACCAGTTTGATCAACATCAAAAATCCACAGATTCACACACTCACTCACACACACACGTGACCAAGAGCTTTTCCAGACTGCATCTGTACAAGCGCGGAAAAGTCGTCTTTCTTTCTTCGTTCTGTCCTTGTGTGTATTTCATGTTTCATGTTTTCTGTCCTTGCTGTACGGTTACATCAATACAGAAGTGTGTCCCTGAAGAAAATCTATCAATATTTCATTCCATAACTGCTGAAAATGCAAGATCGACAAGCGCGGAAAAGGCGAGGAGGCGAGAGGAGCTCAGCTGGAACAGGCGAGTCCTAACAACTGAATACAGATCCAAAAAAAGAGGTGGAAAAAGAGGGGGGCAGGTGTAGAAAAACGGATTGTTCTTTGTCAAAGGGCACGTTTAAAGCTGTCAGGTTGAGAGGTGTACAGCCAGAAGAAGTCTGACAGAAGGCTATTGGTTAATCAGAGCAGGTAGAATAAAACTACTGGAAAAAAAAACAAAGTAACAATGAGCCAGTTTTTTTAAAGAGGCAAAGAACTTTTTAAAAATAAACCTTGACCAAAAGGTTGCAGCATATGGTTCATGAGCATTTGTTTCAGTACATTAAAAAGTTCCTAAAACACTCAAAAAGTATGAGAATATGACTTTACAGTGTTGTGTTCGATAGGAGACCAATCCATAGGATTCTATAATAAACCATACCACTCTATACCTCGGTACCATACACTACCATGTGTTGCCATACGATAAAACTACAATACAAACAGTATTTATAATAAAATAGGGTGCAATGCAGTGCGATACGATGAACCGCGGTACAATTTGATGTAATATGATACAATGCCATATGACACAATATGAAACAATGTGCTGTGATGTGATAGGATATGATACAATACAATACAATACCTTTTATTGGATAGAATAAGATAATGCAATAAAATATGATACCATTTAAAATGATATAATACAATGCTTTATGTCGCTGTATAATGGATACGATGCAATATAACACAATATGATACAATATGTTGCAATGTGAAACTATATGATATAATAGGAAAGGATACAATGGGATACAACATGATGCAGTAATATATGTTACAATTTGATACACATAATATGATGTGATAACATGTGATGGAAGGCAATACTATGTGATACAATATAATCAAATGTCATAAGACATGATGTGATACAATGAGATTGGATGCGATGTTATGCAATACGATACGATTTGATACGATGCAACACAATGCGATACAATATAGAAGGATATGATACAATACGATGCTACATGATTTGAAACAGTAGTATGCAATATGATATATGATGATCCGATGAGGATCAAAACAACATTATGAGACACAGTTATGTTATATACAGTGTGATATATAGTGTTATAAGCCATGATGTGATATGATACAGTTTAATACAATATAATGCAATGCTGTTCAATACAATAGGACACGATATAATCTATACGTGATAAGATGTGATAAAATGCTATACTTTGCGATAGGATATGATTTAATATGATTTTGTACAGCGTGACACCCTCCACTGTCCCCATCTGTAAATTTGTTGATCAAGTGCTGCTTGTTGTAGGTTAAAACAAATTAAGACAGGGGATGGGAGTTCTTTGAAAAGTCATTTCAACAAATAAAATTCAGCTTATTGACAGACTAGGCTGAAAAGGAGGAAGGTTGAAAGAGTGCGAGCAAGAGAGAAAATGAAGCCTTTTCGCTTCAAAGCCGTATTGTACTTGGGCAGGATATTAACCAGAACAATAAAAAGACAGCAGACACCAGCTAATTTGAAGACAAGCATGTTGACTCACAGTAAGTTTCAAAGACGGTCACATTGTGTCCTGAACAAAGCTGTCACTCACCAATCCATCATTAGTCTAATTTGCCTAATCCTCACACTCCCTCAGATGGTGTGGTATTGTGGGAAAAGTTTTTTTCTTTTTTGTTCTTTGGGCTGAATCAAAAGATAATTTAGTAAACGCTCAGACGTATTCAGATGAGGCAACTTGTGTGTTAAAATGAGAGTGAAGGAACCAATCTAGTCAGAGGACTTTGAATGTCTCCACCCTTTCAAATACTGCCCTTCACCGCTATCAAAATTCTGTTGTTAGTCAGAAAAAATTAAGTCTGCTACCTTGAGATAAAAATGTTAGATCATTAAAAATCCTGTTACAGATATCGCTGGCATAAGATTTATCTTTACTTGATGGATAGTTATGGCGAGTTTATTAGTTCAAGTATGGTTCCATGAGTGTCTTCCTCACAGGAGATGCAGGTCAACTTGAGAACAAAATTCACAGAGAGCCATTGCTGAATACAGTATTTTTGAGAATATTGAATTGTTAGATTGGTTTCTTATTTTACTTCTGCAGCACTCCCTCCCCTAGAAACCCTGAACTGAAGAGAAATGGATAAAGACTGAGAGGAGGAAATCATGAAGGACACAGCAAACAGGGAGCTGTGTGTAAGGGGGTTAAAGTTAATGTTAATACAACAACTGAACATCCCGTGGTCTGTGTTGCTGTGACGCCAACACAAGACTTCAATTAAAGCTCTGACTCACTGACCACACACACACACACACACACACACACACACACACACACACACACACACACACACACACACACACACACACACACACACACACACACACTCACTCACGGCCACCGTGCAGACAGGCCTATTGATTTCTGTGGTAACACCGTCCTGTCACCACATACAGCGCCACTCTACCTCCGTGACCTCCCTTCCCTTGCATCCCCCCCTCTCCTAACCCCCCATACATGTGTAAATGTGACACTTGACACCTCGTCTCACCTCCCAGCAACCCCCCCTTTCTTATCATCTCTTATTACCATCCCTACTTCCCTTTCTCCTCCTGCTTTAATTCTCTTTCTTCTCATGTCAGCTCCATCTTCCCCCACTCCTCCTCTTTTTCCCTCTTTATTTCCTCTCTATCTGTACTCCAATTCCTCCCTACATCCTTGTCATTTTTCCTCCTATAGAAATCCTTGTCAGAGATACGGTGAAAATGTGTTGCTGAAGGGACACAGGGCTTTTGTTTTACACATCCTGCAATTGCACTGCATATACATAAAAAAAAAATGTAGCACACAAGTGGCTACATACACAGATGAAAACGGACAAATATGAGGATGTCTCACTGCTTCCCCAGAGAGCAAGGTAGAGGAGGAAACAGAGACACCCTGCTGTGATCAGAAGCTTTGGCTATATTGGTCCACAGTCATGCCAATACATGAATAGAGAAAAACGAGGGAAAGAAAATGGATAACACAGGTATAAAGAAGAGCAAAAAGATGAGGACACAACATTGAAAGGTTGTAAAAACCTTAAAAAATAATTACAAGCCTTATGCATATTGGCAAATATCTTTCTCTTGTATCATTCAACATTTTACACAACATTTAGTGTATGTTTAAAATCAAGCTGCCTTACTGACAATGCTGCAATTGTTGCTTAGCCAGTCACTTAGCCTATCACTTGATATAGCTGTTTATGTTAATGTACTGATTGTAACTACTCTGTATATAACAGTCTTTGTGCTGTACTCATTTCATTCTTTAACACCCAACTTTATGCAGATGACACAGTTTTGTAAACTAATGGTTAGACACAGGGCCTCTGCCTAAACTCTGCATGTATTTTTGCAAGCCAAAAATGGATACTCAACACACATACCAGCTGAGCAGTCAGAGGCTGCAGACAATTTATTTGCTTCTTTTTTAAGAATAAGTGTAAGCTTGGTGCTGCAAGCCACTTCATTTCCCAAATAATGATCTTGGACATATTTTCAAAATAAAAGCACAGAATTAGATTTTTCTTTCAAGAGAATTCCACTGCCTCATGCTATATGTCCTGATTTTAATATAAATGTAGCTGATACAAAATCAAAACAGCCCTCAGCTTATGATTTTTCTGCAATTCATCCAAAATCCACAGCTTGCCGGAAAAGTAATCTTCGTTATACTAGATTTTTGGTGTTTGAAAGTCACAGCACATGCCTGCTGAACGAATAGTCTGACCTGTTACCATGTACGCAGAATAAAAATCAAGTCATTTAAGAGCTGACACTCAGCCAACACGTTGCTGTGTGAAGCACCAGGGTGTAGTTGGCTGCTGACACACAAACAAGATCATAGGTTTACCATAACCAACTGTACTTCACCAATAATCTGATTATATGCAGATGAAACAACTTTGTACATGTCTAACCCCACACCTTTGGAAAACAGATCTATATTGAACTTTTTTTTTTCAAGTTGAAATGGAGGAGCTGTGTGTCTTAAACTGCGCTATCCATTATGTAAATGATGTTCATATCTGCAATAAAAGACTAGTCAGAAGATCAATATTTTCAAATCTTCCCTCCAGGTTAATATTTTTGTGGAAGAACAACGCATAAATGGTGATATTGATATGATATGTTAATATTTGCTCATGGTTATCATACTGCTTAAAGCTAAGGTCACATTATACCCCTGAATGTGTTGAATGTCTGCAGCACTTGAGTAAAAGTAAAGGAATGACTAAGGAGTAGGATGAAATAGAGGAGTGTTTGCAGAGCCTCATGTCTCCAGGATCCCCCACCCTCCTAACTCCTTCTCTCCCACCTCTCTTTTTTCCCTCTCCAGCCAGGAGAAAACTCTCCCATTCCCTGAATTCCTCTCACATTCCTGCTCTGGGCTTACCTCCTCTAACTCTACATCACCTCCTCCTCCTCCTCCTTTTCTTCACCCCATGGCTATCTGTCTGTCAGGCCTCCTCCACCTCTTTTCCTCTGTTGCTTCTCCCTTTCCTTTTTTTTCTCTCTCAAACTCTCATTTTCTGTCTCTATCTCCTCTCCCCCCTCCCTCTTCCCCCTATCCCCCCTCCCTCCTTCCTGACTCTTACCCAGCATGCTCCAGTAGGCCAGTGGAGGCAGGGGGCTCGCCTGAACCCTCCACCCCCAGCAGGGGCCCTCCAGCTCAGCCTTGCTGGCTGGCAGGCTGCCTGGCACACCTCCAGCACACACACACACACACACACACACACACACACACACACACACACACACACACACACACACACACACACACACACACACACACACACATTTTCTTCTCAGCCTGCTTGCTGACTCTCTCTGGCTTCTTTCTCGGCTGCTGTTCAGTCTTTCTTTTTCTTTCCCTCCATCCATTTATTTTTCCATCATTATAATTTAAATTTAACAATATTTACTGTTCATCTTTCTGACTCAAAATTGACAAGATGTGACTGTAAACATGACCTGCACAGTTTCTTTAGGTTTAAACCGATGTTGCTGTATTTCATAAAGAGAAAAGAAGTACAACACCAGTTCTTTTTAGCATATTATCTCATGAAAATGGAGAAAAACATCAACCCTGAGATATGAGTATTTGTTCTGGTCCTTGCCCAACATAAATCTCACTCTTTCTTTATTCTTATTTATACATTTCTTCCATTTTTTGTCAGCACAGGCATCATATAAGGTAAAAGTAACAACATTTTTCATCCCAACTTTGCCAAGAATTTTCCCGCCAAGTCAGGCAGATGTGAGAACACAGTTGGGAAAACTGTGCGAGTAAGAATGGGTGATGTTGATGAGTTTTGTCCTATTTGTCTTCTGTTTTAAAGGTCAGGAGCTCAGGTAAGGTTTTCATCATTAGTTTAAGTAGTATTTGTTTTCTGATCTGTGCGTTGAGGGTGTATTTAGATAACCTTTGATGCTTTAGCATTTGCTCATCCCTGAACATCATTAAATCTGCCGTTTTACACAAATGTTGACCTATAATGCTGGTTTTCTTGGGAGTGGGAGGAGTGGGGGCCACACAATGGGACATATCCAGGTTTACCCTTATTGGGGATGTAACAGGTGACAGAAAGACACAGATTTCATATTTGTTTCACAGCAGTCAAGCTCTAAAGAACTTAAAAACACATCCACAACTCCACAATACCACTTATAAAAAAACTACATTTAGCTCTTTATTCTGTCATGACCCAGTTTTAATTTCTGGGTCGACTTCTGACCACAACCTTTTGCTGCATGTCTCCTCCAGCTCTCTACTACCCAGTTTCTCTGTCTCTCTTCAGTTGTCCTATTTAATAAAAGTTAAAAAATAAAAATACAAAACAGAGCTTAAAAAAAGAATTCTGTGGGTAATACCTGAGAAATTTCACCTCTAGTGAGTGGGTTTGCAACCTGAGTAGGCTTTGGTGATGACATTCATATTATGCAACCAGCGTGAACCCGGAAAAGCAGCATGCAACACTGAAAAAGGAGACAAATTCTCTAGAACAGGGAAGATAACCACATATCTGCCTGTTTGCATGAAACACTGACACAGATGCAAAAACTGCCATGTGCAAGTAGATCTTTGTGTCAGCACATTGTTAACATCTTACTTTGGTGTCATGTCCTGCCTCTTAAGACTTTTATCTTTTCTCCTGTTGACCATTCCCTTTGTCTGACTGAATATTTTATTCTGTGAAAAGATTTGGGGGATGATCTCCTGACACGATCATACAAAGATTAGCTGTTTTTTTTTTTGCTCTCAGTATATTTCTATTTGATTTTGCATTTGACTTGCACCCATTTTTATACATATTTCAACAGGTATTCATGCAAAAAATGGGATTTAATGTCTGAAGTTTTGGGTAATACAACTTTTATGTTAAAAATAAGAGATTAATGTGCCAAGCTGCTATGATAAAACTGCATATATGTATTCGTATTGAAGACGACTGACACTTTGTGCACTCAAACTGAAAAATATATAACAGAACAGACAGAATACATAGCACCAAAATTTTAATATAAATCTTAACATTATCAATTCATGGAGTGAAAAGTTTTGTCTTTTTTTTAACAAAACTGCCAAAAAGATCACATGAAACTTCATGAAAAAATGAGAAAGAGAGAGAGGCCCTCAGTAATTTGGTATTTCCTTTTTAGCTTTTAGTCAGGGGGAATGGTTAGTGCCCTTCTTTTCAGTATGAAATGCACACACACACAGACACACACACACACACACACACACACACACACACACACACACACACACACACACACACACACACACACACACACATATACACACAAGGAGCTCCTTTAATGACCCTTACATCCGGCCTTAGGCACTGAGGCCTCAGAGAGAGAGAGAGAGAGAGAGAGAGAGGGGCAAAAAAGAAAATAAGAAAAAAAGAACAGAAAAAGAGACGGCGAGTGAGAGAGGGATAAGGTGGGAGTTGAGCTGTAAATTCAGACAGGTATGCACTGAGGGTCAAAGGTGAGGGTTCACAGCCCTGACACACACACACACATCAACACACAAAGCTACAGGAGTTCAACTGGAGGTTAGACCTCCAGGCACCACTGCTCAAACAGAGAGAGAGAGAATTCATAAGCAGCTGATTCAGCGCGTTGCTGACCGCTGTGATTACTGCAGACACAGGAGGGAAAAAAAGGAAGCTGGAACTTTCAGGACCACTAATAATTTTAAGAAAAAGAAAAACAAACGAAAAAGATTCAGGGAGTTTTTATCAAAATGAGAGGAGACATAAAATTCAAAGTGAGTGATAACGTCTCTTTTACAGCTGAACAGCTGAAGATGTTGCTGTCTCCAAACTGTCGCTGGTACAAACACACACATACAACACTGGAGGCCCTGACCTTGCTGATGGCAGCTGTTGACGTCACTCTGTGCCCCATTCAGAGACAAACTCTCCACTATTCACACACACAAACACACACACACGCAGGATAAACAGGATTACTCAGTCGACACAGTGAATAAAAAAGACCAAAACCTAAAAAAATTTTTTAAAAAAAGCCTGACATACATTTACTGAAAAAGATCCTTTTGTTTATCCTCATCTCATAAAAAGAAAACCATGTGAATGTAAAGTTACTGATATCATAAGTGATAGAAGTTGCTCTTTTTTTTTGATTGGTTTGTTTTGTTCGATCCTGCTTGATAGTAACTTGGAGGATTGGTATCAACTCTGGTATCAACTGGTGTAACATTAACACTAGCAAACTAGCAGGGGATTCTGTCCTCATTTGTGAACACTGAAGTAATTGACTCATCATCCAACAGGGTTAGTATAAGTGACAGTTCTGTAGCTGGTTACCTCATATATCTTTCAAAACCACTGCGCCCAACGTGGGGCTCGAACCCACGACCCTGAGATTAAGAGTCTCATGCTCTACCGACTGAGCTAGCCGGGCTACATTCTGAGTTGATTAAAAGTCAGTGTGTTTACTTCCATCCTGATACTGTTTGAATAACCTTACATATTTTTTTGGATCAAAAATAAAGCCAACTGTTTCTCACAGCATCTTTCTGAAATGCCTCATTATAGCTACTGTCTCTATAAACTCCCCTCCCATTTATCCTTATTTGTAACTTGACAACATGTTTTTATAATTCTCAAAATCAAGTCTAATCCGTCCACAGAATCCACAAAAAAAGAAAGGGTATCTGAAACCTCAAGGTTAAATCTGTGTCAGGAATTGGTTTTGAACCCATGCCTCCATCTGAAGAAAAGACCCTTAAGCTCAGGAAGGAATCAGTCCTTAAATTTGGTGCGTAGACCGCTAGGCCATCTTGAGAGGGCTAGGGAAGTATTAGTCTAGGCTTTACAAAATAACTCATATATAATGAGTGTTTTAAAGTTCAGTCAACAGACCTTATCTAAACAAGCTTATTCAAAGAGTATCTGAAAAAAACCCATTTATAGACAGATGCTAAAAACCAAGTACAACACACTGAGGTGTGACGATGGGGTAAAGCAGGTACTTGGAATGGAATAACTTGACAGCCGGAGGTAAAACAGTGTGTGTCAGGAGTGGGATTTGAACCCACGCCTCCATCTGGAGACCAGAAGTCCCTTTAACTCAGGAAGGAGTGAGTCCTTGAGTCTGGCGCCTTAGACCGCTCGGCCATCCTGACAGGAACAAATTCTTTGTGTACTTTGAAAGACTTAGTTCTGCCTACTGCCAGTATACTGAATTTGAAGGCAAAAAACTCATGGTAATCACGTGTTTATTGTCCACATCCTGAAACCAACATTGCGCAGTAGCGATTTACGCAATTCACCACTTGCACAGTTGCATTGTACGTTTTCAGCATAAGAGTCACTTTGATGATGCTAGGCTCAAACAATAGTGTGTCAGGAGTGGGATTTGAACCCACGCCTCCATCTGGAGACCAGAAGTCCCTTTAACACAGGAAGAACTAAGTCCTTGAGTCTGGCGCATTAGACCGCTCGGCCATCCTGACAGGAACACATTCTTTGTGTACTTTGAAAGACTTAGTTCTGCCTACTGCCAGTATACTGAATTTGAAGGCAAAAAACTCATGGTAATCACGTGTTTATTGTCCACATCCTGAAACCAACATTGTGCAGTAGCGATTTACGCAATTCAGCACTTGCACAGTTGCATTGTACGTTTTCAGCATGAGAGTCACCAAGAGTCACTGTGATGATGCTAGGCTCAAATAATAGTGTGTCAGGAGTGGGATTTGAACCCACGCCTCCATCTGGAGACCAGAAGTCCCTTTAACTGAGGAAGGAATCAGTCCTTGAGTCTGGCGCCTTAGACCACTCGGCCATCCTGACAGGTCTACTGTGGTAATCACTCTGGCTTTACAGAGAACTAAATCACATTTGATGAGCGTTTCAAAGTTCAGTTAACTAACCTTATCTAGACAAGCTTATTTAAACAGAATATGATAAAGAAACATTTATAGACACTTGCTGATAACCAAGCAAAACACACTGAGGTGTCAAGGTGGGGCAAAGTAGGTATTGGGAATGGAAACAATGTGTCAGGAGTGGGATTTGAACCCACGCCTCCAACTGGAGACCAGAAGTCCCTTTACCTCAGGAAGGAGTCAGTCCTTGAGTCTGGCGCCTTAGACCACTCGGCCATCCTGACAGGAATACAACCTAAATATACTACGAACGACTTGGTTCTGCCTTCTGCCAGTATACTGAATTTGAAGCTGAAAAACTCTCGGTAATTACGTGTTTATTGTCCACATCCTGAAACAAACATTGTGCAGTAGCGATTTACGCAATTCAGCACTTGCACAGTTGCATTGTACGTTTTCGGCATGAGAGTCACCAAGAGTCACTGTGATGATGCTAGGCTCAAATAATAGTGTGTCAGGAGTGGGATTTGAAACCACGCCTCCATCTGGAGACCAGAAGTCCCTTTAACTGAGGAAGGAATCAGTCCTTGAGTGTGGCGCCTTAGACCACTCGGCCATCCTGACAGGACTACTGGTGTAATCACTCTGGCTTTACAGAGAAGTAAATCACATTTGATGGGCGTTTCAAAGTTCAGTCAACAGACCTTATCTAGACAAGCTTATTTAAACAGGATCTGATAAAGAAACATTTATAGACACTTGCTGATAACCAAGCAAAACACACTGAGGTGTCAAGGTGGGGCAAAGTAGGTATTGGGAATGGAAACAACATGTCAGGAGTGGGATTTGAACCCACGCCTCCATCTGGAGACCAGAAGTCCCTTTAACTGAGGAAGGAATCAGTCCTTGAGTCTGGCGCCTTAGACCGCTCGGCCATCCTGACAGGTCTACTGTGGTACTCACTCTGGCTTTACAGAGAACTAACTCATATTTGATGAGCGTTTTAAAGTTCAGTCAACTAACCTTATCTAGACAAGCTTATTTAAACAGAATCTGATAAAGAAACATTTATAGACACTTGCTGATAACCAAGCAAAACACACTGAGGTGTCAAGGTGGGGCAAAGCAGGTATTGGGAATGAAAACAAAGTGTCAGGAGTGGGATTTGAACCCACGCCTCCATCTGGAAATCAGAAGTCCCTCTACCTCAGGAAGGAATCTGTCCTTAGGTCTGGTGCCTTAGACCACTCAGCCATCCTGATAGAGATTAACAGAGAATCAGCTGAGTTCAAGGAAAAGCAGCTAACTCACATCACTTCCACAAATCACAGTAATGCTAATATAAATTTCCAACTTACTACCCAAAGATGCAAAAAAATGCCATGTTTGTATGTAGTACGGATAAAATACATACTGAGCAATAACAAGAAGATGCAAAGTCTATCTTTCCATCTATCTATCAATCTGATGGATGAACTGATGGACCGCTGAGCAGACAGACAGGTGAAAGAAGGATGGGTAGGTGGATGGATGGATGGATGGATGAGAAGGGGTTTGACGTCTTTGATCCTCCCAGCAGAAATAATCAACAAAGCCCTGAAGCAGACCAGCTAGACCTAAATATGTGTGTGCATCTGCTCACTGTATGTGTGTGTGCCGTGGGGTTTTCTGGCAGCATGCCAAGACCAGCTCCCACCAGGAGAGAGATCAAAGCCTCGCTCTCTTTCTCCCCTCTATCTCTATCGACCTCGCTCGCTCATATTTCTTACACTCCTACCTCCCCCTTCATCGCTCTCTCCCTCTCCCTCTGTCTCTCTTGAAAACACTTGTCTGACTCTTCTTGATTTCTTCAACGCTCACTCACTTCTTTCCTCTTATTTTTCCTGAAGGCTGAGAGGAGAAATGTTTCCTATGCAAAACAGTCAAGCATAAAGTGCAAATCGCTGCTTACAGTGATGTTATGAAACACGCACAGAAGTACTGACCAGTGGCTGAAAGCTCTCAGGTAGTCATGGATGCGATTGTGCGTGAGACAGAAACAAACAAAGAAACAAAATCTCATGACAACACTTACAGCTCATGTGAAGACTTCAGATTGAATTTACTCATTAAACATACTGAACGTCTGCTGTCTCAAATTAAGCTGTGATTTAGAGCAAAGTCGACTCTATTATCTCTGACATTTTCGAAAAAACATTGTGGCAAATAAACCCAACAAATCACAGATATCCACTTTTAAAGCTCCTGTGAGGAGTCTTTTTTGACCTTTATGAAATCAACTGAAATTCACACTAATGTCTTTTAATGATTTCTAAAAGCAAAAGAGACCACCAGGGACAAGATTAATGATCTATTATTGTATTTTTTAATGCTGGGGATCAGTGTGAGGGGGTAGGTATCAGCCAAGCAGCTGCAGAAACAGCCATTTTTACATCTTCAACCTCAAATATTTACAACAATGAATTTGACAAACCACAAATTACCCAGTTTAAGCTTTAAAGTCCCACTCTGATCATACTTGCATCAGCGTTATGCTGTTAACCAGCCTTGAATATGAGTGTTCACAGGCGCCTCTGGTGCTCTGGTACTGTGGTTCAGTTTAGGTTTAAAATGACTTCACTGCAGATTAAAGCTCTGATTAGTGACAAACAGATCAGCATCATTGACAAACAGATTCATGTCGTGTCTCATAACAAACTCTTGTTCAGTTCTACTCCTGTTATTCACAGCAGGTGTGGACTGAAGGACAGGACAGATCACGCCATTTATGTATTGAGAGACAGAGATCCAATTGATTCCATCCTGTCTCTTCCATATCTGGACTGACTGATCTGATCTCAGCAAGCATTGATACCTGCAGTTAAGGTCTGTCACTATCACCCAGGTCTGACGATGAAGAAAGGTGTAAAGAGGATCAAAAAGGGTACAGGAAATCCCACCCTATCTTGATTTTAATTGGTCAGTTGATGGAAAAGTGACAATGCCGTGTGAGGTGATGCTCCAAGTTTGGACTCTGAGAGTAAAGTGCTGGTTTGGTAGAGGAAACAGGCACTGCCGGCATAAAACCTGGGTTGATGGGCACATACAAAGCCGCCGGGGCAAAAAGAGGCAGCTTAATTTGGGGCAGAAATGTCCTAACCTAAGCTTAAGTGCCATCTTTAGATCAAGATCAAGGTCCAAAAACATCATGCTGCCTTGCTGTATATTGTCTTTTCTAAATTAGATGTCTGTGATGGGCTTGTACTTGGCAAGTCGAGGCAGTGAGGTTACTCGACTGTCGGAGTTCTGCTGTCTAGAACTTAAAGTCCATGTATATGTGAACTTGCTTTGTGATAAACCGAGATCTGATTCTGATTCCTCACCCTTCAAACAAAGCCACAAAAGATACTAAAAGCCCTTAAAAATGTGTGTTTTTGGATTCATTTGCAGGTAATTCCTCCAAAAATAGGAGGCCAAAAATAAACACAGATTTCCTATTAAAGGATTCATTAATTTAGTAAAAACTGCAACGGGCGCATTTATGACCAACATTATAGGTTTGCACAGCTGGGGATCAGAGTTCATCAAAATTTCCTATTTCTGTCTCTTATTTTTATAACCAATCTATGTCAGAGACCTAGTTCTAGTTGTTCAAATCCTCAAATGTCAACACTGATGTTTCTGCAGGGTTGCTGTTTACCTCAACAGAAATATTCAGTTTGGTGAGACTGAGAAGCATCCAGGTTGCCATGGATATATTAGAAATGTACTGTGCGTCACCCATAAAGCACAAGATTGAGAATAAATGATAACCTAATAACTTATGACCCTGAGAGTATGTTGACAAAAATATACTTCCATGTCTCACTAAAAAAGAGCCTTACACAAACCAAACAGCATCTTTTAGCTCCTCTCAGCTTCACGGCGCTCATCAGAGCTCTTGAATGTTCTTCTGGAAATTGTTCGCCCCGTGTTCTGACTGCTCTGGGAATTGAAGCTCATTTGCACTCTGTGTTCATCTGCGTTTTGCATAACAACGTCGGCTAAATGTCTAAAAATGTAAATGTAATTGAGGAGATAATGTTACTTTCCTTTCGAGACTCACTGAACGCAGCACAACATGAGGAGAGCCCATCGCTGTTTGTCATTAAAGTGACTCACTGAGAACTCAACTTTTCCTCCTCTGTATCTCTTTCTCATCCATCCATCTTCTCCTCCAGGCTGCAGCTTAGCGTGGTCATATTTTCTGTCTTTCACTCTGTCATTCTTCTTATGCAAATAGGCAACTTAATCCCACTCCCACAATCCCAATCAGGCCCCCTTTCTGGCCCCCTTTCCTTCTCTCCTTACCTCCTCCTTTGTCCTGTGTTTCCTTTCTAACTGTCCTTCACCTTTTCTTTTCTCTGCTTCCTCTCTTCTCTCCTCTACATCATAGCTCCCTCTTTCTCTCCCCAATCTTTCCTCTCCTCTTTTCCATCCTGCTCTGCTGTTTTTCTCACACACACACACACACACACACACACACACACACACACACACACACACACACACACACACACACACACTCCAGCGGTAGTCATTCTACTTATAGCCTCGCCATAAATCAACCTGTCATTCTCCGTCATGCTCGCTGGATCTCACTGGGGCTTGTGGCAGACACACACACGCACACGCACACACACACCTACACACACACACACACACACAGCAAGGGATAGCGACATGAGCCCACACATAAGCTCAAACACACTCTCAGACACACAAACTCTGACAAATATAAAGACTCGAACTCACTCTAACAAATGCAAAAACATACACACACATGCACAGTACAAGTATGTGCTGATGAGACACAAACACACACACATACACGTAACCATGTCAACATACTTATTGACACACACTCACACACATACACACACACACACACTCTTCTGAGCAAACTAAGACGATTCAAAGACAAGATTGATTGAGAGACAGAGGGAGGGTGAATGATTTAGAGAAACAGAGATGTAGGCCGGGATAACAGGAGCATGCCCACCTGTCCTTTCAACACACACATGAATGCACACACACAAGCACAAGCACACGCACGCACACACAGCAGCTGAAATAATGTCTGCAGCCCTCAGGGCCCCAAGCTTTACCAAACTATCTCCTTAAACTCATCTGTGCCTCCTGCCCTGTCTATACTTTCTCTCACCTCTGTGAGTGTGTTTCTGACTCATACAGCTTTGGTTAGGGAGTCAAGTCAACTTGTAATTTAACTACATTTTGCAGATGTTTTTCATTTAGCGCATTACAAGTAATCAAACAGCTCTTTTTGTCATAAAAAAAAAGTGAGACTAAAAACAATTCTGGGTTGTAAAAAGGAGGAAGTGTCCAATCTTTATACTGTATTATCGGCTGTGTGAAATACTTGATTCTGGTTGTTCAACTTGTGATAATGGTTGTTGCTTATGAATAACAGAGGTTATGCTAAGAACAACCGGATTCACATATAACAAATATCAGCCATCAGCAGAGAAAAGAAATAAAACAGCATGGAAAAGTCAGAGCTGAGCCAGAGACGTCATACAAATTGAAGAAAACAGACACAGAGCAACTACAAATCACATCATGGCAGGGCTTTGTCACAGTCTCAACTGGTCTAGGGGGAAAGAAAAATGCAAACTAATGTGAGATATTACAAGGAAAGAGACTTAATAATAGCTACTGCTATATTTTCTGCTTCTGTTAAGTATACAGAAAAACGAGTTTCTGTGCTGATTTGACCATGACAGTAATGTTTAAATTTAATGGTAATACAACCAGTGAGCTGGCTAATAGGAATGACTACCGTTACCATGGAAATGTTATCAGATGTTAAATCTGAGGGACTATAGCTTTCGGTTATATAAATAAAAACTTTTCAGATCATAAATTAGCCTGAATTTATTATGCTTTGGTTCCACTTTGCATTGATGTCTCGTCTCATCTTGTCAGGGTTCTATTTTGCATTATCACTGACTATATATTATCCCTTAGTTATTGAACATGCCTGACCTATCGCTAAATAATGTCAGTGTTGCTTATTTAGTAACCCAACTCCACTTCGGAGTTCAATAATTACCCAAGCTGACACTCCTACAACTTCCTAATCCTACTCTTCAAAACTGTGGTTTTACATTTGATTTTGTAACATTTATCTTGTACACTGTTCGTATTTCCTCTTTATATAGCTTAAATAACTTTGTCTACGTAGCTGACATTAACAAATTTAGATTTAACACAAGCGTGCTCTCTCTGAAGTCGTATGTCTCTCAAACTAGCCACCAGCAAAGACCTCCTCAGAAGTCATCAGCATGAAAAGGTTGAGGGGGGAGACACAGTCTTGCTTTACAGATTTCATCCCTCTTTCTTTTCTTTTTTTTTTTACTAAGATCAAAATTTTCATTCCTCCTGACCTCCTTCTTCTTCCTCCCCCTCCTCTTCCTCTTCCTCTTATTCCTCCTCCTCCTCCTCTCCCTGCTCTCCATGACCGATGTGAGCGCCTCATGGAAACCCTAAGGAGTCGGAGGATTTCACGGGGGCTTTGTGTTTGAGTGAGTTGGAAGACGGCACATGCGGCATGCAAGGTCATGTAATCCTGCGGCCTCTAGATACTGTTATTGACACACACACACACCAAACACACACACACACTTTGTAGCGCACTCTTTGACCTGCAATGCCCTTGCACAAACAGATTGAGAATGAACACAGAAAAACACAGATGTCCTCGCACAACCCACAATGCCCTCTGTGTTATCAAGAATGTAAACAGTAAAATAAACACTCTCCGGTTAAAACTTGACTTTTATGTAAAGCTCCTATGAGGAGTTTTTTAACTGGTTGCAAAACAGACACCAAGACTGAAACCCGTGTTTGAGCTCATCACCAATAAAGACTTGAAACTACGACCTGTTAGCGACATTATAACAGCTGGTATTGTAGCAAAACTTTAGCCTCAGACTTCTTCCATAAAGGTGTAACTTTCAGGTTGTTTTTAATGACTGTGTGAAAAGTAACACCCCAAAGCGGTGTCTAATGTTATAACAGTAGAAAAGCAGCCAAACAAAAGCATTTCAGTCAGACGTTGAATATAGCTGATATGAAGGTTTTCAAGGATGCCGGTGGTTTTCTAAATGGTGAAGAGCTCTTCTATAGGTGTCCCACACTGTCATAATAAAAGGTAAAACTGAGTATAATAGGAAGCGAGAGGTATAGTCGGAGATTTTTGTGTTGTCTCCGAACAGGGTACTTGAGACATATTTGAAAGACCTGGATCTTAAGTGGGAAAAACAGGTCCGAAGGTGGAGGCAGAAAACAATAAGTAGTGAAAATAAATGCCATTATCTTCCGTAAGTATTCAGAGCGGTGTATATGATGAAAGCAGCGAGCACATACAGACTCAAATACACAGATATGGATTTCCAAGGTTGCATTTCAAGCGTTCAGTCTGTTTCTTATACAAGTCCTCCTCTCTGTCTCTGCGCTCCACTGCTCCTCCTCTGTATTCTCCTCCTCCTCCCTTTATCTCTGCTGCTGTCTTTCACACACACACACACACACACACACACACACACACACACACACACACACACACACACACACACACACACACACACACACACACACACACAGCCTCTCCAGAGACGTGTCCACTGCTCTGACCTCTCTCTCTCTCCTGGGAGCGCTGGCTGTCTGCCCGGCTCTCTCTTTTCCTCTTTTTCTGCCTCACACTTTCTGCGTCTCTTCTCTCTCTCTCTCTCTTTCTATCTATCGATCTATCTATTTTCTAATCTCCTTTTGTCTCTCTCTCTCTCTCTCTTATCTTCTCCTCTGCTGCTCTTGCATCCTCTTATCTCTTCATCCTCTCTCCACTTGATTCCTCCTCATCTTCCGTATATCTTCCTCTCCTCCTACTCCTCTTCCATGCCTTCTTCCTTCCTTTATTATTTCTTTCTTGGCTCCACGAGTGTTGGCACGGCTGCAGGGTTTCTGCCTGGGGCTCACGCTGCCTCTCAGCGGGCACGGTGCCCGCTGGGGGTGAAGCTGGAGGGGTGTGTTTGTTAGTGTGTATCAGAGACAGAGGATAGAGAGATGAGGTGAGACAGTACTGAAAGAGAGGAAGAGGAGGGAGTTGTTGACAGAGGTGAAGAAAGAGAGCAGCATTGATAGAAAGAAGCAGATTTTTGTTGAGTCACTCTTTGCTAGCTTTACTTTCGCTGATGGTATCAGCGTGTGTTTGTGACTCAACTGGAGTGTTTGTTTTTTTCTTCCATTACAGTTAACCATGTAGCAACAGGCACACAAAAGGATCCTTGTTCTATCACAGCTAAGCTCATGTGTTTTTACCATCTTATGGTTTATGATTAGGGCCGAAACGAATCCTTATGAATGTTTCCATTGCCAAAGGTGACACCTCAGAGTGCCTTTTTTGTCTAAACAACTGCCCAAACTGAGAATCATCAAAGCTAACATCACAAGACTGAGTAAACAAGAATAACACTTATACGATGTGAACTTCAGCTTTCACAAGTGACAAGTACAGGGTACAAGGATCCCAACATAAGATGATCCTGGACCAGCAAAACCAAGAACCAAGATGATCAGGCCGATCTTTTTGGACTGCCCTCCTTGTATGTATTGACATCTGGTGTCTACACACTGCTATTCAGAGGTGGGATATTCACACTCCTGACCGGCCTCATCTACAATGTGTAACACACAGAGGCAGATTAAATGGGCATCTATGACAACATAATGTAACTAGGGCGTAATTTCACCACGTTTTGGGGTGCAAAGGTGCTGTATACTATTTGCAGGGTGTAAAAGGCTCCTGTCTTTTTTGGCTGCAACCATTTTCCTTAAAAAATAGCACTTTAACTGCCTCAGCTGTTTGTAGATTTGGTCAAACTATTGGTCCCTTTGTTTCAGACAATCACTGTGTCTCTCCATATTTAATCCCTTGGCGCTGTAGTTATGAGTGACAGTGGGTCTCAGTCTTTTGATTTATAAATAAGTGGCAGCATCTACTGTTTTAAATGAATATTTGAGTTTATAAACCAAACATGAACATAGAATAATCACTTTTTCAGATTTATTTGGGGGAAAAATAAAATATTTTAGTGTGGCTCAGTATAGTATTTGATAATCAAAAGTAGTTGCAGTTGAATTTTACTAACTCACAGACTTTGACTATAGACTGGATTAAACATGGATGTGGTCTCAGTGTAAACACCCATCTGTTTCTGAAACTGAATTTTGAAGCCTATTAGCAACAGTTGCCATGTTGGAAATGCTGACTCAAACTAACTTCCAGTTGACCATGTAAGAGGCAAAGAGGCTGAGTGAAGGCAGACCTCAAACCTCCCTGCTAACAGCTACAGGTCTGCAAAACTTCTCATCTTTAAATCTCAGAAAATAATGTGTTATTCTAAACATCAACCCCTCTACAGTGTGTACAGATCGAGAAATTAGCTATTCAGGCCAAAATCATCTTTTGAACCAAAGAGGAAACTTCTTTCTTTCTTTCTTTCTTTCTTTCTTTTTCTGCTGTACAGATGGACTTTTTTGGATGGGTGCATACGTGGTTTGTGGTGCTTGTGCAGTCAGCCTTAAGTTGAACTGGAACTTCTTCAAGGAGCTGCAGTTTTTAGCCCTTAAAACAGGAGGTTGCTGCTTGGTTATGTCACGATCTACAGCTGTGGTTAATTGGTGACAAAATGATTGGTGAAACCAAGTTATCTTAATCGAGGTTATTGATATCCATTCATTAAAATTCTGCATGAAAAAGCCCAGCCAGGACTCAAACCAAGACCTTTCTTGCTGTGTGGCATCAGCACATACCAATGCATCACAGTGCATCTACTAGATTATTATGGTGTCAAATCAAATCATAAATGTCAATAATAATCCTTTATTGCCCTGGATGGCTGTGCATGCTGTAAATAAAGGGCATATACATTTCTCTCTATATAGAAAATATTTAAAAGCGTCTATGAGTCATTGTCTTTACTAAGTGACCCATTTTTATTTTTTAGGTGAGGTGGAAATATCTGTTTCTGCAGCATGCTGCAATCACTGGGTCTCATGGCATATCTTCAGGCATATCTTCTGTATCACAAATGCTCATTTATTTTGTTGTAGGTGGTCGTTTAAAGCTCAAAAAGATGCTTAATTTTTAGAAACTCTTAATTTGTAAAACTCTTTACTGGAGCTTCAATGAAAAAAAAAAACAGAATGTACTAGACCTGTTTAATGTTAAATGTCATGTAATATAATTCGTAGTGATCTAGTACTATATGATTAAAATGAATATCATCTGATGCTTATTGACATTAAATGGCCCAAAAAATAGATTAAAGCCATACAGAACCAGTATTTTACCTTTTTGAATGTTTGCTATAAAAGCAGCTGCGACTGTGTGTGTAAGTATGCTGAAACTGATGTTGTCAGCAGCCACAAATGCACACATGCGCACACATGGGCTCACACGCGCACGCACGCACACACACAGACATAGTCACACACAGTGATAGAGACAGCATCAGCACACCTGTACCCCGCTGCCTGCAGAGAACAGCTCTTCCCCTGCTGGTCACTAATGGTGCAGCCCTGCTGGAGGGGGAGCAAATGGACCGGACCCAACCATGCATGATGGGAGGGGGAGAAAGAGGGGAGTGTAAGTGGCCAGACAGAGGGGGGAGAGAAAGTGAGTTAAAGGGAGGATGGAGGATGGGGGGGAGATAGCTCTATGACTGGAATCAAAATCAAAAAAAGAGGTTCTGACAAGAGAAAAAGGAAAAGTTTAAAATGTGACCTTTCTCTGATTTATCTACATTTATCAAATCTTCTCTCTGTTCTTTAAGTTTATTTTTTAATCCTTACATCTTTCTCCCTCTATCCTCTTCTTCATGTCTTCCTCTGTCATTCTCTTCTCACAAATCTCTTGCCCTCTCACTGAAGTGTCCAGTTTGTCAGTCGCAAGGCTCAATGATTTAGCGCCCTCTGTCTGTGTTCACTCTTACTGCAGCAGCACAGCTAAAAACTTCAACCCCTGGAAATAAAAAAGGTATACAAAACTTCATGAAGCATGAAGAAAAAATACATATATAAAAAGAGATAAGTGGGGTAAAATGAGGAGACATTATCTCCTTTCACCTCCCCTTTAGGCAGGTAAACACTGCAACTATGACAAAAATATAAGATGTAATGTAAATTATGACTCACATATTACTTAGTGACATGATTTTATATGACACATCAAAAGCAAACAAACTGCTGCAGTGATTTCCATGCATATACTCAAGTGACAGTCCTGCTGTCACAGTTGCACGTGTCTCTGTTGCTCCTATACACTCACTTTGTCCTTGCACCAAAGCTAGTCATCCAGACCTCTTTACATTTACTAAATATAATGAACATTTTCATTTAGATTCAAGCAGCGTGCATGTTTCACAACGGATGCAGCAGCAGCGGCGGCAGCAGACGCTGATGTGAAATATCTGCTGCTGCACGTGTTAAAATATGCAGGCTGAAATGCAGATGATACTGAAGTGTTTTAACCCTTTCTGTCCAAAACTCTGTGCTCTGTGAGAGCTTTCAGAACAGCTGCCCTGGAGACGCAGCATTCTGATAGTAACGTCTGAAGGATTTGAGAGCATTGTTGATTCAGCGTCAGATTTTGAATCCCAGACTCAAACAGATTTTGTTTCTCTACAAGTGTCTCTCATTGATTCAAACATGAGCAGACAGTGAGATTCAGCAGCTCTGTGAAGAAGAGGCTGGTTTGAGGCACAGAGAGAAGCTGAGAGCTCTCTGGCTTAGATAAAAAACGGGCATTTTTAGAGAAAGAGTGTATTAGAATTCTCAATCTCTTCTTTTTTCTCTAACATGACTGAAGTGAGGCGAGTATGAGCTCTAATCTGTCCACAGAAAGTGACAATTCCTTCCCTTTTTAGAGGAAATATCAGCATCAGGACGAATAACAACATCAAAATCAATTATTTAAGCTCATCATATATTGATGTGGTCTATGAAGGTGTTAAAAACATTCTGAAGCATCAAATATGACCAAACATTTTGTCTACAGCTCCAAGTTCTGTGTCCATTATTTGGAGCATTTTGGGCTCTGGAATGAAAACTGATATTGTTTCCTGATGCAGTGCTGCAAGAAAACTGCTTTTAAAACCCCTTTGTGCATTACTTTGTGTTTGTATTTGTCTGAGTATGTGGTACTACTGAGCAAGACTGGAAAATGCATTAGATATATTCCTAAAAGGAAATCTTTAAAAGTTAGCTGTAAGCTTGATTCTTTAGTTTCTTTCCTGTTTATACTTATGATGTCAGGTGAAGACAGAAGCAAGACTTGAAACCATTATTTTTTTCTTGTCCATCCATTAGTTTGAACTTTTTTCACCCAAAACCTCTAAATCAAAGCACATCATGTTATTATAGATATATCTATGTCTACAAACAGGTAATAACTTATAAAATGAGTTCCTTCGATGATGTTCTCTAAAATCAGGTAAGACAATTTCATGATTTCTGTATCATACAGAAATGCGATGCTGCTAAAGTCAGGGTCCAAATTTTACTTTTAGACTAACTGGAAAAGTTGGCAGGTGGTAAAAAAAAATCACTTAAAGCATATGTCAAGCTGGTTAAAATAATAATTGAGTTTTTGTTTGACATACCGGTTGTGACACATTTCAATGAGATGATGAATACAAATTTAAAGAGCGAACAAAACTGATTCCAGGTTACTGTTTTGATCGACTGTTGAGCATTTAAAGCCTGGACAAAACTCCAACAGTCTAATACTCCTTAGAAAAAAGAGACGGAAAATCACTTGCCGCAGGATAGCCGATACTAAATTCAACAGAAGTGCATGACAGCAGGAGAGAGGATTTGCAGCTACACCAAAAAAACGGTAAACTCTGCTGAATTTTTCAATTACATAACTCTTTTGGTAAAACATTTACAGCACATGTGGTTCACAACCCTTTAAAAATTTACCGTCCAAATCTGCAAAACTTGGTGCTTTGTGGATGTTACATTAAAAATCACTGGCTCCAGTATATATATATATATATATTTATTTAAAAATCCCTGCAGCCAATCAGGATTGAGATTCAAGAACAGGAGTGTGTGACTCCCTACCTTCAAGACTACTAACCGCTGTTTTTTGATTTATTTTATACCCTTTGTAAGAAAACAGAGAGAAGGAGAAGCTGAAAAAGGAAAAAGAGGAATACAGGATTGAAAAAGTAGGGCTTGAAGAAAAGCTGGTGTGCAATCAGAAACAAAAGAGAGAGAGGGGATAGATTTAATTTGATGTTCTCTCTTCGTCATCCTCTTTGTGTGTGTGTGTGTGTGTGTGTGTGTGTGTTTAGACAGACTTGGTGCTGCTTCAGTTCTGAGATTGGAAACACACTGAGTAATTATCTAGAAAGAGCACCTGGGCACTGAGAATCTCATTATAACATAACCAAGCCTCCAACAAACACACAGCATGGGGAATGAAGGAGGAAAAAAAAGAGACGAGACAAAAAATGAAGAAAAGAGACGAGGAACAAACGATTTACAAACATTTAAACTGCTGAGAGCCAATATAGCTGTTCATGTCTTCGCGTATAACTCCCTGCTGGCTGTATTTTATCAGGTATGACACACAAACATGTTTCTGCTCCTCACAAATTTCCCTTCATAGGTGTAAATTTTGTGAATCTTTTAACTAGAGAAAATAGAGAGAACCAATGAGACATAAAAACGTGATTAAGATTCAAGTTTGCTGTTTCCTTTCCTCTAAACAGCCAATTTCTTTGATGTGTTGCAGTAGCAGAGAGTGACCAGTAGGAGGCAGCGTTTCCACTCATCTGAGGCCATAAAAAATGCCCATGTCCCTCCTTTATGACCTTCTCTTTTCTTTCTCTGTGTTTTTCTTTCGCTCCCTCTCTTTACTTGCACCATCACCTGTTTTTGCCAAACTGGTCGTCTTTGTGGGGACTGTCCTCACTCTGGGTACATGCACAAGTCAGCAGGTATGTAGATTTATCAGTATGTGTGTGCATGTGTGTGTGCATGTGTGTGTAAGCAAACTGAGGACCACCCTGCTGATTTAAACAGCCTCATTCATCCCTGTGTTTTGATTGGCCGACAGCAGCGTGATGAAATGATTTACAAAGGGTTAGCACAGCAGCAGGAGGGCTCAGGACACACAGTGAACACCCAAAAGCTGTAAAATCAGCTAAAGTCATGTGACAGGAAGTAGTTTGAACAGAATTACAGTTAAGGATTTTTAAAAATTTGGACTACCCCTTAAACAGGAGACATTTTTCACTCTTAGTGAAAGGATTGTCAGTTCAAGGAGAAATCACACTGGGTCACCAGTTTTCAGTGTTGTGAGGGGTCAGTGTTGAAGTTTAAAGGTGTAGTGATGGTAGAACTTCAGTCCATCACTGCTGTAGATGTATAATGAGACAGAGGTTAAACACTGCCCACTCTTTTTGTCTGTATTAAAACCTTGATTCTTATACACTTTTATACAGGGTGTGAGGTGAGTTAATCCTGAAACCTGACACTAATACCTTTTTATGGCCTTAAATTCTGAACTGGGGCCTAAAACATTGGTTGAAGCGGGATCTCATAAAAAAAGGTAAGGCCAGATTTGTGCCCAATTTTAAGTAGACTCTAATTGTTGGTAAAGGAAGTCTGTTTGCTTTGACCATTCAGCACTGTAGGAGCAAAAAAGTTTAAATTGTTATTATCAGTTGTCAAGTAAGAGGCTTTTAAGTTTTCAACGTCTCTAGAGTCGGTAGAGCATGAGACTCTTAATCTCAGGGTCGTGGGTTCGAGCCCCACGTTGGGCGCTGATAGTTTTAAGTTGAACTGAAAAGGTTGTGAGGATTGTACAAAAAATATCTAGTTCCATCACCCAGCTCTCATAAAGAAAGAGTTGTTCAAGATCCATTCCACAAAAACATTGTCCATTGATCACCCCAAACACACTTTGAACCACAGGGAGTCTAACAATATAACCATTGAAAAATGTGATTTCGCTGAATTTCCTATAAGTGGTCAAGAAAGAGGCTTTCACATTTTCAACGTCTGTCAAGATTTTGAAAATCTTTAAAGTCGGCCTGTGTTGGTTTCTACTGTGGATTATCAGTTTGGGGAGTACAAGTAAATTTACATGGTGTAACCATCCAATCTGAAGCATTTTCCCATCATGTATCGCCCGGCTAGCTCAGTCGGTAGAGCATGAGACTCTTAATCTCAGGGTCGTGGGTTCGAGCCCCACGTTGGGCGCTGATAGTTTTAAGTTGAACTGAAAAGATTGTGAGGATTGTATAAAAAATATCTAGTTCCATCACCCAGCTCTCATAAAAAAAGAGTTGTTCAAGATCCACTCCACAAAAACGTTGTCCAATGATCACCCCAAACACACTTTGAACCACAGGGGGTCCAACAATATAACCATTGAAAATGTGATTTCGCTGAATTTCCTATAAGTGGTCAAGAAAGAGGCTTTCACATTTTCAACGTCTGTCAAGATTTTGAAAATCTTTAAAGTCGGCCTGTGTTGATTTCTACTGTGGATTATCAGTTTGGGGAGTACAAGTAAATTTACATGGTGTAACCATCCAATCTGAAGCATTTTCCCATCATGTATAGCCCGGCTAGCTCAGTCGGTAGAGCATGAGACTCTTAATCTCAGGGTCGTGGGTTCGAGCCCCACGTTGGGCGCTGATAGTTTTAAGTTGAACTGAAAAGGTTGTGAGGATTGTACAAAAAATATCTAGTTCCATCACCCAGCTCTCATAAAGAAAGAGTTGTTCAAGATCCATTCCACAAAAACATTGTCCATTGATCACCCCAAACACACTTTGAACCACAGGGAGTCTAACAATATAACCATTGAAAAATGTGATTTCGCTGAATTTCCTATAAGTGGTCAAGAAAGAGGCTTTCACATTTTCAACGTCTGTCAAGATTTTGAAAATCTTTAAAGTCGGCCTGTGTTGATTTCTACTGTGGATTATCAGTTTGGGGAGTACAAGTAAATTTACATGGTGTAACCATCCAATCTGAAGCATTTTCCCATCATGTATCGCCCGGCTAGCTCAGTCGGTAGAGCATGAGACTCTTAATCTCAGGGTCGTGGGTTCGAGCCCCACGTTGGGCGCTGATAGTTTTAAGTTGAACTGAAAAGATTGTGAGGATTGTATAAAAAATATCTAGTTCCATCACCCAGCTCTCATAAAGAAAGAGTTGTTCAAGATCCACTCCACAAAAACGTTGTCCAATGATCACCCCAAACACACTTTGAACCACAGGGGGTCCAACAATATAACCATTGAAAATGTGATTTCGCTGAATTTCTTATAAGTGGTCAAGAAAGAGGCTTTCACATTTTCAACGTCTGTCAAGATTTTGAAAATCTTTAAAGTCAGCCTGTGTTGATTTCTACTGTGGATTATCAGTTTGGGGAGTACAAGTAAATTTACATGGTTTAAGCATCGAGTCTGAATCATTTTCCCATCATGTATAGCCCGGCTAGCTCAGTCGGTAGAGCATGAGACTCTTAATCTCAGGGTCGTAGGTTCGAGCCCCACGTTGGGTGCTGACAGTTTTAAGTTGAACTGAAAAGGTTGTATGATTTGTTAAAACAGCATTTAGTCCTGTCACCCAGCCCTTGTAGAGAAAGAATTGTTGAATATACACTGTACATAAAGGCTGTCCATTGAGCAGTTCAGTTACTGTACAAGACTGTCTTACAACTACTCAGCTGAACCAAAACTGGAGTAATACTGCACAGAATGAAAACATGCTGAATGACAAGATGAACTGGTAACAGCACCCTCTGTTGATGGGCTGCAGTATAGGTCATAAATCCCGCCTCTGCCAGCAAAACTTATGGAGCTGTGGACCAACTTTAGAAATTTATTACAAAGAACATACATTTTTCTCCCCCCTGCTTGCGATGTTGACATGTAGTTATTGTAAGACTGGTTTGTGCTCAAGTCCTCTTTTTTTCTGTGAAGCTCCGTTTTTAAAAGTTTTTAGGGGGTTCATGTTTTCTATGATTGACACCTGATACAGCCTATGGGCGTTCAGGGATTGCGTAGCTCTCCCAGGGATATGCTGTTTGAGCCGAGCGTCATCACAGCTACTCTCGGTGACTGCTCAGCCGAATGCGTGCATTGCTACTGCGCAGCTCTGGTTTCAGGAAATGAAGAAATATCCTGGAAATACAGAGAGCTATTTGGCTTCAAATCCGTATACAGGCGGTAGGCGGAACCAAATTGACCAAATTAACCTTGAGGTTTCAGATATCCTGTCTTTTTTTGTGGATTCTGTGGATGGATTAGACTAAATTTTGAGAATTATAAAAACATGTCGTCAAATTACAAATAAGGATAAATGGGAGGGGGGCTTATAGAGACAGTAGCTATAAAGAGGCATTTCAGAAGGATGCTGTGAGAAACAGTTGGCTTTATTTTTGATCAAAAAAATTATGTAAGCTTGTTTTAATGGTATCAGAATGGAAGTTTAGACACTTTAGAGTTTTAATTATTTCAAGGCATTATGTAGCCCGGCTAGCTCAGTCGGTAGAGCATGAGACTCTTAATCTCAGGGTCGTGGGTTCGAGCCCCACGTTGGGCGCTGACAGTTTTAAGTTGAACTGAAAAGATTGTGAGGATTGTACAAAAAATATCTCGTCCCATCACCCAGCTCTCATAAAGAAAGAGTTGTTCAAGATCCATTCCACATTGAGCACATCTGTATTACCGTCTGACATTGTCATACAACTTTTTAGCTAAACCAAACATAGAGCATCACTGCATACACAGTACAGCAAACAGGCTGAATGACAAGATGAACCGGTAACAATACATGGAATACAAAAAAGTTATATCTAACTGAAATCAGTGCGGCTACTACAGGACAGAAAAATCACCCCAGACACACTTTAAAACACAGGGGGTCTAAAATTTTAACCATTAAAAAATGTGATTCAGCTAAATTTCTTATAATCGGTCAAGTAAGAGGCTTTCACATTTTCAACGTCTGTCAAGATTTTGAAAATCTTTAAAGTCGGCCTGTGTTGATTTCTACTGTGGATTATCAGTTTGGGGAGTACAAGTAAATTTACATGGTGTAACCATCCAATCTGAAGCATTTTCCCATCATGTATAGCCCGGCTAGCTCAGTCGGTAGAGCATGAGACTCTTAATCTCAGGGTCGTGGGTTCGAGCCCCACGTTGGGCGCTGATAGTTTTAAGTTGAACTGAAAAGGTTGTGAGGATTGTACAAAAAATATCTAGTTCCATCACCCAGCTCTCATAAAGAAAGAGTTGTTCAAGATCCATTCCACAAAAACATTGTCCATTGATCACCCCAAACACACTTTGAACCACAGGGAGTCTAACAATATAACCATTGAAAAATGTGATTTCGCTGAATTTCCTATAAGTGGTCAAGAAAGAGGCTTTCACATTTTCAACGTCTGTCAAGATTTTGAAAATCTTTAAAGTCGGCCTGTGTTGATTTCTACTGTGGATTATCAGTTTGGGGAGTACAAGTAAATTTACATGGTGTAACCATCCAATCTGAAGCATTTTCCCATCATGTATAGCCCGGCTAGCTCAGTCGGTAGAGCATGAGACTCTTAATCTCAGGGTCGTGGGTTCGAGCCCCACGTTGGGCGCTGATAGTTTTAAGTTGAACTGAAAAGGTTGTGAGGATTGTACAAAAAATATCTAGTTCCATCACCCAGCTCTCATAAAGAAAGAGTTGTTCAAGATCCATTCCACAAAAACATTGTCCATTGATCACCCCAAACACACTTTGAACCACAGGGAGTCTAACAATATAACCATTGAAAAATGTGATTTCGCTGAATTTCCTATAAGTGGTCAAGAAAGAGGCTTTCACATTTTCAACGTCTGTCAAGATTTTGAAAATCTTTAAAGTCGGCCTGTGTTGATTTCTACTGTGGATTATCAGTTTGGGGAGTACAAGTAAATTTACATGGTGTAACCATCCAATCTGAAGCATTTTCCCATCATGTATAGCCCGGCTAGCTCAGTCGGTAGAGCATGAGACTCTTAATCTCAGGGTCGTGGGTTCGAGCCCCACGTTGGGCGCTGATAGTTTTAAGTTGAACTGAAAAGGTTGTGAGGATTGTACAAAAAATATCTAGTTCCATCACCCAGCTCTCATAAAGAAAGAGTTGTTCAAGATCCATTCCACAAAAACATTGTCCATTGATCACCCCAAACACACTTTGAACCACAGGGGGTCTAACAATATAACCATTGAAAAATGTGATTTCGCTGAATTTCCTATAAGTGGTCAAGAAAGAGGCTTTCACATTTTCAACGTCTGTCAAGATTTTGAAAATCTTTAAAGTCGGCCTGTGTTGATTTCTACTGTGGATTATCAGTTTGGGGAGTACAAGTAAATTTACATGGTTTAAGCATCGAGTCTGAATCATTTTCCTATCATTTATAGCCCGGCTAGCTCAGTCGGTAGAGCATGAGACTCTTAATCTCAGGGTCGTGGGTTCGAGCCCCACGTTGGGCGCTGACAGTTTTAAGTTTGAACTGAGGAGGTGGTGGGAGGTGTAAAAACAGCATCTAGTCCTGTCACCCAACAATTGTTGAAGATCCACTGTACATAAAGGCTGTTCAGTTGCTGTACAAAACTGTCTTACAACTACTCAGCTGAACCGAAACTGGAGCATTACTGCACAGAATGCAAACATGCTGAATGACAAAAAGAGCTGGTAACAATACATACAATACAAACAAGATGTATCTACCTTTGATGAATATTTAGGATTTGAAATAAGTGCGGCTTTACATGACAGAAAAATCACCCCAAACACACTTGAAACCACAGGGGGTCTAACAATATAACCACAAAAAATGTTATTTCACTGAATTTGTCAGATTAGAAGAAAATCAGCTTATATTGTGGTGCTGTAGAGACTGGTGGATATAGTTGGATCATGATTGGTGCACAAGCTGTTACAACATTGTCTTTTGTCTTGCAGAGAGACCAAAGCCACAGATGCAACTCAAACAGAAGATAAACAATCACAGAGTTGTACTTCACAGCTGGTAAACTGGACCTCTGATAACCGAAACCTCATCCCTGGTAGACTGGTGACAGGAAAACATGTTTTTAATTTCTTCAAATGTGCCGTCCAAAAAGCTGCACACAAGCGACTCTCTGCTCTGCTCCTCCAAAAATAAGCGCCTTGTCTATTTTTGACGTTGCCACAGTTCAGCTGAACCAAGCTGCACAGAGCAGATGAAGCTGGGCAGGGAGTCAAGCTCAGAAATGGCATGAAGAATCAAGTCATCTTTGGAAATAAAACCCTCAGTGCAGGCTGTCAAGAGATAAGAGAAACAGCAGTAAAAATGACCAAATCACAAGCCTGGGGCGAGGTAATGAAATCAGGCAGACACAGAGCTCCATGTCTTCAACACTCTGCAGGGTATGGTGTCATGTGGGGCTTTGAATCAGGCCATTTGACAGCTGTGATTCCAGAAATCTTTTGGTATGAGGTGTGAAGAGAGTCAATGAGGTATAACCAGCCTGAAACCCTCTCCACGTTGAGTTGAAACAGCTTTTTTTTTATGTTCTATGCAGCCCGGCTAGCTCAGTCGGTAGAGCATGAGACTCTTAATCTCAGGGTCGTGGGTTCGAGCCCCACGTTGGGCGCAAGTGCTTTTGAGAGGAGAAACACTTGACATGAATTTAAGAAGAAGGGATTTAAACCCCCAATTAATGCCCTGATATTCCAGTATGATAACCATGTTTGAAAATCAATAGGAGCTGATTATATGTGCTTCCACAAAATGTCAAAAGATGAGATAAGTTTGCAGACTTCTATGACAGATGGGCATCAATCACTCACGGTACCAAACTGTTGATGTTATACATTTTGATGACATTTTGAAGGTCTCGCCCTTGACCGCAGCACATGCCCATAAACTGAACCTCAACTTTCTTTTCTGGCTGTGGTGAAACTTTTACAACTACTGGACTGAAGGAGACGGGGGCTGGGTGGAAATGTAAGATGGAAAACAGTGATGAAGAGCAAGTCTGAGGAAGAACGGGGAAAAGGGAAAGTCAGAAATGCTTGGTTTTTATTTCTTTCCTGATTTGTTTGGGTTTGTGTTCATCTGTGGCTTGCCCTGTGTGTTTGTGTGTGTTGTACAGGTTTCTAACCTGCTGCAGGTGTGCTGTTGATAGTTTTATCAGCCCTGATCATGTAACTTGAAGAAGGAAAGCAGCAAGAGAGGAAAGGAAGGGAAAAAATGCAGAAGAAAGAAGTAACAAAGATAGGCTCTCTCCTCCTTTACTTCACCCTCTCTATCTCCAGTGAATTTGTAACTAAACATGCACTTCAAAAAGTATCACATTAGATGTAAGTCCTGCATATTTTTGACGTAAAAACAAAACAAAACAAACAGGTGGCCTAAAAGAAAATTCCTCAAAGTTTGACAACCATACCTGGATAATGCAGTCAGCAATCATTTTCCTCTGTACACACTGCAATCAGACTCAAACTGGCCTTAATGGTCAGTGCATGCTCCACAGCTCAAATGCCCGTTTTTTTACCCAGAGGTGGAAAAAACATTAATTCACAGAGAGAAGCTGGGTATGAACAAAACCTCAACAGAAGAAGAAATCAGCCTCTCACTAACTTGTTTGTTGACTGTTTTGGGATGTAATAAAGTATGTCAACCTGGGGCTGAAAGAGGGCATATTGCTGCCTACAAAAAACTATGAAAACCTATTCCTCCTAAATGAACCCTTGCACCATTATGCAACAGGTTATTAGCTTTCTGTGCATCTCCTTGAGTTGTTACACTAGATTAAAGTATCCTTGTAGAGCCCTTAAAGAATTACGCTAACACAGGTTATAAAGTGCCACTCTGATGTGATACCTACTATAAAGAAAAAAATATAAAACATTGTTTAGATTTATCAAAATTAGTAGTCAAGTAGAGGTGATTACTGGAGATAAAACTGGTAAATAATGTAAATTCATGTGTGATACTGCTATTCTATTAAGTGGTGATTGAACGGATGGGGAACTAAGGTTGGGAACATGACCCATGCTGCATATAAGCTCTGTTTTAAATACCATTTTTTAAATTTGGGGGTTAATTACTCTCACTGTGTAACATTAGGTCCAAAAGTTTTCTTTCCTTTTATGACTTTTGGTAATAAGAAAACTTAACAGTAGGTCTTGACAAATACAATTTACAACCAAACTTTAAACACACCCTGAACGACAAAAACTGAACAATTAGAAGATATTATGAAGATATGGTCCTATAGTTGTGCAAAAGAGAAGGCATTTAGACAGTGCTAGAAGAAAACTCCACATTTATGCAATAGGGCCCTTCCTCTATTACAGTTCTTGCTATAAGTGTAAAGAGACGACAATATAGAAAATATCACAAATGCAGAATTTATCAGAAACTATCTTTATTGGTGTTAAATGCTCATAAAATCATAAACTGTTTAAGGGTTTGAGATGGACATTGCTGAGGTGGGATGCTGTGGTTTTAGTGAATTAAATAAGTGTTCAGATTCAGTGTGTTTTGTGGTTCTTTGGTCAGTGACTGTGTCCCCTCTAACCACCCCGCCGGATTTATAAAACTGCCCCAGGATCTATAAAGCGCCCAATAAACCACTTTTACTATTAGTATAGGACACTGCTAGCATTAAGTTTGTGACCACTACCACTGACCATACACACACCCACACACATACATACTCACATAGACACACACACACTGGCTCACAGCAGGGACAGTCACACACTTCCTGGTCAGACAGATTTTGAGGGCTGATGGAGTCAGGACCTCTGCCAAACTCTAACCCCATGTCACCCCACCCTGCAGCCCCAATGACATCACTGCATAGCCCCGAACTAGCAGCCCAGAAAGGCCCGAAACCTTCCCTCTCTGTCTCACACACACACACACACACACACACACACACACACACACACACACACACACACACACACACACACGTTCAAGCGTTGAGTTTGCAGAAAGCCCAGGCATTATAATGAACACCACAGGGTCACATTATGAGTACGGGAACACACACACATACACACACCGCTTGACCATAATGACTACTGCACAGCCGCACTGCATTATAAACACACACACACACACACACACACACACACACACACACACACACACACACACACACACACACACACACACACACAAATGGGGCTGTTCAAGTGCAGGCTGCTGCCCCTGAGTTAAGTTGTCAGCTTGTATTATAGTTTGTTTTCCAGAAACATTAAAAGAGATTATAAGAAAGCTAAGAGAATACAATCTATTTTGTTAATGTTGAATATGAAGGCAAAATCAGTCATCTTAACTATTTCTTTAACTTACAAACAGTTTTGGCACACCCTGCTTCTGCTGCTCTTGCTGCCAAAGCTTTGCCTTCGCCGCCCCTGCCTCTTCCTCTCTCGACTAAAAACCTTTGTTTTTACCCCTGCAGAGTTTTTGCAGTGAACCTGTAAAGCCATGGTCTGTCACTAAACTAAGGTTTTAGTTTTAAAACAGCAAAATAGTGAGGGGGTTCTTCCTGAAGGTCTGCACCATCCTCCACAGGACAGATGCAAACAAAGACCAACAGGAGTGGATGTGTTAAGTTAGCAGCGCTGTCCTGAGAGGAATTCCCAGGATTCTTTTCAGCCAATCAGACACTCGCTCTTCAACTTGAGAGCTGCAGAGACCATCCTCTTCACATAGACCCCGTCTGTGTGGCCATGTGAAGATAAGAGCTACCAGGGAGCAAAAACACACACACTCAAGTATCTCATCATGTGTTTAAGTCTTCTTTGTCGAAGTCTTTTCATCCTGAATTTAAAATGAGGAACGTCTTCTAAACAGCAAAAGCACTCCCTTATTTCTAATGTGTCTGAACATACGGGACACACACACTCAGACTCTTAGAGGACCTTGAGGGTCCATTGATGCTCGCAGACAACCCATCTTCTCAAATATCTGGAGTGGAAAAACACACAGACACACACTTACTGCCCTTTGCCTAATTACTGAACCCCGAGGGGGCGAGACACTCAGGCAGCACTTCAGTGTTTGGGGAAAGAAAAGGTCTTTCTCACCGACAGACAGAGAGAAAAATTAATGAAAATGTTCAGAGTAGAGATTTAATGACTGTTTTTATAATACTCGGCTGTATATCTTCGGTTTCTGTTTGGCAATCTGGACATAAAGCTACATTTTTATTAGACAAAAAACATTATTCTGAGTGAGACGAGGAACAGAGGGCAGAAGGCAAAATAGTGAAAAAGAAGAGAAAAATAAAGTGATGACTGAAACAGCCAGAGGGAGGAAAGAGAAAGAACAGAAGTTGACTTTTAAGACAGGCAGGGAGGAGGAAGAGAGATTATCGCTCTCTAATGGCTAACTTGTTGACAGCAACACTTTTCACCACCTCTATCTACACATCTAATGTTACTATCTGCTCTACACACACAGACACACACACACACACACACAGACACACACACTCATGCTTTATCTCCTCCTGCAGGGTTTATCAGCCTGGCTGTCCGTCTGCTCCACAGCTCAGGTAGAAAAAAGTGCAAACCGGGGACGTCACTGCTGAGACAATAGCAGCGGTCTGTCTGCATGAGTCACGTCATGTTTTTAAAATGAATCTGATAGTTCGGCTTTATATGAGACCTACTTATCTGACCTTGAGAGGCACAAAAGTGCAGGAAAACACCAAAGCTGTGTTTCCATAATGCACTGTGGTCAGCTATTATTTCTTGTGACTGAACTTTATTTTGAAAGTCTTGATGCAGACGCTTTTTCTTGCTTAAGTTCAGCTACATTTTTCTCCACATTTGTGGCTGCTGTAAGATATATGAGGCACTGGATTGGTAGGATCCGTTTTGTTTTGTAAATTTATATAGATTTTTCTAAGAAGCAGGTCTTAAAGAACCACTCAGATGAAAATGTTTTTGTTTTTTTACACGTTCATGTAGCATTTTTCTGATGCTACAGGGCATGTCATGAGAAAAATAAGTGCAAAAATAAGTGTAAGGAATTGCATTTCTGAGGATTTCTGCATTCAAATCACTGTGAATCTCTGGTAGACCCCAACAGCAGGATCAGATACAGTGAGATGTCATACGTAGCAAATCCAAGCTCCGCCCCCGCAGCCCCGCAATGCAAACCAGACTCAGAGAAATAGAGAGGACAATCACGGAACAAGTGTGTGCGGTAGAGGATTGTAATGCTTGTAAGAAAGCTAATTATAATACTAGTTTACATCATACCTAAAGACATAAGTGTCTGAGAGCTGAATAGCTCCTGTGTTACCTGCTACTTCTACTACATCGGCAATGTTAGGCTACAAGCTAACGCGAAGAGAAGTGTAAAGAGCAGCGCTGTCTCTGCCCATGACTCAGAGGCAAATCGCTAATGATCTACTGGAGCTCTGCAGAAGAAAAGCGCTTCAAAATGACACAGGTAATGCAACTTTGGCTAAAAACATCATAATCACAAGTTAAAGACCACTGAGAACACTTTAAGTAATTAAAAAACAAAAACCAGAGTGGGACTTTAATCTAAGGAGATTGTATGTGACCTTAAATGTATTTTTTGCCTTAGATATGTCCTTTGATGACAGCTCCATTGCTAAGGGAGAGAGAACTTTGTTGCTTCATTAGATCAGCCTCAAATAATCAACAAATACATCACATATGATCTCATCTGATCAATAGAGAGAGCAGCAACCTTCATCGCTGAAAAATGAAGTTAATGATAGGTTGCAAAAAACTGCATTCCTGCCCAGTCAAACTATACTTTTATTTTGTAGTACACTTCTTCTGGAAGATCATAAGTTACAGAACTGAATATTAACACTGTAAGAGAATAAATGACTTGTAGAAACCAGCGTGATGGACCACAAGCTATTTTTGTACAGATGGTTATCTACTCTGTGTAATGTTGGGACAACCTTAGAACTAAGTGTTGGGCATAATTCACCATAATGAAGGGAGTGGCTGTTTTAATTGACAGGAAGTTGTAACGTCAGGAGACTATAGACCGGTCTCAGCTCCACTTGTGTGCCTCTTTATAGGGTAGCTGTAAGTCAGTTGGAGTCAGTGTTTTTAATACAGTAGCACTTGTTCCCACCACCTAACAGGAAATAACAGTATGACAGAGCTAAATTAATTATGATACTTATGAGAGACTTGAGCACATTTGGCACAATGGAGAGCAATCCTTAAATGCTGTAGTCCTCCATCTAAATTCCTTGGATATTGGCCTTTGCTATTTTAATGTTGCGTCAAATGTCTTTGAATATTTGTCCAGAACTTCAGAGTAACTGTGATGCACGAGATTTTCAGACAATGACTTCAACAGAGTCTGTATCAAAGCAAGAACTGAACTGGAATTTGAGAATTGTCATGTTATGGATGTATAAATACGTTTGTCTGCGTTTTCATGATGATTTTTCCAGACCTCTCAGATACATCCTGCAAATAAATATCTGTACCTGCAACTGAAAAAACAGACACGGTAGAACTTGCCAAGGACCATTTAAGTGATTGCATATAACATTTTCTGTCATGTCTGTATAAACGTCCAATCAATCCTCATTTTTAGTATCACAAACTAAAGTATGACCTCTGTAGTTGATAGAGAGGGGCAGCTGTGGCCCAGTTGTAAAGTTGTCCACATGCTGAAGTGTCCTTGGGCAAGAAACTTAACCCCAGCTTGCCCGCAGTGGCTGCGGTGTGTTTTGGGGTAGTTAAAGCTACTATGAAGAGTTCTGGCATTTATGAAACAGACTGAAATCCACATTTATGCCTTTTCATGATATTTAAGAGCAAACATAACCACCAGTGACAAGGCAGACAATGTGTAGATTGTCATTTCAAACGCCTGAAACCAGTAAGAGGGAGTAGGTGTTCAAGAAACATCCATGTTTTTACAGTTTCCATTTTAACTATCCACAATAAATGATACATTTGACAGTCAAAAGTCAGCAGATTGAGACTTTTTGTCAACAGACATGACTTTAGCATGTTGGGAAACAGATAAGCAAAGACTGATTTGTCCACAATGGGCGTCATTATTCACTGAAAGTTCCTTACAGGAGCTTTAATATTGATGGATGCTTTGACCCGGCACCCTAACCCTGACCACACACAGATGGATAAAAAGTATTCACACGGACCAGTAAACTAATCTTTCAAGCCCCTTCAATCAGCTTTACACCTCCTCCAGTATCATCAACAGATTTATGCTGCCAGTCGGTTTTAAAGTAAAGTTGTGTTCAGACTTACAGTCATAGTACTTTGTATCAGAGTGCACTTGGATGCCAGATACAGCCTGTGGCTCAGATGAAGGCAAAGCAGCAACTTTCTCCACACTGAGAGAAACATTTGTGCAACATTTCGACCAAAATAGTCCTGGTCTGCACCACAGAGCGAGAGAGGCTGCCTTCATTTAGGTCGATGGGGTTGGCAGATCATACAAACATGCGCACACACACACACACACACACTTTCACCACTGTCATATGGGAGCCAAAGTCATGAAATAAGCCCATTTTGTAAGTAGACTGTGACAACGGAAACATTGTGGGGACAAAAACGTCCACAAGTTCATATCATGAGGGAAAGTCAAGAAAAATCCAGTTGACCAAGTTCAAACCAACTTTCCCAGATTTATTTGAACCCAACGACCAGTGAAAAGTCATTAAACTTCTGAGGACAGACAGGAAAACGATAATAGAGGAAAAAATACAACATAAAATATCAAAGAGACAAAGAAGAGTGACAATGACCTACAAGATTTCAGTAGCTATATTTTGGACAGATGAGTGATAAGAGGTGCTTCTTAAGGATCTTCAACAACAACCATTGAATAGAAGTGACTTTTAAGTTGTAAGAAAATTTATTTCTGTTTTGACAAGAAACCAATCTTATTTTAGCGTGATTTCCTTAAATAAAATCCATTTCTGTGTAAGGATTCTCTGCTTTGTGCCATTTTCTAGCTTAAATAAATATGTGATTGGTTTGAAGAGAGACTAAAGCTTTGGTCTTTTGGGATGGACGAAACTTTTTCATAAAATCTAACTTTTTAAAAACCAGTTGATGAGAAATTAACGACCAAACGAAGTAAAAAAAAAGTTCAGTCGGATTACTCATGAAGAAATTGCTCGATTCAGCAGCCATATTCCGGTTGTAGAAAGTGCTTGCTTAAGATGCAACAACCTTTTCTACTTTGTGAAAAAGTAAAAGACTACTGTGAAAATAAACGAAAGAAATAGATGAAGTTCCTACCTTTCTGTGCTTGAAACCAGCTGTTGCTCCGCTCTCCAAGAAAAGTTCCTCCTCCCACCACCCGACACGCTCAAGTCCGAAATATGTGCCTCTCTTCCCGGTTAGGAAACTGCAAACAGGTCGGTGGATTTGTAGAAAAGTTGGGACACCCTCTTGGCGGTACACTTCACTCTGTGGCACAGGTACACACTTAAGTGTAGCCTACTCTCGTGCTCTGTGCGTGCACACTCAGAGTCCTTGGTTGAGTCCAAAAAAGTCGATTTAAGGCAGTGTATGGAAGTATAACGCAGCCTCCAGCCACCTGGAGACCTAACAGAGCCCAAAAACTCCACACTCGCCCTGTAAAAAAGCGTGGCAACAAACTCAGAGATGAGTAGCACGCGCTCCTGGTTGTGTACGTGTGTGCGCGTGGTGTCCTCAGCAACAGGTGTCAGAAACAAAGTGAGATTTCTGCACAGCCATCACAAGTTTCCAAAAGCTCTCCGGCTAATTACGCACTCAGGGAAAAGGAGGGGGGAGAAAGTAAGAAAGAGTGAGGAAAGTGTTCGCCAAAGTTTTTTAGCGCGTCGAGAAACACGAGCGAGAAAGTTTGAGCAGATAAGACAAAAATGAGTGAAACAAAAGAGCTTCACAACTTCAGAGTGAGGCTGTGGCTGAGTCCTGTGACGAGACAGCGCTGCTCTGATGTGGAAAGAGCGCGCCTGCCCACCGAGAGAGAGAGAGAGAGAGAGAGAGAGAGAGGACATTACAAAGAGGTGTGACTCTTTTCTACCAGGCAACAGGGATTAATCCTAAAGTCAAGAGTCTTGCTGTCAGGAGTGGGATTTGAACCCACGCCTCCATCTGGAGACCAGAAATCCCTTTAACTCAGGAAGGAGTCAGTCCTTGAGTCTGGCGCCTTAGACCACTCGGCCATCCTGACACCTCCAGTCACCTTTTTGGTTATATATATATATTTATATATATATAAAAAAAGCACATTTGAGACAAATGTACCACTGTCAGATTCCTAAAAATTTATCAAGCTAAAGTTGATTTCTGACAATCAGCTTAATTGCTAACACATGTGCAGTTTATTATGTGTTGGGGGATTAAAAAGCTTTCTCAACTGAGATCAGGCATGTCAGTATCCCAGGAGAAATTTCTAAAATAGCTATTTGAAAAACCTTCTTTTAAATCCTGCATGTAGAGCTTTGTCTGAATGGGACATGAACCCATACTTCCATACAGAGACCAGAAGCTGATCTAAGTCAGGGAGGTGTTAGTCTGTAGAGTGCTGAGCGATCCTGTCAATCTTGTTATAAAAACTCTAAGAAGTAGTTTTTGCAATAAACCTGTTTATTTTTTTATTTACTTATTTTTTGTTAGTTGTTTTTTTCTATAAAGAACTCCTTCCTGAGTCAGAGACTTCTGGTTTCTAGATGGGGCAGTGGTTTCAAATACCACTCCTGGCGCATGATCTTACCAGCAGGTTTAACCATAACCTAACAAGGTTGGAGGTCTGTGCTTTATTGCTGTTACCCAAAAGTATGGGTAACATATGCTGAAGGTTGCCTTAGGTTTGATTCATTAGGCCTTCTTCCTAGTCTCTATCTTAACTAAAGCTTCAAGAAAGAGTAACTCACTGTCAGGAGTGGGATTTGAACCCACGCCTCCATCTGGAGACCAGAAATCCCTTTAACTCAGGAAGGAGTCAGTCCTTGAGTCTGGCGCCTTAGACCACTCGGCCATCCTGACACCTGCAGTGAACTTTTTGATCTCTAAAAAACACAAATTAGAGCACATTTGAGACAAATATGTCGCATATTGGTACTTGAAGCTGCTTTAAGTCAGGGAAGTGTTAGTCTGTAGAGTGCTGAGTGATCCTGTCAATCTTGTTATAAAAACTCTAAGATGGAATTTGTGCCATAAACCTGTTAAATGTTAGTTGTTTTTTTCTTCTCAGGACTCCTTTCTGAGGTGGAGACTTCTGGTTTCTAGATGGGGCAGTGGTTTCAAATACCACTCCTGGCGCATGGTTTTACCAACAGGTTTAACCATAACCTAACAAGGTTGGAGGTCCTTGCTTTATTGCTGTTATCCAAAAGTATGGGTAACATTTGCTGAAGGTTCACTTGAGTTTGATCCATCAGGCCTTTTTCCTGGTGTATATTTTAACTAAAGCTTGAAGGAGTGAGTGACTGTCAGGAGTGGGATTTGAACCCACGCCTCCATCTGGAGACCAGAAATCCCTTTAACTCAGGAAGGAGTCAGTCCTTGAGTCTGGCGCCTTAGACCACTCGGCCATCCTGACACCTCCAGTGACCTTTCTGGTCTCTAAAAAACACAAATTAGAGCACATTTGAGACAAATATCCCACTGCCAGATACTTGGAAAAAATATCAAACTAAAGTTGATTTCTGAAAATTGGCGTATGTGCTAACATATGTGCATCTATGTATGTGGTGGGGGATTACAATGCTTTTTCAACTGAGATCAGGCATGTCAGTATCCTAGGAGAATATTTTAAAGTAGCTATTTGAATAACCAGAGCTTTGTATGGCTGGGACACGAACCCATCTATCTGTATAGAGACCAGAAGTTGCTCTAAGTCAGGGAGGTGTTAGTCTATAGAGTGCTGAGCGATCCTGTCAATCTTGTCAAAAAACTCTAGGAGGAGTTTGTGCAATAAACCTGTTTATTTGTTGTTGTTTTTTGTTAGTTGTTTGGCGGTTGGAGGTCTGTGCTTTATTGCTGTTATCCAAAAGTATGGGTAGACTTTGCTGAAGGTTCCCTTGAGTCTGATTCATTAGGCCTTTTAACTGGTCTCTATTTCAACTAAAGGTTCAAGCAAGAGTTAAGATAATGTCAGGAGTGGGATTTGAACCCACGCCTCCAACTGGAGACCAGAAGTCCCTTTAACTGAGGAAGGAGTCAGTCCTTGAGTCTGGCGCCTTAGACCACTCGGCCATCCTGACACCTGAAAATGAGTGAAAAAAAAGGTGATTGTTCAAATCTTGACTTAAAGGCAGTTTTGTTCTTAGTTTACTTCTCTCTTTGCTGTTTGAGTCACTTGTGTTCAATGTTTTTGCTTGCAGGAAAAAAACAAACTACACCAGGTGTGTAAAATAGAAATTGGTCAAAAGACATTTGATTTGTGGAAACTATTTTAATCTGTTTTTCAGATTCTGCATCATTATACAGAATCTTTTGGTGCTGGACCAGATGTTGGTATTCAAAAGTGTCTGTTTTGTTATCACGGTTAAGTATAATTGACAGCAAGCTAGAAAACTGTGCAGAGAGCAAATGGGGCAGGATGAACATCTGTAATTCAATCCAAGTATTTAAAAGCAGTCCTAGTGATGGTTTAATGAAAATGAAGGCAGTGTACAAAAATGAAGTCTGTATCTCTAAATGTAGTCCTAAAATGCAGGCGGTTGCTGTGGGAGTACTATTTCATCAGTTAAAGGGATATTCCGGCATAAAATGAATTTAGGGTCAAACACACCGTAACACCGAATTAGACACTCCCTCGAGCGATGAATGTTGCCGACTGCTTGCTTCTCTAGTTATACCAACTTTAGTAACAACCGCACTATAGCAATACACAGCGGTCTGAGGAGCCATAAACAAATCTCAACCAAAACGCCACTCTATAGCCACAAATAATGCTCAGAACAGCACCTAACTTCATCAACAGTACATACAGGGTCCTAGCCATAGCAGTAGCCACCAAACAGCTTTTTAACAGATTTCTTTAGCAGAGGGACTAAACACGACTCCCCTACTCTCTTCCAGCAGCCGCTTGTCTGAAGGGAGACCTCGGGCCAGTCCACTACGGACTGCAGCGGGGTGATGCAGCTCAAGGAAGGACATTCAAATATTCGAAAATTGTGCCGTACTGACAATTGTTAAAGATAGCACTAAAAGTCCATGTCAGGAGTGGGATTTGAACCCACGCCTCCATCTGGAGACCAGAAGTCCCTTTAACTGAGGAAGGAGTCAGTCCTTGAGTCTGGCGCCTTAGACCGCTCGGCCATCCTGACACCTGATAGCAGCTCAGTCAGAGAAAGAGTGGAGTTTCTGCTCATATTGGCAATATTTAGTGTAAAACATACCTCCAAGGGCCAGTGTTTTCCTGAGAATTATCTGTCCTTGTCATTTGTTCGGACATATCAGCAGGGAAGAATTTTAGTGTGGAGGTAATAAAAGTGGCAGGAGTGGACAGACGGACGGATGAAAAGGAGATTAGGAAAATGTCTTCAGTGTTGCTGGATGTTTGGACTGTCAGCGGCTAACAGCTTATTTTAGCAGCTCTACTCCTCTCACATTGTTTTTATTTCCTCTCCAAAGTTTTTCCTAGCGCTCACAGCCTCCTTCTGTCCCTTCCATCTCGCCAGTTCTCTCCATCTCCTCCTCCTCCTCCTCCCTCTCTCCTCCACACGTCCCACCTACAGTCCATTTACTTTACAAACCATTTATTAGAGAAAATAAAGTCAAATCTGTTTGCTAAAACACGACATCCAAGACCAACAAGCAACAAGTCTCGGGCTTCAAACCACAACTGAACTGAAATCATTAGGCTCCAAACATGTACCACAAACTGAGAGTGTTTCAAGTTTGTTTGTTTTGGTCTCCACTCTCCCTCTGCCCTCCCCCCTCTTCCCTCTGTTTTCTCTCTCTCTCCATCACCCTCTCTCTCTTTTTTTCTTCTCACTCATGTGTGATGTGATGTGTGATGATTGAAACCACATCTACCCGCAGCCAACGTGAGCCCTCCCCGCTTCCTCTGCAGTCACTCACGTTTTATTTCTCCTCCTGCTCGCTCATGTGTCTCTGCGCTCCTCTATACTGACTCTACGGACAGTAAATAGGCGGAAAGGCTGTAAGTGGATCCGTCTTTTACTGCACACATGTTTAAATGTTATCTCAAGGACATCTGGGGTTTCGTGTGGTGAACTGTCATTATCAACAGGATCTTATCGTCACTTATCTGTGTGCAGAAAGGTGTGTGTGAGATAGGGGGAAATCCAAAAGGGGAAACTGTAACCTTTGATGGGTTTTAAACTGTTTTAGGCCAGCCAACACTTTTCAGACTTAAAGGGCAACTCCATATTTTTAACCCGGGTCCTGTTTTGACATGTGTCAGGATCTTAATGACTGAAAGGAACTAAAAGTTTTGCAAATAAAGCTGCAAACTTCTCCCACCAGCAGCTGTGAAAGAAGCGACTTAATCCTTTGGGGCAGCTGGTTGGATTAGCGTTCATCGCCTAAAATTGGCTGGTTTTGCTACTGACAGGCTGAGACTTTTGTTTATATGTCTGAAAAGAACAGAGAAGATCTCAACTGTGAGTGAATGTTTAGTCAAGAAAAAGATGCTTTTTTTGCGATCAGAAACAAACATTACAATGCTCTTTTCAATGCCACCAAACCCCATTATCAAAACTGGCATTTTTCCTTGCAGAATCAAGGAGCTGCTGGTCTACTTTTACCTAGATTTCCAAATCTACATGCGACATTGAGTGACTCTGGTGTTTTAAAAAGTAATTCTGGATCCAACATGACATATCTTTGACACACAACATCATAAAAATACTAATAGACCAGGGCAACAATAGACGATGACCTGCAAGGTAAAACGACCAGTTTAGTGAATGAAGTTTGGTGAAAGAACTGCAGTTTCTGGTTACAAAATAAGCAGCTT